TTATAATTACCTCTACGATAAAACCCACCACATCTACATAGTTTCATTGACATATTATTATATTATATTAAATTAGAATATCTTTATTCATCATTCGTAATTTGAAACGCCTGTTCAAATCTGATATGAAACATTTTGTTAATGTCCTTAGCATTCATATTCACGTAGAAGAAACTATAAGGTGCGTCATTAACGGCTTGATGATACATATCTAATAATTGCTGTTTATCAACAATGGCGCTATTTTCTTCAATAAAACTCATTAACTCACTTGCATTTTTCAACCTAAAAATATATAATGAACTGGCATTTAAACGAATGATAGGCGCTAAAACATTATATTTTTGTGTTGAACAAATTACACTTACTGCATCGTGCCTACCTCTTGTAAATAATCCATGTAATAATTTACTATATCTAACAAATTTAGGATCGTCTGCGTGGTCATCTATAACGATTAATATTGAATGCAGTTTCTTTATCTTTTTAGATTTCATATAATTAATTATTTTCTTCTGTCTTCAATTACATTTTCTAAATCACTTGGATTATAATTATCAAAATATATTTGTTCTTTTTCATCATCTACGTGCAATTCATCCCTGATGTATTTTTTAACTTCTGTAAAAGTTGGGTCATTATGAACGCTGGGGGAAAATATAAATATTCTTGCAAATGATTTCTATAAACATTTAAAATAAGATTCTGAACTAAAACTGTTTTGCCTCCCGTCGAACTCGCAACTATAATACTTCTAAATGGTAATTTTGGCACGTGCTCATATTTAGATTGTTTGAATTCATATTCAGTTATGTTTATTGGTTTTATTATTGGGACATCTGTCATAGTTGATATTAAAGAAATATAGAAAATTATATTTAAAAATTAACTTGTAATTAATATTAAATGGAACATCATTATGTTATGAGTGGCGGTGAATAACATAATGGAACAGGTTTTCCATTGCTTCAATCAATAAGCATTGAAGATAATTAGTTTTGTGTCTTGCTCGCGTGTGCAAATGAAAACCCAAGTGCTGTGCCCCACCAATATTCTATTATGCATGAAAATAATAAGATTAATTAGAATAATTTATCTTATTATTTAATATGGATAGAAGTTATTCAGATTATATTGATATAATAGATGAAGTAGAGAATATAGAACAAGTAATAATAACTGACAATAAAATTAAGAAATGCTGTTATTATACATTAGAATTAATAAAATTAGGAATACAATATATCAAAAATAAAAATGTAAATATTAATATAAATGGGAAAAAAGAAAAACAAAAAGAATAAAACGGATACTACAGTTTCTTCAACAGATGAAGACAAAGAAGAAGAAATTGTTAAGGAAACAGCACTAACCGAGTTTGAGTGTCCTATGTGTAAAAAGATGTTAGAAATGAAAAATGAAATAGAAATACAAAAGAAAGGAAATTGTAAATGTTCGTGTATTCCGACAAATTTCAAATTGAGTAAAAACGATAAGAAAATGAATATTGATAAAACCAAAGACAGTATAAATCTGGAAACGGATGTTCATAATATAACTTTTAAATGGGGGAGGCATGCGTCGCCATCCGATAATGGTGATAACGAAGCACAGGAAACTATTAAACAAATGATGAAAATTTAGTACTTAAAGAGTAGATTTTACATTAAATCAATTTTATAAATAAATAAATATTTAAATAAATAATTATATAAATAAATATATATAGAAATGTCTGAAGTTGAAAATGATGTTATTGTTGAACTATCAAAGAAGATAATGACAGTTAGTAAAAATGTTAAACTGTTGTACGAGATGATAAAAACTATTGACCAGAAACTTGATGCAAAGGCAAACGAACCAAAAAATAACAATGAAGAGAAGGAAAAGATTGATAAGATCTTTGAAAAGAAAGGGATAGGCAGACCCAGCGGTGATTATGACACGAAGCGCAAAAAATATTGCGATATGTTAAATAAGGGGCAAATCAAAAGTCCAAAAGAACAAACATTAGAATATTATAAAATAATTAAGGGCGATGATGGTAAATATGTAATTGTTGAAAATTAAAATATAAATAATTCTAATAATATGAATTTATTAGAACTATTTTCAGGCAGTGGTTCTGTTTGTAAAATTGCACGGGATTTAAGTTTTAATGATGATAATCCAATTTTAGCAATTATAATTTAATTATGCTATTTTAATTATAATTTTATTTTATTAATTTAATTTTAATTTATTAATTTAATTTTAATTTATTAATTTAATTTTAATTTATTAATTTAATTTTAATTTATTAATTTAATCTTAATTTATTAATTTAATTTTAATTTATTAATTTAATTTCTTGTAAAAAGTACTTAAAGAAATATTAATTATATATATTATCATACAAATGGTTGTATTTACAGAGGTTGAACAGGAAGAAATTATCAATGAATTCTTAACTTATATTGAACAACAGGAAACTAAAATAATTGATTATTTTTTGAGTGATAATGATAATAAAACAGAAGAAGAAGAAGAAGAAGATAACAGTTACGGATTTGTAACTGAAAAACGGTTAGAAAAGGAAGTTACAGAACATCATAAAATGATAAACAATATTGAAACGAAAAATTACATCCCATTAAAACATGCAATGATAAAATATATGGAACAAACCAACAACCAACGAATAATTAGAAATGCTGGAAACTATTCATACAGTCAAAAGACATCCAATTGCTGGTATTTAAGCTTTAGAGAATTTGAATGGTTAATCGAAATAAAAAAGAATGGCAACAAATGGATTTGTAGCAAAGAAAAATTAGATGCAGTTGATTTTAACATATTGTATAAATATAAAATGTTTGAAAGAAGATTTGAATAATCATAAAAAACGAATGAACCAGACCTTGCCCATAATATGTCTACAAAAATTGTGATAAAATTTATTGTAAAATAATTTATCATAATTTTTGGAATAATATGTTTTGAAAATTTATTTATTTTTATTTTGTAAAAATTATTTTTTTTTTATTTTTTTTGTAAATTTTTTAATTTTTTTTGTAAAATATATTTTTTCAATTTATTTTTTAAATTTTATTTTTTAAAATTTATTTTTTATTTTTTAAAATTTATTTTTTATTTTTTAAAATTTATTTTTTATTTTTTAAAATTTATTTTTTTTTAAAAACAATTTATATTTTAAAATATGGATGAACTTACTAGGAAATTACCTGCTTTAAAATGTTGATTTTTGAAAATGTGCTTCTTGAGGTGCTGTTTTAAAATGTTGCTAAAAGTGTGGGGAGGACCCTAGGTTTTTTTATAGAAAAAAGATGGGCAAGGTCTAGTCTAACTAAAACCTGGGGTTTTTGCAACACGTGAGACCGGCCAATGGACAGGTGTGACAGTCATGGCGTGGCCTTTGCAAGTCCCTGTGGGCCTTGCAAGTCAATGCGGGCTCAAGTAACCGGAAAGCAATGCTATTTGGCAGGGAACTATGTTCACCAAAGGGTTTTCAACCAAGGTTCTTGCCTACAACAGCCTGACGTTCACTCAAGTCGGTTCCGTCGCAAGTCGGTCCCAAGCCTGGGGTAAAAAAAATAGGTACCAGCTTGCATCGAAGGACAATCATGTGTGTAGCATCCTAGACCCCATTTGTTGGAAGTTGGCTTCCAAAGAGAATCATCTGTGCCAGGTATGTGCACCCCCCAAAAAAAAGGGTAAAAAAAAAACACTACTGGGACCTACTGTAGGCAAAGGAAACCAACCATGCACGCCTGAGCAACTCTGAGCTGCAACCTCTCATGCAAACCACGTGGGCGATTCTTGGGGGCTCGGCTTCTTAAGCCCGAACTCCTCCCGGAGCTCCGGAAGCTTCTCCTGACGAGAAACGAGAAAACCATGGCACACGTGCCATAGGGAATCATATCTTCTTACCCCCTATGGTTTGGAGGTCAGAAGGTAGTTACATGGTGTTGCAGCCTGCTGGGTGATTTGGATTGGTTCGGAGGGAAGGAGGTGGTTTCCCAATTGCCGGCTGTCCTGACATCTCAAAACAAGATGTGGGTACTATATCGCTTTCTGGAATTTGAATAAGTGCTTGTCGTTGATGTTTTCAATCTCAAGCTTGGCGATTCTGTGATTCAGGGGAAGCCCACGTCTCATGTTAAGCAGATCAAAGAATTGGGGCTTTTATAGATATCTTGGGTTTACCAAAACGGGAAAAAAAAAGAAAAGAAAAAAGAGGCGATTTCGGTTTTCTGCTCCTTTTGAAAACATCCCGAAAGGGCACACAACCAAACTCCAAGACCCACGTCCGTCCTCGAAGAACATGTAGGCCGAGGTCTTGTCGAACTCCAGAGCCTCGAGCGCAAATCGCGAACCAAACCCAGTCCCCAGTCCCCACCTCCCCGAAAGGCTCCAAGAAGCTGAGGGTTCTTAGGGTTCTGACCAGCTTTTTGCTGGGCATCTTCACAATTGAAAACAATGAGCATACCCATCCACTGCAAATCGAGGAACACATCTCTGGGCAATTTGACAATGGCCCATACAAACAAGAGCAAGTCGCAGCCCAGTTCGTCCGACATAAGCCCGGGACAGTGTCAGCCATCGGTCTTTGAAAAAGGCTCTGCAGACCAGCCCAGCAATTGAACTTCGAACTCCCTCCTTGCAAATCCACAAAGGGACAGGGCACAACAAACACGTGGGCACAAGCACAAGAACTCGTGGGTCCTGTTTCCAAAGCTGAGAAAGGCCAATCCAGAACAGGACCAAAATGGGGCAGGCAAGGGATGTTGGATGACTTCACGTCAAGCCCACGCCCCACAGCCCACGCAAGGAGCGCCCTCTTTTTCCCCTTGCAGTGACCCCCGAATCGAATTCCAAGGCGAGCCACACAGCGGCTCGGAGGCTTGCCAAGCTTTTGCATCTTCCAACTGGCAAAGGTTCATGGCTCCGGCGGGTCGACCCTGCGGCCTCCGCCCCACTTCCAAAACCAAGCTTCACAAGCCCGACATCGCGTTGTGGCTCCCCATCCGTCAGTTCAGCCGTGCACGCTTGACTCTCGGCACCCTCGGGTGAAGATGGACGTCTTCTTCTTTGCTCAATGTCAACGCATCGGCACCAGGAAACAGCGCCATGCCGATGGTCTGCGTCTCGCCTTTTAGGCCGGGAAGACCAGGGAACACCAGACACCGTGGACGAAAGAGCTATCTGAATCATACCTATGGCCGGGTCTGGGAAGACCGTCTGGTGCGGTTCTGCGGGTCCCCCCCCTGCAGTCGACAGCTTGAGATTGGCAAGGGAAACAAAAGGACCAATGCCTGCAACCTGCTGGGGCCCAGAGCCGAACCGCCGGGTCCCACGACCCGCATGCTATGCCGCGCCGCATGTTGCTTGCGTTCGGTCTAGGACTGGTACCTCAGAAAGAGCGGCGCGTCGTTGCACTCCTTCAGCTCCTCGGAGGTTTCGACAACGGTCTCCTCAGCCTCGACCGCGGGCCTCGCGCGGGTGCAACGGTGGGCCAAAGTCACACCACTTGGACGCGCGGAATTGGACAGGAGTCCTCAGCTACAGACAGCCTCACGAAAAGAAATCATAAGGACCCCTCCAAAGTCACAGGCCAATTCCGGAGAGCCGCCATAAAAATTGTCCGAAGCCATTCTCTTGGTTTTCACCTCACCGTCTTGGCCACTTTTAACTTTGCTCTAATCCGGAGGACCATGCAAATCAGGGGCCCTTCATGGAAACTGGGCGGTTGGCCGAAGCGCCTGCAACTTAAAGCACAAGAAGGCTTCATCTTTGGTTGCCCTATGGGGACAAAAAGGCAGGGGATCCTGAGGCTCAACAGAGTTTGCTGAAGCCCGCCCAACTGCCTAAAGAACGATCAGTTCTTTAAGTACTTCGCGAATGAAACACCAAAAGCCATCTGTTGTAGGAATAGAATCCAGATGGTGCACCCCCTCTTTCTCCCTTCCTTCTTTCACTCTGGAACATTCATGGCTTCTCATGGCTCAAGCCCCAAAGCCTTTGGAGTTTGCCTTCAAAGAACCACTTGCTGACTTCACTTTTCTATGGGTGTGGGTCAAAAACAGTTACCAAAAATGGCTTGCCCTGGTAGAAGAAACCAGGGACTACAACCTGCGGTCCCTGGTGGTTTTACTTTTTCCTGGTGGAACCCAATATTTCCACCACGCGGTTCCATCGTGGCGTAACTCCCGGCCTGGTCAACCGCTCCGCGCCCTGAAGCCCCGGTAGCCGCGGCAGCCCGAATTCGGCGCCGGACTCGGCGCTGCGCCGCTCGGAAGGCTGCGGACGGCCCTCGGCGGTGTAGCCGTCCAAGGTGAAGACCTCGCAGGCGCGCGCCAAAACCGGTTGAAGCCTAGATGTCCAACCTGAAATCACAGCAAAAGCTGAAGATCCCTTAGAACGACAACCCTAGGTGAGAAATTGAAGCCATCCAGAAAAGGGCACCAAGAAAAACCTAAGCCTCAGGTGGCCTGAGTCGTCTTGAAGTCTAAACATGGACACCCTGGTCGCCCTTTTATTGCCAGGCAAACTGTTCCACCAAAATCCATGTTTCTCTTTGGGCCCCAAAGAGGCACACACACAAACACACACACACACTAATATACAACCAACCCTCCAAACAACACACACACACACACACCAACCAACCAACCAACCAGACACGAATACCAAGACCAAGACCAAACCAACTAAAAACAAACCATCAAGCCAAACCCAAGCCAGCTTTAGAAACAAAAAAAAAACATCAAGAAGAACCGAACCCAAACCAGCTGAAAAATACCAAGGCCATAAACCAGCTATTAAAAACAGGCCGTCAAAAAAACAAAAACGAACCAGCTGGAAAACAAAAAAACAAACCAGCTATTAAATCAAGAAGATGAAACAATAAGGCCATCAAGAAAACCCCCCATGCCACCTGCCGGTGTTGTTTGATTTTTCTTTGGCTTCTCGCCTTGTAGAGCTCCTTGACATCAGAGCTCTGCAGGTTCCCGGCGGACACCAGCGAGGCCAGGCCCTGCTTGTGTGCCTCGCAAGCTGCTCCAAATTTTTAAATCGATGGGTTTTCATCCACCAGCATTGAAGAAACAATTATGCAACGCACTCCGGGGTCCTTTTGACCTGAAACAGCTGTCACATCCATGCAAGTATCTATCTCTTTGCCTTTTTACGTTCAAGTCAGGCGGTTTCTGACCAATTTACGTTTAAAGCATGAGTTTGTGATCCACCAATATTTGGGGGGCAGGGCCATTCTTCGTGGGCAAGCCACTAAATACGCACGTTGGATGTCTGCACATCAAGGCAAGCTCCTATTGAACCAGTACTTTTGCTTGGCTGCATCCTCAATGTTCTCCCCCTTTCATTTTGACTCGCCGGGGGGTTTGCCTCTATGACCCCGGAAAAGTCCGCGAGTCATTTTGGCCCTGTGCTGTGGCGTTTTTGAAACGAGGTTTCTTTCTCTGGCTGCTTCCGAGAAATCTGGAAGCTGAAAATGGCGGCACAGGAGACACATGGTTTGACAACATCCACGTTGCCCGCTTCAGCAAGGAACCCTGCAGCTCCCCAACGCGAATTTCCAGGCAGAAGTGCATACGGCTGAACCCCCAAGTACTACCTCACAAAGAAACACAGACAGTCACACAGACAGACAAACCAACACACACAGACACAGCTTCTGGACTTTCATAGTACCCAGAAACGGGGACGAGAATGGGCCTAGACTAGTGCGGCAGCTTTCACACAAAGCTTGGGAGTAAAGGCTTGGGAAGTGCCTTAAAATATGGCCTCCCAAAATGCACTTTGATTGCCCTGTGGCTGCCCTTTGACCCCCCCAACAAAAAAAGAACACTACCTTCTACATGGTTCAAATCCAAACCCACCCCCAAAAAAGAGAGAGAAACCACCAGTGATTTGAGAACCCTTCAAAATGCCGCCACACAAAAATGCCAACAGCCAGCCGCCAGCCGTGGCACTTGGCGCTTCAAGATCTTCTCCTCCAAAGTGCCCAAGGTGGCCAGGCGGTAAATCGTCACCGGCTTCGTCTGGCCTCGCGCAGAAAATGCGACGGAGCCTGTGGTCATTGGAGGCTTGAAAGTTCATGAGCCCACTTTGGAAGTGGTCTCTCATTGAATTTCATAGCCACTGAACAAAGCGGCGCGACACAGCTGCGGTAGATGAACATTGTGAAATTGACGAATGTGAACTTGATGTGGTGGTGGTGGTGGCGGTGGCGGTGGCGGTGGTGGTGGTGGCGGTGGTGGTGGTGGGTGGTGATGGTGACCCCTTTCCACTTGTCTCAGCTATAGTCTAGGCTTGTTTGCCCTTGAGATTTCCGGTGTATATTCAAGCTCCAAATGCTGAGCCCCAAAGATTCACCCGCTCGGGTTTGCTGAAGGCATTCCAAGTTGGAAAGACTCGATGGTCACATTGCAGTCTTCAGCGAATGCACAAACAGGGATCCTTACATTATACACCTGAACAGTGCCTTGTAAATGGTGGTGTCCCTTTATGTTTGTGGAAAAATCAATGTTTCAAATGGGCAACATGTTTTTTAAGGAGCCCTGACAAAGCTTCGATCTTTGTACAGATCCAAAATTCCTCCACCTTCTGGGGAAACTCCAAATCTTTAACATCTCTGTGGCTCGCGAAAAAAGCATCCGTTTCCGCGGCGCCTTGTCGCCAGACCCGGCCCATGGCTTGCAGATCCACCGCAGGGTTCCAGTCCGGCTCCAAGAGCAACATGCGGTTGGCCCCAGTCACGTTGAGGCCTCGATCCGTCGAATTGAAGGAAGGCGGCTGGAGGAAAGAGGGGGGGTCCTGGATTTTGGGTTCAGAGATGCTTCGCGATTTCGTGAGATGCACTTGGGGGGTTCTTCGAACATTGCCCTTCTCAGAGTTACCCAGGTAGGGCTGAACTGCAGCTACTCTGTGAAGTGGTCAACTTGATTGCAAAGGGAGTTCTTTTGGAGGTAACAAAGCCGGGAGAGTTGGGGCTAAGGCTTGGCCTTTTGTGCCCGGTCGGCATGTAACTCAACATCTGACTCGGCACAAAAAAGGTGCGGATTTGAGAAGAAAACGGTCCCAAATCCTGGCGATTCCCGGCGGTTCGAAAACCACCGCGATCCCCGGTTCAAGAAGGCCAAAAAAAGAGGTAACAAATGGGAGGAACCCAAAGGCCTTCCGGCAACAGGGTTCTTGGAACCTTCCTAGGACGGCTCACTGAGGATTTACAATTCACCAAATTTGTCGGACGACAAATGAGAAATTTACAGATCTACCGTTGCCCGGCTTGCGGATGAAATTCTGCAGTCAAACCCGTCTGGCATTTGCAGGAACCATCTGGTCATAAAGAGCGTGATATGCATGTCGAAATTTGGGGGAACCCCAAACTTGTGGTTTTCCTTTTGGTTTCCCTTGGGCCAACCTGAAAAAGGGCAGCCTGAAACAAGCCGCACCCATGCCCTTTCGCTCTTCTCAGCGACGCCCTCAGGGGCCCGGCCCACCCCGCCGGCTTTCGCGGACAGCAGAAACCTCACAGAGGTGAAGCGAACAATTTCCTCTGGACGTTGGCCATGGGTCCAAACCCCGTACCCCCAGTGTAACCCACAGCCATATGGGGTTCAAGATTACTGTCCCCAGTTTTGACCAAGGGGAATTGTTCCCCAATTTGGTGGGGAAAAGCTTTTTCGTTGCCTCCCCAATGGTCACCTCATGTAATGGACCTTTTGATCAACCCCCACATAGATCTCCAAATAAGAACCGAACCCGGAACAGAAATTCATCAACTCGCCACAGGCAAACATACCAAGCCATTTTGGGGGTGGTGCAAGCCTCAAAGTATCTCAAAACAAATTCTTCTGAGATATAGAGGTTCCTGTGTTGGGTGTTGGGAATGTGGTCATCCCAGTCGCAAATGCAGATGCTCGCAGAGCGTCTGATCAACAGAAGCATCTGCGCATTCAGGCCATGGATATCCATTTTTAGTCAGCTCTGATCCCGTTTGAAGCAGCAGCTTTCCCGAATGCAGTGCTCGGGGTGTGTCTGAACACCTAGTCTACAGTTTACTTTGCCTCTTCTATGTGGAAGTCCTTCTGTTTGAGAAACTGCTGATGCCATCACACCCCAAACTTCGCCAGAAGTCATTTATGTGGTAGAAAGTCTGTTCCCGGACCCCCACTCCAAACCAATCCTCCGAGTTCTCCAATTTGATGCCCAGAATTCCCGCAAGTCCCACATCCCGTCGAAGCGGGACCCACTTTCTTCGTAGGCGGGGTTTCTGGAAGACGCAGTCCAGTCGATCAGAGCATCCCGGCAACAAAACCAACGCGAGCACCCGCAGCCAGGCATTGGGAGATTTTGGAAGAGGTGAAACCTAGTTGCAGCCAGCGACCTTCGGTAGAAAACGAAGAAGGAATTGTTGGGAAAACCCACTAAGGATGCAATTGAACTGGGTCCAGACCTCCACGTGTAAAACCGGCACTGCTTTTTGCTGACTTTTCATATGGAAAGAGAGAAAAAGGAACAAAAACTCCCAGAGTGCCGCCTTACTTGACTTCCCCACACCCCTCCAAAAAATACATAACAAGAGAACCTCCTCCCCCCCTCGCGAGAGACGCCAGGTTGGCTTTCCAAGGCACGCCTTGGGTCCCCGCTGCTGGTTGAAGTTGTCCACCAGCGCCTGGCGCTTCTGCACCGCCGTGGACCCGTCGAGGTGCGACACCTTGAAGCCCAAGCCTTTGCAGAGCGCGCCTCAGAGCTCAGCGCCGCGAACCGACCGCCACCCGGAAAAGCGGAGAAAGGCACAAAGCGGCCACTCGAAGGACATAGACTCCTGTTTCTTCCTCTTCTTCTTTTTTTGGGTTGGGGGGGGGGTTAAAGGGTCACAAACAAAATACACCCCACTTCAGCCTGCTGAACAAGTTTACAGCTGCAAATCCTGTTAGTTGATTGAACAAGACGTATTTTATGCAAGAATCCACAACACATCTCTGACGTTCCTCTGGCCAAGGAAACTCTTGCCAAGTTGATTGCGACCTCCGGTTCAACAATCTATGCTTTGGCCCCATGTTGCGACCCACTTGTCCATTCTGGACATAAGTTCGGACCGAGACGCAAGCCAAATCTCACTTCCGGAGTGGACTGGCCAGAAGAAGTCCAAACAGTGTTGTTTACCACTAAAATGGTCATCTTCCCAAAAAGTGAAAACCGTCCGAAACGGAACCCGGGTGAGAAGTTGCGGTACAAGGTGGAAGTCCCCCAGCATTTTTGGTCGACCCTCCATTGCGCGGAGACTCTGCAGCAGCTCAACATCGACACGAAGTTGGAGACGATGACCACCCCGTCCTCCGGGGCCTCACCAACAAAACGCGCGAGGAAATCCAACCCACTGACTCTGGTGACACCAGAGTCAAGAACCATGCCAGAGTGAGTCTTGTGAAGCCAGTTTGGAGGACAGGTCGCCATTTTCCGGCCCCTTGGTCAAAGGCACCCCCCGTCAAAATGCAACACCTGTACCAGCGTGCGGCATTTTCTAACGGCTCCAAGCCCAAAGGCCACATCGAGCGACCAAGCTTTCAGTGGCCTTCCGGGTCCTTCCTCGTTTGCCTTCCAAACCAAAAGGGTGGTTCCCCACCCAGAAGAAAAAACACATATTTTGCTTTTTGTGCTTTGCCTTTGAGACCAAAAGGCGTCCTTCCCCCCCCCATCCAAACTGAGCACCGTCGCCACCCCCCGAAAAAACCGGGGCGGTTTCGCCCTCCCGATGCGCGCGCTGGAAGCCGCGCCTCGGACTGGAGGTGGGACAGCAGACCTTCCAGCAGCTCCAGCTTGGCCGACGGCACCCCGCAGGACCGGCCCAAGGCTCCTTGGCACGGAATCGCTCTCACCAATCGCTCGGGTCCGGACCGGCAAGGACCAGAAGAAGAACAAGGAAAAGACACAGCAAAAACCAAAAAGGAAAAAAAAACAGGTCCAAAAACAGGTCCAAAAGAATGTGGCACAAAGAAAAAGAGAAAGCAAATGCTGGCAAACAACAAAATGGCCAATTGCCGGTGCATGATTCTGCGCTCAACACGTGCCTTACGTGCTTCGCTCGCTTCACCTGGCTCTGCGATGAAGTCATGCGCCAACATGTCATGTGGCCAAGTGCAGCAACACCCAGTTGCAAAGAGATAGTCACGCGCAAATACACACACACACACACGAAACAAAACATGTCAATCTCTCATATTAACGCACTTTCCTACATTTCAAGTCAAGTCTGCCCAAGAATGAACAAAGGCCTCCAAATGCCTCCAAATGAGAGGCTATCTGACTTATTGTTATTGGCTTCACTGCGCTTTTAATGCCGTCTCAACAAAGGGGTCTTATATGCGTGCCTCTCCGCCTAGTCGATTTCCTTTTGGCTTCCGTGTAAAGTCATCCAAATCAGGGTTCCATGTTGACCCCCCCAAAATTCCCAAATTCCCTAATCGTGGGGGATGATTGCTAGAATCTTCTGGCCCCCTTTGTAAAGTTTAGGTCAAGAATAAAGGATAAAAATGGATGTCCTCCATGTGTTGGTGCATGGAGTTCCATCATGGATTTGCCCTCGCAAAAAGGGTGCTTCTCGTTCTGCGCGAACGCGAGCCACCCCAAACGCCGAGACGCTCTGCACCACCTCCTTGCAGCCAGTGGCGAAGTCGGGAAGCAGCGAGATGGGCGCCTCCTCAGCTATTGGTCAGCGGTCAGATTTCAGAAACTTTGCACCCAAGGAACGGCCTCTTCAATGGTCATGAAACTCCTTCTGTATGCGTGCGATGCTTCAACAAAATCCAAATTCAAAGACCCTTGTTAGTTCCTCGACACCAAGGCTCCTCTCACAATGGAACTTTTTGGAAGGAACCCCTAGATGATGCTCTGTTGACAAAAATAATAACTGCTAGGCCTACTACTACTCATGCAACATATCATTTCTGATCGCCAGAAGTGGACCGTTTCCTGCAATCACCACACACCTGGTTGCTTCATCGGAAGTCTCGCAACTCGAGACCGACTTCAGCATTGCAGCAGGCTTCTGAACACAAACTCTGTCCAGGGCCACAAGCCAATCGGTTGAGGGCTCCGCCCTGACTTGAGCTTCCAATGTCTCACATGGAATCCCGGAGTGCAAACTGCAGATTCCGTCACTCTCTTCCAGACCGTCACCGGCTCCTCCTCATCCGCAAAGGCAACCCTCGCGGAGGAGAAACTGGGCGCCGCCGACTTCTTTTCGAAGGAAGTTAAGAGTCCTGAGGCGCAGGACCGGGTGCCCTCGTGCACATGGATGATGGACATCAGCTTCGGCACAAACACCCGCAACACGGAAGATACCTCAACAACAATTAGTAGAAAAAGAAAGCTGCCAGACATACATGTACAGTAAGCTTTGTTAGGGTTGGATCCTGCCCAATAAACATGTACCTTTTGCAGGGGTTCTCTGAGACCCAAAGGGAGAGTTTGCGGATCGTTCCGTGGCCTGCCGGGTGTTGAATCTGGGAAAACGGCTGAAAATGACACATCTCCTCTTGGTCTCTTTTGGTGCCCCTTGAGGGATTGGTTGGTTTCCAACCTCCCCCCTTTTTGAGTTGCATTGAAAACTTAAGAAGGTACACCACTTATCGCCATACCTTTGGCGTGAGTAGTTCGGTCACAACCCCAACCCCCCCCCCACTTGCGCGAAAATCCCAACGCTTTTAGTGTTTCTCAGCACAACCGCCATGTGTGTAATTATGTGCGTGTGTGTTTTGAGGGTACCATTTTAGCAGCAAGACTAGGTCCTCCAGTAGAGAGGTTCGAATAAGGGTACCGACTTTTTTTCTGTAGTCTATTTGAGTAGGGGGTTCCCCTCCCAACCAAAAACAAGTTGGGTGAGAAAGGGCACCTAGCTGGGGGGACCTAGAAGAACCCCCCCCCCCATTGAGACAAGGCTGTGGGTCAAAAGCACGTACCCCCAAATAAACATCCCAATCCCCACTGACATCGATTAAAATGGGTGGTGCACCAATCCCCCTTTTTTGGGATACCATTGGTTTTGACCCACTGCCATATGGGGGTTGGTCAAGATTACAGTCAAGATTACAGCCCCCCCCCACCCAACACCCCAAACCCGCACCCGGATTTTGACATGTGCCCACGTCCGAAAATCTCCTTATTCCCCTCCCCCCATTGAGACCGGTGCCCATGTCCGGCTCGATCGCTTTCTGAGCCGAGGCGCCGCCGGGGTCGTTGCACAGCTGCCGCAGCAGCTGCAGCAGCCCAAGCTGCTGCCCGGCCCAGCGCAGGGCCAGCAGCCCGCGGTAGGCCTGGAGGGTCCCTTGACCACCCCACCACTCTAGGGGTAACTTCCATTCCCATTCTTGGAACCTTGTGGGGGCTTCCATTTTGGGAACCTTTGTTCCGCGCCATCCCTAGTTTCAATCTACCAAGCTTCCATTTTTCTAGGGGTAACTTCCCCATTCTTCCCAGGGATCCGAATCTTTCTAGAAAACCACCAAACACCCTGGGCAAATTTGGCTGGCTTTTGAAAAGAACGATGGCTGAAAAGAATGGCACCCACCCACCACCCAGCGCCGCCATGGGAACTTGTGGGCTCGGTCGGTTGGTCGGGGCTGGTTTCTATATGTACAACCTTTATGCTCCCCAACCCTCCACACAAACCCTCAAAACAAAACAAAAAACAAACAACGGGACCTCCCCAACCTCCCCAACCCTCAAAACCCCAAACCCCTACAACCCGCCCCCCCCCCCCGGGCGACCCTTCGCACGACCTCCGTCCGCCTCCACCTGCGCGGGCGCCAGGGCCACGGTGAGCAGCAGCTCCGTGCGGCTCGGCAGCATGGCCTCTCCGAGCGTCGAACCCGAATCCGATCTGTCGGGACGTTTCCTTGGCCCTCCCCGTTGGGGCAAAAAAATACGCTCAGGTGATATTCCCAACAGCATGCCCTTGGTGGAACCCTGGTGGAACCTTACCTCAGGGCCACCCCGCACCACCCCGGAGCCTATCTGGGCTGAGACCCCAAAGCTTTCAGCTGTTGGGGAAAAATAACGGACGCTGGAGGGGCACAAAGAAAGTCCTTCTTTCCAGCAAGTCAGACATTGAAGAACTGAGAACCTGATGAACCTGGCACGACGAGAATAGTTCAGGTTGTGTTCTTAATGAGGGAGGCTGATTTGCCCCCCCCCCCCCCCCAAAGCAGCGAATGACAAGCAAAGCACGGTTGAGGCCTGGATTTTTGGTCTGTGCCGTTTGTGGTGGTCTATGCTTGGGTTGTTTTGTGGATTCCTGCTGAATGCCGCCAGCCGAAAAGATCTCCCCCAACCAGGCAGCTAACATCCTTACACCTTTCATTCATGCATCTTCTCCTCTCGCATCTCTGTGCTGGCTACACGAATATTCCACATCATAACCTTGTCATTGGCACCTTGCCAACACGCCCAATGCAAAAGATCTGCTTGCGAGGCGCTTCCACTCAAGCGACCTCAACCCCTTCAATAAGTAATCACCCCTCAAGAAGTACGGCAAGAAGGGTATGACCAAACCCACCCTAAACTTGATCCCACCCCAAACCTACCCTAAACCCACCCTAAACCCACCCTAAACCCACCCTAAACCTACCCTAAACCTACCCTGACCAAAATAAGAAAGGGCTACCAAACGAGAAGGGCTTGGACTTGCGCCAGCTCTCACTTGGGACCGACAAAGCGTGTCAAACCGCTCACACCCGCCGCGCTGACTCCGCCTCCAGGATCTCAGGCCCGCGGCGCAGGATGAAGCCGGAGGTCCTGAGCCGTCACGTGACGCGAGTCAACAAGGCCGACCCAGAACCATGCTTCAAGACTTCAGAAGGCGGAGATCCGCAGCTATTTATGGTTGGGATCGTCCCTTAACCTTCGTCTAGCCGAGTTTTGAGTGTGGCTCATGTGGCCAGTGGCCCCGGTGGCATCCGTCCAAAACGGGTTTTGTAGAAATGAACCTGGAGGTACCAGCCCCCAGTTTTCAGGTCAAAAGGGAAATTCAAAGACTGGAAAGAGTCAAGATTGCCGATAAACTGGGAAATTCAATGCCAAAATGGACCCTTTGACCTTTGCGCGGGCAACATGACAGAGAAAGAAAGAGCAGGGAAACTCCAGCCAACCATACAACCAACCATTCAACCAACCATCCAACCCACCAGTCAACCCAACCAAACCAACCAAACATTCAACTGACCATTCAACCAACCGTTTTAGCAACCATTCGACCAACCAAACCAACCAACCAAACCAACCAACCAACCAACCGAGACCCACACACCCGCAGAGGCCAACCCCAGCTTCGTCCAAAGCGTCAGCCGCAGCAGCTCCGCGGAGCGGTTCCGGCCCAGCTGCCGCTCCTCTGCAGAGGCGGCCTCGTCCCGGGCGCGGTCCTCGGGAAATTGTTCACCCGCGCGGAGGTTTGGAGTCGTTTTTCAAGGGCTCCTTTATGGGACGGCCCTGGGGTTGAAAGCTGGTTTCTGCCAGGCTGGTTTCTGAGGTGTCTGGTTTCTGCCAGGCTGGTTTGGCTCCCAGCTGGAGTCTCAATTGGATACACATGGGGTGATGACCCCCACGGCTGTCGCTCCCTGTGGATTTGCGCACAAGTATCTCGGGTTGAAAACCGGTTTCTAAGAGGCGTGGCTCTTTGGGTGTCTCTTGCATGGTAGGTCAAAACAGGGTGCCTTGAGATATATGTGGCTATGCATTTGCGTAGCTCTTGGAGAAACAAAACCTGAGTCCAGCCTTAGATCCAAAACGCTTTGAAGAGCTTTGAAGCTTTTTGCGGCTCTAAAGTCTGGATTGAACATTCAAAAGCAGAGTCTCAAGGAGTCTCAAGCAAGCCAACTTCAATCTCCCAGACGGAAAAGCTGGGTTTTGGTATAGATATGTACCAAGCCAACTGATGGGAAACATGCGCTCCTACAATCTTGTTTTTGAAGAGGTGTCTATCTAGTGAGCAACGCAGCTCATTCAGCACATCAGCGGCTTCAAAAAAAACACGAACATCCGAGCAAGCACCTGGCTGCCGTTTTCGCGTTGAATTCTCAAGTTTCTGGCAGGTCAGTTGGAAGGCTCAGGATCCAGAAAAAAAAATGGGAAACATTCGCCCGGAAACTCCTAATCATCTGACCTTGAAACTTTGGCAACTTTCATATCCAACGATCTCTACCAAGCCATCAGTCCCAAAACTTGCAAAGCCCTGCACCTTCTAAATCTTGACCCTTTCTGGGGCCGTCTCCCTGTCGAAGGCTCGATGGGGCCCTTGAAGACCCGCTGGAACACCTGGGGGGACGGCATCTTCGTTGGCTGCACGAAGTGACAACAGCAGTAGAACTCATCCAGGTTGTTCTGCAGCGGCGTGCCTGGAGGGCCCTCCGTGACATGGTTGGGGCCCCGAAACCCACGCGGGCCCCAGTCTCTAGCCTGGGTTCTCAGGATAGGGAAAAATCAACACGAAAGCAACATGAATGCTTCCCGCTGGTTTCCCTTTATTTTCCTCTGAACAGGAGGCTCCCCTCAAAACGAAACACGTACTACGGCCAAATTAGAATGGAGTCGAGCACTTAAGGGCCAATTTCAGTCATGATCATAGGAGCATCTTTTTGTATTGACGCAAACAATCCAGGCCCCTTTTTTTGAAAGCCCAAACGCTCAACCAACCAACCAACCAAACAACCAACCAACCAACCAACCAACCAACCAACCAACCAACCAACCAACCAACCAACCAACCAACCAACCAACCAACCAACCAACCAACCAACCAACCAACCAACCAACCAGCCCCCTACCCGGGGTTCAGCCCCGAGCCAGACCTAGTATGAAAACACACACACACACACACACGCCGTTTCCATCCTCTCCCAGCCCCCCCCAACAACAAAAAGAAGAAAGAGAGATGACGACAGGTCGCCTGTAAGCAAAATCCTTCTGCAGCGCAGCGCTTCCAGGCGCTTGGCCGTGGCGGTGCCCGCGCTCTTCAGGCGGTGCCCCTCGTCGCAGATCAACAGATCCAGGGCCCCGTCCAGCGCCTCCGCGTGCAGCCGCAGCCTCAAAGAGCAAAGCAAGAAACCAGCAGTGGGGGCGGTGACCTGGGGGTACACACACACAGATCTGTATGAACATATAGGTGTTGTAAACATTACATACACGCATAGATTCTGAAACTTCCGCTCGCCCTTCCGCGGTCTTCCGCGACCACAGCGCCGTAACACCGAATATACTTTCGTATTCAGTCCTTACAAAAAAAGCCATAGAGGGGTTTTGGTCGATCCTCACACATACAAACACTATATATCGTTGAAGACTGCATAGGTCTGCTCAGGGTCACATGTGTTTCATTCTCCTTGACGTCGCTCTTCCATCCGAAGCCTTGTGCTAATCCCGCCCTTTTTGCAAGAAGCATTCAAACTCCAGACAATTCGAGTCCTGGCTACTTAATTCACACTTACGAAGGCTGTAGGTCTGCAGATTGTTTACCTTCGGCAGAGCATTCTCCTCGCTAAAGCACTGGTGATGCTACAAACTATCGCGACATCGACTTTTAGCAAGCGTGCTGGGGGTGTACCACTTTATTAGCACACAAACAAAAGAGACACGGACACACAAAGGCACACACAAAGGAGGTGTTGTTTCACGAGCGCTTTTGCGACCTCGCCCGGCTGAAAGAATTTCACAGGCTGTGGGTTCGCTGAAATACGACAGCCCAGCAGCTGGTCGTAGGAAATGATCAGTAGCCGTCCATCGAGCGTGCCTGCCGGGCTTCATTTCATGTCGCATGTCTCGAAACCTGCAGAACAGGGGCTTGTGCCATGGCTGTGGGTCAAAAATGGGTACCCAAAATGGAACCCTGGGTAAATGGCAAAGACTACAACCGTGTAACTCTAGCTCTTTAATTTTGAACCCATATAGCCAGCTGGAGTGCACCTTAACATCTCTCCAAATCAAAACAAAGGACTCCTTTGGGTGTCTCGTAGCTCTCAGCTCCAAGGTGAGGATCCTGCAAGTTTCAGGTCCATGTGCCCAGCGCAATGCGAAGTTTGCACATGACCTCTCCTCAAGGCCAACAGGCCCGGGCCAAGGGGTGCCCCTGAAGTGATGCAAATCCGACCGGTGCAGCACACCCGATCCGCGCCTCTTTCCAAAACCCTGGGACAAAGAGGGGCGGCGGGGGGGGGGGAACCTTTCCTATGGAAGACAAAAGGCAGAGCTCACTGGAAGAACCTGCGTGGTCCGACCAGAAAACAGGCCAAACATGAGGCACCCCAAGTAAAATGAAGGACACTGTGGCGTTCAAAACTGTGATACCAAAGTGGATTCCCATCTCTACGACTATTTTTTATCACTTCACAGGGGTTGATTCCCTTGGGCATCACAGGAAGTTTCCTTACTCCCAGCAAATGCACATGGAACCTGAAAAGGGACCCCCAAGTAGATGTCCCTACAAACAGAGAGGTTTTGAAAGTTTCGATGTTAATCTACTCCAATAATTCTCAACCGGAAATCAAGTTGAGCACCGAACATGCCTGTGACTCCATCCAATAGTGATACAGAGCCATGGGGAGCGATGGGAAGTCCGTGACCCTGAAACACTAGGCCGCAATGGTCCTGAATCAGTAAAGCAACGGAGAAAAAAAAGAGCTATGGCCACTGACACTGGATTAGTCTTCCCCGCGGTTCCTAAAGTTGATCGAGTGTGCCCCGTGTCATCCCCTTACTGTACGTGACAGTAAATATTCACCGTTGCTCATATTGGGGCTTCTCAAAATGTTGGCCCCCTAAACTGGTAGGGTCTCCCTTTGTTGTCACTTGGATACCCACCAAAAGGAGGAACATCATTCGAAGCGGTGTCAAAATCGGTTCCGCCTTTGAAGCACCCCCCCCAAAAAAAAAGAAAAAAAGAAAAAGAAGTCCCCTCCAACAAACACACACACACACACGCACGCACGCACGCACGCACGCACGCACGCACGCACGCACGCACGCACGCACGCACGCACGCACGCACGCACGCACGCACGCACGCACGCACGCACGCACGCACGCACGGGCACCCACACACACACACATATCTGCAAATGCTACTACAAATCCAAAAGCTGAATTAAAGGATCCCCAACTAACGGACCTTTAGCATGGCTTTCGCTCGTGAACTACCCCCGAATCCACCCGTGAGCTCGCTATAAAAAGTAGGCAGACTCAACTAAACTGCAAATTCTATCACAATTCCAAAAAGCTGAATTCAGGGATTCGTGAGCTTGCTATTAAAACATTGGCAAACGCCCCAACCCCGACGTCTCGGAGCCTGTGCTTCGCAGGAAGGTCCTCACCTGCTTGGCCGGCTCAGTGCCCACCACCACCGGCCGCAGCCGGAAGCCCAGCCAGCGCGACACCTGGCGCGTTGGAGGTGCCATCCCCCCAAAGCAGCTCCAACGAGCCGAAAAAAAAAAGAAAGGCGAACACGGCCCAAGAAGGGAAACTCTCTCAAAATGGGAAACTGTATAAGGGTCTGTCTCAAAAATCTGGCCTTCCCGGCCCACGTTGTTGGTGGGGATGTGCTTGCCGGGATCCCACTTCCGCCCTCCTCAAATCTTGTACACTGGTAAAACAAAGACACCCCCACAACAAGACACCGGGCGAAATGGGCCTACCCAACACCTCCTTTGTCAATGCAGTATTAGTTTATGGGGACTGTCTCATCATCTACCCAGGCTTTGATTGAATGGCCAAACCTGGCACCTGTTTAGATCCGAGTTGGACAACGGTGATCTCACTCCGTCTGAACTCTGTCCGCTGAATCGCAGCTCGCATTGTGCCAAAGAATCCTTGATACCAAACTGAGCGATATTCATCCACGTGCCAACTCTATCGCGAGAAGGAGTCCCTTTTTAACGGAAAATCGTTCAACGCGCAAATCTCCCCACCATGGGTGTCCTTTTGGGGTGGTTTGCTTGGCACATTGCAGGCCCTGGTAGATGACTAAACCACAAGCTAATCCAAAACCATCGATTTGTTCAACCGAACCAACAAGGACACCACTTCTCCTCCGTCGCTCGCGCCTCAGCCTCCCAGTTCCCACAAAGGGAGCTGGGGCAAACCACCGCAGCCTTTTTGGAGATGGGCCTGGCACGGGTGGCATTCCCACATGTGTATGGGTCTGGTCGGACACCACTTACATTGGGATTTTGTCCACCATTGACGGCGTTCCCCATTGAAATTCATGGCCACATGAGCGCAAGTGGTCAGAACTCCAAAAGTGTGGGTCGTCAGGTGTTTTGACCAAGAACTGATGGTTGCAGCCTGAGACACCCAGGTCGTGGGCAAAGGCAACTTTGCACAAGTAGCTTCCTGAAAATGCAGGCTCATGCATAAACTTCACTTGTTGACATAGATCGGTACAAACAAAACGACTACTTGGGGCAAATGATGCGTCAAAGGAAGGATCCCATAAAATGTTGGCTTTCTCTTCCTCTTGGCATCTTTTCAAAAGTCAAGCTGCAGGGGAGGACACCTTCCCGACCGGCACATCATCAACAAAAAACACCCGGACGGGTATGTTTTGGCTTGCGCAGGGATCCTTACATTATACACCTGAACATTGCAACCTGTAAATGGTGGTGTCCAACTTTATTTTGGTACGGAAAAAGCCACAGGTTTCAAATGGTGGCAAAATGGAGATCTTTTAAGGAGCCCTGTTGCAACCAGTGGCTTTTCGTTAGGGACGGGTGACTTCGCCAAAACCTTCCACCTCTCCCACGCGTCTGGCCTTCCCGCCGGCTTGTGAAAGGCGACCCACAAAGTGCAAATCGCCTGGCGCCCGCCGCCGCTGGGCTGGTAGAGAACAAAAAAGAACACGACACGCGAGAGATTGGAATGGCCCGGCCATCAGGATTTGCGTCCTATGCCCCACATGTACCAGGGGGTGTTTAATGCAACAGCTGGGAGCTGGGGTTGCAATTGATGATTAGGCAATGGCAAAGAAGTGCTCCCAAATGTCTTTCTATGTTTGAGAAGAACAAAAAAAAACGCAATGCAATAGATTTTGTGCTCCAATCTTGATTGGCACACATGTAGTCAGCACTCATGTGGGTTATCATGCTTCCCAAAGCAACCCTTGCAAGAGGTTGTCTATCACATTTCGAGAGATTGATGACCATCACCCCAAGTAGAACCGGTCATTTGGCCCGATGGCCGCCCCGGGCCCCTTGCGATCCTGGTGGCGATCCGACGCGCAGCTGCGCCCGTGTGAATTGCGAGCTTGGCAAAAGTCATGGCTCTAAGAAAGAAAAGGGGACGAAAAAGAATCGCAGGGTGCAAAGGCGGAAGAGGAAAAGGAGGAGGCGGAGGCGGAGGACGAGAATGCGAGTTTTGTTGTGGGCATGGCGTGGGCGACAGAGTGATCCAAGTTGTCAACTCTTTGCGTCCTGTTTCAACCACCAATCCTCACAGTTTCACTGGTTGCATGGTTGACTCGCGCTCCCCTCAGGAACTCTGGTCCGGTTGGTTCAGCCAATCAGGGAACAAACTGTTTAAACTTGCTGCAGGCACTGGTGCTTAAGCATCCTCACGTGGGGTTCCTATTGCCGACGTCCATGGCACGAAAGGTTGACCTTACTGTGCCGAACTGCACAATGCATATCCTCTCACAACAAATTTGGAAGTGGGCAGGAACCGGGCCAAAATGAGAGTAGTCTTCCAAAGGCGGCGATCTGTGGACAATGATTCAAGAGATCCCCCGTGAGCGACCTTCACCATGGCTGAGCTCGTCTCACTCTCCAAGTGTGTTCGACAAAAACGCGACCAACATATGTAGCCGCCCATGTTGGACAGTTTTCAACCCGGAAACTCACCGGGCTCCACCCCGATTGAATTGGTACCTCTACAGGTGCCTTGGGTTCATTGGGGTAGGCAAACCTCTCCCGCGTTCAGTGGAAGCCACCAACATGGCCGGCATCACCAGAGATCGAGCGGGCCGAAGGGGAAAATGGAGGAACCCCGGTCCTCAAATTCGGTGGGTCCCGACTCAATACGTCCACCAACCAGTTCAGCCTGTCCAGTTCAGTCTTGAAATCCTCGGCCTGCAGGGTCTTTCCCAGGCCCATGGAATCTGCCAGGATACAGCCGCCTTCGGCCAGCAGGTGCTGCGTCATGAACTTCACCCCCTCCTCCTGCCACAAAGCGGCCACACCCCAGAAAATGGGCGGCTGAACCCGATTTGGTTCCCGACCGACCACCACGGAGATGAACCAAACTTGAAAGCCCATCCAACTGGACAAAAGCAATCCCTGAAACCCAAACACAGGCGTCCAGCTAGGTTTGGCTCAAATGAAAGAACATGGATGCCAAGCCCTGGCACTCCACTCCGCCAAGGGAAAGCCTTTCCCATTCAGTCCCTGACTTTGAGACGGTGGCAAATGCGCACCATCGAAGCATCTCAATGCAGTGGTGGCAGAAAACGTTTCCCTTTCTAAACAGGTCCATGCCGGAAAACTACTATCCTCGTGGAAAGGGAGATGCAGTTGCACACTCCACCCTTTCAGACGGGTCTAATCGGAAACTCATCGCAAAGAAATCTATCAGCGGACAGGCAAGCCACTGCACAACTTCCAGGAACTGTCCATTTTTAGATTTCAGACCAGGTGGCATTCCTTTAGCTCTGTAAATGGTGTTTTTCCTTTGAACCTTCGGTTTTGGGAATGCTGGTTCCTATTGCTTGCCTTGCCGAGAAGACGGATATCTGAGTCATCGCCTGGTGCGGCTTCAATCTCGAGGCCAGGAAGTGGTCCAGGAACATCGTGCCCGACTCGTCCAGGACCAGCGCGCCAGGCCTGAAACCGATTCAAGCGGGGTGCGCATGGGTGTGGTGGTGGATGAGAAACCCCCAGGCTTTGGCATTTAGTCTTTATATTGGTATTTTGCTTGTTTTTTGTGTTTTGATTTTTGTTTGTTGCTTGTTTCTTTTTATTGGGGGGCCGGGGGTTAGGATGGACACATGGGCACCATTTGGAAAGGAACTCCTTGGTCACTTGGGGTGGCAGGGAGGACCCGGAACCCCGTGTTTGATAGCAAGGAGGAGAAGCATTGGTTGGTTCTCCAAGCAAAACAAAAAATTCAACGACCGCCTTGTTTCAGGGGCGATCGAAGGAAACCGACCAAGGCTTGTGCGACGGAAAATGTACCTGGTTGCCTAATTCGATTATTTTGTGTGTGCCAGGCTAGTCTCACATTACACAAGTTGATACCCTATTCCTTTTTGTTATCCGCTCTTTCTCGCTCTCTCGCTCTCATTCCCTCTCTCTGAGGCATTGACGCCTCAACAGGTGCTTGCATTTGGAACAGGGCAGAGATGCTTCTCCATGGCAACTGAACCAAAACCAAGCGACCCTCAGGCTATGTCTCTCCTACCGCGCCAACTGCTTGAGGCGTTCACCGTTCACTGCAAAGGGGCCAAATCAAACCTGTGCTACAAGAGGGACCTATGACCGGTCGGGACTTCTTGCGTGTCGCTTTTTTTAAGGGACCCCCTTCTTGGTCGGTTTCAAAAGAACACCACATGGAAAACCAACACTTTGGGGGTTCCCCTAAAAAAAGAGGCACCCCAAGGGACATGTTTAAGGGGACCTGAAAAGGTTGGTGCCCTGTGATTAGTTCGGATACACCGCCTTTGCAAGACAAATCCCATCTGCTGGACGAGGTGCGGGGCGGCTTCCGGTGGCGCTGGCTCCTCGTCGCCTGGCCGAGGAGACTTTCCAAGCGCAAAGTCCAAGTCAACATGTTGATGATCTGTCGATTTAAAAGAAAACTCAGATTTCCACTTTAATTGGCGGTTTGGTTTGGACGTTAAGTGGCACCTTCCCCATCTGTTGTTGCTATTCAGGATGCATCAGGAAGTCATCGCTGGAACTGCAAAGGGCGATGGACTGAAGTTTGAGGCGATGTGTTGGGGAGGGGATGGCGGCAAAGAAGCAAAACCGAGAGGCGCCCCCTCTCTGCACTGACTCACAGACCTCAAGTTGATACGATTGATGTCCTGAATACTACGAGTAAACCACCTCACCCAACAAACAACACCGTGGTAAAAAGGGCTTCGGTTTCCCCGCCTTATCGGCTTCCATGTTTGCAGCGGTTCCTTCGCCAAGACTTCCATGTTAGCCTTAAAATAGGGGAACCCCCAGAAATGGCTGGTTTCCCTTTTGGTTTCCCTTCCAAAACCCACCAAAAATTGGGTACCAAACAAATATCCTTTAAAATATATGTATATATTAATATACACATACATATGTATATATAAACAAGAACACAATATATATATATATATATGTAAGAAAAACAACTATGAAAACAAAGAGGAAAGAAACATACGCCTCGCCTTCGCAGAGCAGCGCCTGGCGGCGCTTCTTCGCCTTCGGCGCCTTCGCGGCTTCGGCGTGATCCGTCGGCGCGAGGGCCGCAAGGGCCGGCTGGGTGAAGGCGCGGCCGGACTCGAAGTCCGCCACCGCCAGGTCTTGCTCCACCTGCTGGGTTTTGGAGGATGGCTGGGAAGGATCGAGTGGTTTGGTGGATGATTTGGATGATTGGGATGGTGTGGTTGGTTTGGATGAGTTGGACGAGTTGGAAGATTTGGATCATTTCGTTGGCTTGGTTGGCTTGGTTGACTTGGTTGGCTTGGTTGGCTTGGATGCTTTGAATGGGTCGGATGGTTGACACCAGCGTGGAAGTAGACGCGGGCATGTAAGAGGGGCCTCTGCACAAGAATGGTGGACATTGTGCCATCTGCTCAGTTGGCTTCCAAAGCCATGGCGCATTTAAACAAACATTCTGGAAGCCGACGGGTTCGGGTTCTTTGCCTTTGCCCTTTAGAGACAACGCGCGGAGCCTCAAAAGAGGACATATCCACTTGGAGCCACCATTTTGTCCGTATCTCGTCTTGGAACAGTCCCACATTGGGAGTTCCCGCTGCCACTCCAACGAGTAGATTCCACCCCTCCTTCCCACCTCAACCACTGCCTGGTACGTGGCGAGCTCTGCGCCTAGCAGACAACTGACTGCATCTTGTGAGCAACGGACTGAATCGACTGTAGAGTGAGGAAAATGAATTCTTGAGCAAAATCCTGTAATCGTAATTTCTTTCGTACAAGATGATTTCATGTGAGCAACATGTACTGCATTCTTGAGGACTGAATCCTGTGCTCTGAACTGGGGAAAAGAAGCGGGCCGAAAACTCAGTGGCTGTGCGTGAAGTCGGCTCCTCCGCAAACGCGGACGAACCACCTCGGTCGCGACGCCTGTACGGGCGGTCTCAGAGCGCATCGGAACGGGGCCATTGGCACGCGCACCGCTTCGCAGCCTTCAATTGGTAAACTCTGCGGCCTTTGAGCGGGTCGGCCTTCAAAAGGCGCCCAAATATACTCCTTCATGCCCTATGAGAAGCAAAGGGGCCCTAATTCCTTTACCTTACCTGAGGCAAGGATTGGAACATGTGATGTGCTTTTCCCGGAAAGATTTTGGTAGACATCACTTACATGGGGGGTTTGTGTCCGCCAGCCATTTTGAGCCGTTCCCAAAAACTGAAGATTCAAGCCGTTCCCCAAAACTGTTGGTTGCCTCCGCGCCCGCACCGTTTGCGACGGCTGCAGAAATTTTGATGGGTGCGCCGAAAAACAAAGAGGTGTGTTGTGTCTGCGTGGTTCAGCTGGCGCAACCGTCAAAAAGTGAAGCCTCTGCGGGACGGCCTCGAGAACTGGTTTCTTCGCCTGGGTGCGCTTTCGTGGGCTGGAGACAGAGACAGACAGAGACAGAGACAGAGACAGAGACAGAGACCGAGACCGAGAGAGAGAGAGAGAGAGAGAGAGAGAGAGAGAGAGCGAGACACAGACGAGAGACAGAGAGAGTCAGAGAGAGAGAGACACACACAGAGAGAAGGGGAGAAAAAGAGGTGAAGGAGAAAGTGAAAGAGAAACAGAAAGAGAAACAGAAAGAGAAGCAGAAGGAAAAAGGAGAGGGGGAAAGGAAGCAAGAGAGACAGGGAAGGAAACAAGGGGGAGAAATGAGCGAGCTCCAAGCTATGCTTCTTCCATTTTTCAAAACTCCCGCCCCTCCCCCCTCTGCCGGACTGTACTAGTAAAGTTATTATATAAGCCTTACAACAATCAGTGCTGCACCAGGTAGTAGATCCTCTTGAAACGCTCAACCGGAGTTGTGTGGCGTCGTTTCCCTGCCTGGCTGCAAAGGCTTCTCCACCCGCAGCGAGCGGCCCAGCAACACGGTTTTGCCTTCGAGACGGTGGGCAGCCCTGGGCCCTCCCAAAGGAGACTCTGCGAAGCACGGCTGGGTTCCGTGTTGATCTGCGAGGAGCCCCCTCAAACTCCATGTGGTCAGGCTCAGGAGCCAGGGCACCCCTTACGACCATAGGAAGTCCGGGGCTTCGGTTTTGTCGCCCACTTCCCGTGGGTCTCGGTGGCTTGGGGATGGAAAGCTTTCAATGGGCCATCCTCTTTCAATGGGCCCAAGGGCCCACTTTCATTGCATGGTTGTTGGAAAAACGAACCCACGCAAACGAACATAAGACAAACGAACGAACGAACAAACAAACAAACAAACAAACAAACACACAAACACACAAACACACAAACACACAGACACGGACTAGGGGGCCACGCCTCTTGAACCACACTGAATCTCGGCCAAATCCGAAGCAATCTCCCAGAAATCAGATCTTCGGCCCCTTAATGGTTCGTGCTTCTGCAGTATGAGGGCATGAATCCGTAAAATGGGGCTGTGGGGGTGATCCTTCATTTTGGGTGACCAGCCTAGTAGGATGGGGTGATTTGTCCGCGAATCTCATTCATTGTTTAGCCGTCTGAGGGAAAGGCCGGACAATCAAGCGCAGCGCCTTCGTCGTTGTAGAGGAATGCCTTGCCCGCCTGAATGCGACACCCGGCTGCTCTGCTTCCGTGACAGAGAGGTTGCTTCACGCCCGCTTGCGGACCATCACGGTCCCAGTAGGAATCCACATCACGGTTGTCTAAATTCCCTTTGGGGTGAATGACTATCCCAGCCACAAGCAAAAGGGGGCGAGATCGACCCACGTGATGCCCTGTAGCTTGCCTTGATGCGCAGGAAGCCGCACTGATAGACCTTTCGCTTCTTGTGCACATCTTTGGTGAAGGTGACCCTGTAACCTCAGCTTTCAGCACCCAGAAACTTGAGCCAGTTGGCTTTTTTTCTTTAAGAGCAAACACGCACATATAATATTTACAGTTCCCTTTTAAGTGCGTTCTTGTCATTGGTTCTTTGCAACCGGTCAACCTAGAAGGAGGGGGCTAGCACGAGGCGTGAGGTGCTTAAGCAGTGTCTGACCGGGTACTTTGGCAATAGTCATGATCGCTTTGGTTCTGCGCAGCTTGCCTTGCCATTTGGCCATGGGTCAAAAGCCCGTACCCCCAGTGAACATCCCAATCCCCACTAAAATAGGTCCTAAAATGGGTGGTGAATTCAGCACCCCAAAATGGTACCATTGGTTTTGACCCACAGCCATTTAGTGTTTCCCAGGAGCCAAACGACAAGCGAACCAAACCCTGCAGCTCGACTCCAGTTGAGTCGGCTCGCACGTATTGCTCTCTGATTCTCCGAGCCGCACGCGTCCAGCCCTTCGTTGCCCGGCGCCTCCGCCCGGCACGGCGCCAGCAGGCTGCGCTTCGCCGGCACCGGCTCCGCCGGCTCCGGCGGCGGCGGTTCCGCCGGCAAAGGCGAAGGCGAAGGCGTGGAGGTGGGGATGACGGCCAGGAGGTCGGCGAGCCTCGGCTGGGGTTGTTGACAACGGCCAAGGACCCCCTTGAAGAAAAGTGTTTTTCAATTTTGATAGGTCTTTTAGTATGTCGAGGGGGGGGTACGCGAAAAAGGGAGAAATGTATGCCACGGACTGATCCTCATCGTGCAACACGTTCACGGCGCTTGCTGTAAGGCCAAATCTCTCTAGAGTGGCTTGCGAACATGGTCCCGCGACAGGCAAAGGAAGGTTGGGTGTCGAAAGGGCTTGTTTTCCAGCTAATGGGTTGCTTAAGAAAGAAATAAGAGACGCTCGCTTGCTTTAGCCTGCAAACCCACAGCCCACTCACCTAGCCACATGCTTTCGGTACATCCGCACTGACCCGAGAGTTATCAAGACAAAGGATCCCCTCTATGGGATTACTTGCCTATTCCGCGGGTTCACTCCTCCATTGCCATCCGCCCTCCTGACCTCTGCTCAAGGCTCTGTGCCGGCTTGCCCGGAGGCTGCGCCGGCACCAGCAGCGTCCGCCGCGGCATGGTCAGATCGGGGGGAGTAGGCTGGTCGCTCCGAGAGGGCTGCGCGCAAAAATGGCTTTGTGGGTGTGCCCTCCAAAGTGGCGTTCTCTTGGGTTCCCCTTCAAACACTCCAAACAAGAACGCCCAAACCTAAACATCACCCACCAGAAGGAAACCCAGTTTAAAGTTTGCCCACATGTTGATGAGTTACGCGACCAGTACCATGAGAAATATAGGGAGCGGCGTCTAGATCCGAAACCCAACCAGGCCCGAGTCCCACTGAAGCGCGGCAAAGGGAATTGATTGGACCCTCTGCGACATTCTTAAAACCTCCAAGAAGAAGACGTCAGGCCATTCATCCCAAGGGCGCGGATCCTGCGCCGGAACGTCACGGAGAACTCGCCAGAGACTGCTGAAAAACTTTCGGGAGCTAGGGATCTCAGGCTGGCCACTAGAGGTGGTTTCCCTTTAGTCTCTTCAAGTACGGCACCTGGTTGCCTGCGGTGGCAACTCGTTGAACTGGGAAGACAAGCATGATCACAATAAGGACGTTGCGCGAAATATATGCAACTCTGGCAGCAGCTGATCTGTATTGGCACCATCTGGCACACGAACTCTTTGGGGCGCGTTCTTGTCACGGCCAAAGCCTGCCTGCTAGATGATTCATGCGGAGCCTTTGAATCATCCTTCCCAAGTGCCGTTCCATGGCCCACAATTGCCATGTGTGGAGTCAGCTTCTTTTGCGGCACCGTGTTTTTGGGTGGATCCCGGATCCCCTGCAATTTCTTCCCCCCCAGAAACATCTCCGCGCCAAAGGAAGCACCCTTCATGCTGGCCCACGGGCGCCCGGGCTTCTCGGGCCTTCTGCGCCACCCGCTCCATCTCGTCCTGTCCAAAGAAAATGGGTCTCAACGTCTCAACCATCCCTTCGGCCTCCTTTCGGGCCTCAGCGGCTACATCTTTGCTCGCGGGTTCTTGGGGTTCGGTGGGGCGTGATTGCAGCGCGTTGGCTCAAAACATGCCCAACAGGAAGACTCACTGGGTTTAGAGACTTTGCAACTTGTCCTGAGCTTTGAACCCAACACCAAGAGCGGCCTGCCTCCTGCAGGAGCAGCCAGCGCTTGGACCCATGCACCAGCACGTCGAAGACTGGCAGAGCCACATGGATTCATGCCCGTTTCACGGTGGTCTCCCGTCATTTCCTTCAAAGGCTGGCTGTCTCCTGCTTTGCTTACAATGGAGGGGGTCCAACTTCGGATTCATTCCTGCTCTGTCATTGCGATCCACCGCTCAAAAAAGCGAATAGGAGTTGGAAGCTGCATGCATTGCCGTGAGACAACCTCTAAGCAACCCTTCGAACTGTTCACGTCGCAAGGTCTTGGGGTCGCCTCAATCATTGGCCGGTCCCAAACTACGAAGCTCCAGCTGCTGCTTGCAGAATCCCAAGCTTCTGCCTATGACAACCAAGGCCAGAGCCATTCTTAAATTTCGATCCCCCATTTGTCCGAGGTGAGTCAAAGAAGGCACGCTACAAATCCTGCAGTCCACGAATCGAACCGCGGAGATGCAGTCTTAGGATGTCCATGCATATGCCAAGGCCTTCAGTAGCTGTGAATATCCTCTCAAGAGTCAAATGCCAAGTTCCTAACCTTCGGTGGGTTTATTGAGAAGGGAAACCACCCAGCACTCTAGGGGACTCACTCCCCTTGTCACCTTGTTTACAACCATCCCGTGCAAAAAAAAGAAGAAGCAGCGGCATTCCCAAAAAACATATTGGAAAGAGTTGCGAAGTTATGAACTCCACTAGGAACACCAAACACGCCATGTTCTCGGTGCCTTTCCACAAAGACCCGCGGCCGGCCCACACGGCGCGTGCAAGCCACGCGGCTTGCAATCTCGGCCGGGGGCGCAGGGCAAGCCGTTCTCGGGGCGCAGGTTGGCGCCAGACCCGGAGGGGCCGAAGGTGAAGTATTGGTAGGACCTCCGCATCTCCATCAGAAAGGGTGCTGCAACAGGGCCCCGCTGCAAAAAGTGTTTCTAACTTTTTGGGGGGTTTAGTGGAAAACACAACTTGATTTCAGCCAAAATGTTAAAGTCTAAAGATCCAGCCCAATAGCAGTCAAGATCAGAAAGGGTTCTCCAACCGAACTCCCTGGATTTCCCCAAGGGACATGGAGGGAAACTCGCCAGCGGCTTCCATTGAAACTGTCTCACTTCTGGAGGTGCCAACAAGAAAAATTGAGGAAACCCTGTAGCGAGGTTCGGTCTCTGACCTACTTGGGACCGTGATTGGGACAAGCCAGCAAGCAAGGTGTGTCGTGAGGGCGAGGGTTGTAATCCAACTAATCGCACGACGCCAAGCCCCTTTTTAGGCACCTGCACAGTGCCATGTGATTCCTTGCGGCTGCCTTAAGTCGAGAAGCTAAGCAACGTCCGGATTTTAGGTTCGGGCAAGCCACTCTCTCTCTCTCTATATATATATAGCAGGTCCATTTGAGTTTTCCTTGTGGTTCTTAAGTGGTTGTTTCCCCTGGTTACCCATGTTGGTGACGGGAAGCAATGCGGGAGGTGCCCAAGCTGACTGCCTGGTGCTTGACATGCACCGGCCAATTCTGCTACCAGGCAGATTTGCAGCGCACACACGCACACATCATATTTGCTTTGGACTGTGACCTTCTGCGGTTCTCGTGCGCTGTCCTTGCGTTTCACTTAGTAAACGAGATCATTCATCTACAACATAAGGCCCGAACCCACCAGTCGCCGACAACACCAAAATTTCCACCCGCGCACATCGACAGTGCCTGCGTGGGCCCAAGACCAATAGGGCCACATCTATGGTCTGGATACCCGGAGCAGTTGGCACATGTTGATTCCAATTGCAGCCTCTCCACGATCCGAAACTTAACGGATGGATACCTTCCGATGGTGGTTTGGCGGTTGGGGGTGGGGTTCCCCCCATTTACCCTCAGCAAGAACCACTTCGAATCCCCAAACCAGCAATCCAACCCAGTCTTTTGGGTCTCAGGTCAAGGACACCAGGTGATTCCAGGAACTTGCCGACGCTCCATTTTGGCACTGGGCCGGACTGAGACCCCTGCAAGTTCACGTTGTGCTGGAAGGGAACATGAAGAAACAAACAAAAAATCATGGACAAAAATGGAAAGAAAGAAAAGCTAAGTCTGACCACGGCAAGTCAACCTGGAACACAAGGCTCTCCTAAACCCGCATCAGGTCTCCGGACAAGCGCCCTTGGTTCCGTTTCCAGCGCTCGGCACCTCCGGGGCGACCCCCAGTGAGTTGTCCGGGTTTCGTTTGTTGGGCTTTGATCCAGCTGTTCGATCTGCGGAAGCGTTGCGTGAAGCACGAACATGTCTGATGGCATTGGACATGGTTGTCCAAGCTTACTGTGCTCCCACCCATAAGCCTCCAACCTCGGGCAAGATAGCCGAGCGCATTCTTTTGGGCAGGCTTGCGTTACAAAGTGACACGGCCTTGAGGACAAAACCCATCAAAGCCAAAGAACGCTGAAGGGAATGCTGGGGTGGGTGGTGGGTGGATGGTGGTGGATTGTTTGTACATGCATGTCGAACTATGTTGATATTTGGCTTCTTTCCAGCTGCATTGGCAAACTCAAGCAGGAAGCCACCTGACAGCCTGAAATGGTCAGGATCCCCGAGTTTCGCATCATGCTTCACCCATACAGTTCTGGATGTTAAATAGGGGGTCTGGACAAATTCAAAGCCCCGTTTGGCTTTCTTTTGGGGAAGTGAGCAATTTGGCCTATTTAGCACCCGCAAGGGTATTGGGCAACAAGAAACGCTACTCTTGCGCAAGCAAGGACACGACTCGGACACCATGGAGTGCAACTGAATGGCGAATCGGTTGGGGGCAGTGTTGGACTGTAGGATCACCCAACCACCCCCCACCCCCCCCGTAGCGCCTGGTCACTGCCGTCAGTTCCACCCAACTGACCCCCCCCCCTCCCCTGGCGCCTTTGCCCACGATGGCCTTGAGCTCATCACCTGCCGCCTGGCGTGCCCGCATAGCGGGCTGCCACACAAACATCACAAACAACCCATGAATTGGGTGCAAGAAAAAACCCAAGGCCCTCGTACAAACAAACTATAGATGCTTGAAGCCTTGATTGGAGCCATGAAGGTAAACACAAGTTCTTTGGTTGCCTTTTTGGTTGTTGACCTCCCCATTTCGGAGCTCATCCCAGGGAGCCGAGATCACAGCGATTGCAACGGTCACAGGTGGTTCACCCCGCAAACACCAGCCGCTTGGGTGAAGCCCTTTTCAGGGCACCCGTGTTAGAGTCGTGTTTTAGGGCGAAAGCGGCAAACCGCCCATTCTGGATCCTCGATTTTGACACCCAGCTGTCTTCACGTCATGCTCGTAGATTGGATCTCTTGAGCTCCAAGACGCAACAGGGAGCAACTCATTGGAGTTCCGCCCAAAGATCGCCGCAGGAGATCTCTGGGAAACCCTGGCGACATATCGGAGTTCAGCGATCCCCAAGAGGAACCTTCATCACGCCTAGTGTCGCGCGATTTGGTTGTGGTCAAGCCAGTCAGGTTGGGTGACCGAATGCTTGTGAGAAGATGTGCACCAACTTTCCCCTCCGTTGATATCAGTGGACCAGTGCTCCGTTGACGGCACAGATCAGCAAATGGGAGGTTTCGAAGAATTGGAGACCCCTTGGAATCCCCCCAAACGTCCTTTTTGTTGGAAGAGGCCGCCCCACCCTCCTTTGCAGAGTGTCTGGAGGGAGACACCCTACGAAGCGGACCGTTGTTCCGCGTGCCTCCAGGAGATGCCTACGAAACTCGGCCTGAGCAACTCGGTGTCTCGGGGCTTTCGCCTTTCGGAAGTTCCAAAGCAAGATGGGCTTCGAAGAAACGCAACATGGGCTAGAACAAACTGGGCGGCTTTGTTTCTTCCATTACTTTGATGCGGAGCGGTCCCCGAGTCTCTTCTTTTCGTTCGGGCCTTGAGCATGGTGTATCATGTTGTGTTATTTATGTCTAGGTTGCAAAGCTAATGACTTTGACGTTGGAAGGGGAGCAAAAATATAAACTTTAGCAGTTAAGTGGGGATTGCCCACTAAACCACAACAAGCAAAAATGCAAAATGTTTCCCAACAACAACCATGATGAGAGGCTCTTGGCCTCATCCACCTCCCGCCCAAGCAAACAAGTTGGCTGATCTTAGGCGCAAAGGAAGCTCCCCATTTTGCTGGGCTCCGCCTTGCAAGCGCGGCCAAAGAGGAACCAGGGTTTCATTGACCCCAGGGTAGACTTAGACCTAGTGGTGGTTGGTAAGGTGGCATGGTTTTCCAACTCTTGGAGCTTTCCTATAGCAAAATGAACCGCATGGACGGCCACCTTTTCCGGTGTTTCCGGGTCTTCGCGCCATGTGCGGCAAGGCGTTCTCGATCTTCCGGAAGATCCGCAGCTGCTCCAACTCCGTAAGGTTCCGGACCTGCCGATTCGTTCCGCGACATCCAGTCCGATGTGCAGAGCGAATTCGTAGAGGGATGAGAGGAATGTGTTCCTCCAAATGGATGCCCCACTTCTTCCTGGTTATTCCTGGAACCGACTGGAGCCGGATGAAGCCAGAATTCTCGGCCACAAGTCCCTTGAGACGTCCTTTTGATGCCTGAGCCCCTGAGACAACCCTCAACCAACCCCACCCACCCACCACCCACCCACCCACCCACCCACCACCCACCCCCACCCACCCCCACCCACCCACCCCCACCCCCCCCACCCACCCACCACCCACCCCACCCACCCCACCCACCCACCCCCACCCACCCACCCACACCCACCCACCCACCACACCCACCACACCCACCCACCCACCACACCCACCCACCCACCCACACCCACCACCCACCCACCCACCACACCCACCACACCCCCACACCCACCCACACCCACCCACACCCACCCACACCCCACCCACACCCACCCACCCACCCACCCACCACCCACACCCACCCACCCACCCACCCACCCACCCACCCACCCACCCACCCACACCCACCCACCCACCCCCACCCACCCACCCACCCACCACCCCCACCCACCCACCCACCCACCCCCCCACCCACCACCCACCCCACCCACCCACCACACCACCCACCCACCCACCCACCCACCCACCCACCCACCCACCCCCACCCCACCCCCACCCACCCCACCCCCACCCACCCACCCACCCACCCACCCACCACCCACCACCACCCACACCCACACCCACACCACACCCACACACACACCACACACACACCCCCACACCCACACCCACACCCACACCCACACCCACACCCACACCCACACCCACACCCACACCCACACCCACACCCACCCACACCCACACACCCACACCCACACCCACACCCACACCCACACCCACACCCACACCCACACCCACACCCACACCCCCACCCACACCACACACCACACCCACACCCACACCCCACACCCCCACACCCACACCCACCCACACCCACACACCCACACCCACCCACCCACCCACACCCACCCACACCACCCACACCCCCACCCCACCCACCCACCCACCCCACCCACACCCCACCCACCCACCCACCCACCCACCCCCACCCCACACCCACCCCCACACCCACCACACCCACACCCACCCCCACCCACACCACCCCCACCCCCACCCCCACCCCCACCCCACACCCCACACCCACACCCACACCCACACCCACACCCACACCCACACCCACACCCACACCCACACCACACACCCACACCCACACCCACACCCACACCCACACCCACACCCACACCCACACCCACACCCACACCCACACCCACACACCACACACCCACACCCACACACACCACACCCACACCCACACCCACACCCACACCCACACCACACCCACACCACCCCCCCACCCCCCCCACACCCCCACCCACCCCACACCCACCCACCCACCCCACACCCACCCACCCACCCCACACCCACCCACCCACCCACCCACACCCACCCACCCTCACAAACCCACGGGCTTGACTTGGGTACCGGGCCATAGTCTGCGCGTCCACCGTCTGCTCGCAGTGCTCGGTGTTCTGCCCAGGTAGCTTCGGCTTGGCGGGCGTACCTAGAGAAAACCAAACCTGCACGCTGTCACAGAACCCAAGAAATGGGACTAGGTTTTTCAGTAGAGAGGTTAGAATATGGGTGCCAACTGTTTTTCCTGTAGTCTATTTTAGTAGCAAAACCCTCCCCCAAAAAAGGGTAAAAGGCACTATCTGGGGGGACCTAGGTTACCTTGGGCCATGGGAATGACCTTCAAGAGGAAAGGGACCATCAGAATCTGCCAGATGCATCGCCCAAGACCAGCAAAAACAAAGTTGCAGGCGTGTCATTTCATAGTCCGAACCTGGTATTCAAACGGTCTAGCTAAAACCAAATAAAGGATTGAAAAGGTGGCCGCGCCTATTTATGGCTTCGGACTATCCCGTGACCTTCATACGCTGCGGAGATCATTTGCTCCCAACCCACTGTTGAGAAGGTTTTCTATTTTGACCTCATTGCCTCACAGCCACCTGTTCCACCTATCCGTGCAAGTCACAATGAATCCCCACCCGCACTCGCTCATCTGTCTTCTAATGAACCAACCTGGAAAAAAAGAGGACCCAATAAGAGAATCTATGCGAAGGTTGGCGCCCTCTGCCGTTCCCTTAGGTCACAGTAGGTGTCTTCGGTTTTACTTAAACACACATCTGTGCATCTTCCAAACTACCCATGGAATACAACATGTGCTAACCATATGGGTATGGGTCAAAAATCAACCACCAGGAGACTGCAGGTTTTAGTCCATGTTTCCACTTACCAGATCGTACAAGGGTTCCATGTTGAGCTCCGATTTTTGAGCCACTGCCATATCTTCCTCCGCCTTTCGATCAACCCTTGGGCGTCGAATCCTGGGCGGCCGCGCCGTGGAAGCAGTTCACCAAGTAGCGAGAGAAGGGGATCATCTCCGGCTCCTGACCAGGGAAACTAGCCTCCCACCAACATGGGTTGGTGCAAAAAGGCCAACTCACCAAGAGGAAAGTAGTCTTTCTACAGGGCTCTGTGCACCAACCCATGTTAGCTGGTGGGAGGGTAGGTCCTAGAAGAAGGTTACCAACTTCATTCTGCACTCTGTTTTAGTAGCAGAACCCTCCCACAAAAAAGGGGGGAGAAAGGGCACCAATTGCTGGGGGACCTGGTGAAGGACTTTCGATTTTTGGTGCGGCTTCCCTTCCGCAACCCACAAAAGGCATCTTGGCTTTGAGGCGGCGAGCTTGCTGGGCTTATCTTTGAGGGGAACCCAAACAGAAACAGCTCACTTTGGGGTTCCTCATAGAATTAACCTCACAGCTGAACAGAACCCACCTGTCTGAAACCTCCTTTCAATAAAGCCAGAACATATTGTTCGGGGGGCTACTCACCAGAAGTAATCTCGCTTGCATGGCAGTGGCCTGTTGAGATGAATACAAGCCTCACCAACAGCCTGTGAATCGAGAAAATCCAACGGGATCCAAGTACCCGCTCCCACCCTGTAGAGATTCATTTGGGTATGGGTCAAAATTAAACTGCCAGAAAACCACAAGTTTTTGCTCATGTTTCCACTTACTAGGGTTCCATTTTGGGGTTACCCTTGCCAGGACACAATCAAAGACCTGAAAAAGTCGTCGCACAAGGTGAGCCGCTCGTCAGATCCAAAAGCCAAAAGAAAGTCGGATAAAGAGGCAAAGCCAAAACTTCTTCGAGAGGGCGCAAGAAAGAAAACACGCTGTTTTTTTCAAAATTCTAGCCACAGCCAGGGTCCTCCATCTGGAGCTGGTTCCCCACCAGCCGCGCGCGGGCCTTCTCCTGGGGCCAGTACCTGCCCGAGGTGGAAGCTCCGAACTCGGCATGGAGTTGGGGTTCTTTAAGATCATCAGAAAACGATTTTCCCTCCTATCCAAGCAGGGCTGTGGGAAATGGAATCCACTTCTGTGATACAACAAAAAGGTCTTTGCCAAAGACTACCCCGCCATTTAAAGAGGGGATTCCCTTGTATTACAGAAGTGGGGATAAACCCCTCGATCCCACAACCCTGTACCCAAGTATCCAAGGGCCCAAGATGAATGGAGTTGGGGGGGTACTTTAAGTCGTGAAGCTCTGGATATGGCCGGGATCTGGGAGCTTGACCCATCAGAATCCAACCCAGACTGGGCAATTCAATTTTGCGGAGGGCTTGAAGATTGCCATCCTCTCGCACAGGCCCCCAACGCAAACGTCCAATATGGTCGGAATCGAAGATTTCCGTTGGATGCAGGAAGACTCCTTTGTTGATTCGCCTGGATGCAGGAGTATTTGTCCTTGCTTCTGTTTTCACGGTTGCCAGTATCTACATCATCGTCCGTTGAGTCCCAGAATTCATCTCGCGTCAAACTTCCTGCGGATTCGGATGTGCCACCAATGTCCAGAGACACCGTTGACGCTCAAAGTTGGCTGGGTAAGTGATCACGATTCTACCGGCCAAAACCAGCAAGCGACCTCCGCCATAACTTGAACAGCAAGGACTGGCCAACTATGCATCCCATTCGACAAAGGGTACGAGGCCAGCAGAGAAATCCCATCAGGGAAACTGATGAAGGAGAAAAACAAAAATCGGGTGTGGCTCTAAAAGGTGGAGCCGACTTTTTAGATGGCAAACAAACAAAAGGAATCTAACCATCTTCGGGTGTCATTTTTCGAAAAAATCGAATTTTGGATGCGCCTGAAGGGAAGCCAAAAGCACCCTAGCGGATGAATGAGCCCTCATTCAGCACACGGGACATCTCTCCGTTCTCCATGAGAAGGAAATCGACTGGTTGCAGGGGTCCTCTTCTTTGGGGCTGGTTCAAAGGGAAAAAAAGAGGAACCAAAGGCTCATCTGGGGGACCTTTGTGGTGTCTCTTTTGTTTTAAGGGGGAAAAACACCAGGCAACCCCGGAAACCCACCTGGAACCTCCTGGCTTCATTTCTGAGACAAGCCTAGTGAGTCTCCCTGTGAGGACACGTCACTCGCCCACAGATCCGAAAAGTTCACCTGATGTATGCAGGGGAATTTCAATTAGCTGGCGAATGCCAACCATCTCATGGCGAAACTCAACATATGATTTTGAGGGCACCATTATCTTGGTGGCGTTCAAAGCGAGACCCAAGGGAAAACTATGAATTTGGTGCAGTTCCGGTTGTAAGACACCCAACACCTATTCTACTTTCGCCAACAGAAATGGCTGCGTCTTTTCTGAGGGTACCCGTTTTTGTTGGGTGGTGTTCAAGGGAAACCAAAAGGACAAGTACATTTTTGTTGGTGGTGTTCAAATGTTAGCCAAAACGAAAACCGTCCATTTTGACGGTTTTCCCACCCAAAAAAAACGGCCCCAACCCCCATTCGGCTCCTGCCGAGTCCGCGAACTCAAGGCCCCGGCTCGATGCGGAAGTCCTTCTCCAAGTCCGGGTCCTCCATGAGCCGCGAGGCCGTCCAGTGCCGCCGCACCTCGAAACCGGACAAAACCGACGGAGAAAAAAAAATGGGATGAGGTCCTTCTCTCCACCAAGAAACAAGGGAAACACCATGGAGAGACAGATACCCAGTGGTTTTTTCCAAATCCAGAGGTCAACTCGTTAGCGTCACCAAGAAAGGCAAGATGCCCTTGCAAAATGGTCGTGAAAGTGCATGTGATCCTTCAAGCAAGAAAAATGGTCCGGTTGAAACACCTTGATTGCCCTAAGGAAAAGGACCTTGCTCTTGACCACCCGCTTTCCGCCTTCGCCCCGAAAACCGGGAGTCGAGTCCTGAACCATTGTTCACATTGTCGATGGCCTTTTTGAATAGGGCGAATAGACCTTTCTGCAAAGACTGCCGCAGAATATTCCGAAGCGAGCACTCAGGAACCTTGTGGAAGCCAAACTCGACCCAGCCGTCTTCTCAAAAGCATGTCAAGATGACTTGACCTGTTCACACAAACAAAACAATCGTGAGTTGTTTGAGTTCCAAGACCCTGCAATCCTCCAAAGCCATGGGGTGACTATTCCCTCCGCGAGTTCTTGCCCCAGGGATTTTCAGCTCTTGCCTCAACACGGCGAACGACGCCCGGCGAACGCCCCTCCACAAGTTTTTCTCGCCTCATCCCACGCGCCAGGCTCGAACCTGGGGGTTCAAAATCTGAGTCAAAGACATCTTCTTGATCCGGTCCGAACCCCTGAAGCCATCTGTAGGTTGAACAAGGCATTCCTCACTAGGGGAACGGGAGAAATGGACCTCTGCGCGAGTGCGAATTCGCAAAACAAACCAACCGGCCAAGTTGACTTTGCCTTTCGGGGGTCAGCCCTGAAAGAGTGGAATCCCCACAAAGGGACTTCTTGGCAAGTGGGTTGTTGGTCAGGAATCGATTACACCGGGATCTCCCTCCATCCGCGAGCTTGGGCGAGCTCGCTTCAGGAGCTATGAGGCTACAGTGCAGAATTACCTTTCGGCAGAAATGATTCTGGGTGTCTTCCCAATCTTGAGCAATACAATAAGGTCAACATGAGCTGGACGAATCGGAGGTAGCAAGTGGCTCGACCCTGATTGCATCAACTCAGTTCGCCCAACAGCAAAAAACGAACGCCGTGATCAATTTCAGCAAGACTGAGCTTCGCTTCCCCGTTCCAGGAGCAACTCGCCCGTGAGCAACTCGCCCGTGCTCATAGCTTTGCCAAAACCGATCGCCGATAAACTTTCTAAAGCTCCGTGGAGAATCCCCAAGAGCACCCATCAGTTCCCGGAATTCCACGAGCAGGCAGCAGGATCGCGGCATCTGGCATTTGTCAGCTCCCGTTCGTGGTAAGTGGTTCACCAGCAAAAAAAGACGGCAGTGGCAAAAGTGCAGCGATGCAATGTCAACTCCAGCTCCATGCACCAAGTTGCACGTAAGGAGCTTTTCATGGTTGCTTGGGTCAAGAAATCGATGGCGATGTTTGCTTGACCTGGTTGTTTCACAGCCTGGGCCATCTTTAGATCAAGCGCCTCCCCCATCCTCATGGGCTCAAACCCCCATCGGGCCCCGAGGCTCAAGGTTCCGGGCCCCAAGGCCCCGATTTTCGGGGGCCCCTGGGCCCCGGGCAGCGCCGTGGCGTTGGTGATCAGCATGGGCTCCTTGAAGTTGATGTCCTACGGGGGCGAGCGTCGTTTTGGGCTTCTTGATCTCGTGGCTTCCATCCAAAAGCTACCTCCAAACAAGCCAGAAGCTCGCCGTCCTTTTGAGGTTGTTCTTGGACATGTAAAAAAGGAGAAGGAACAAAAAAACATCCAAAAGGGGTAGGCTCAAAAGGCACACCCGCATGTGTTGCACCACTTTGGAGGGGTGGTGCCCTTTTGGTTGCCGCCCGTTTTTTGAGGCAGGCCTGAATGTCAGGGATGACGTGTGCGTGTCCAGTCCTGACCTTTTGCCTGGATCTTTTGGTCATATGACTGGCTGGCAACAACTATGGCAGGTGCAGCCCCTATGGCAGACCCAAGGAGGAACCAAACTTCAACCATTTCGCGGGGGATCCGAAATTTGATTCACCAAGTGCTCAACATAGTCTGCTTGGAGTGCCCTGTCCTAGCTTTGGTTCAACAGGGGAAACCAACCGGAACCCCCGATTTTGACCACACACCACGGAAGCCGCAGCCCCTGACCACTCCTGGCCCTCATCTAGCCGCTTCGCCAGGTCGGCAGCTGTCATCTTCTTGACCTCGCGGAGCCGAACAAAAAGCACCAGCACGAAGCACCAGAGATGGGCGAAATGCAAAGAAATTATTGTATCTGGTAGATGTAGTCTTGTATCTGGTAGGTGTCTTACAGAATAGATTACTTGTAGTCTTTCTACCAAGATGCAAGAACAAGATGCAAGCAAATGCATATCTTGTAGAATGTATGGTATCTGGTTTGTTGGAAACAGCGGAAGCACATTGCCCCTTTTCATAACACTTGGTTCCCTGATCCCCAAGCCAGTTCACATTACAGCTTTCTGGGGAAAAAGCATGAACAGCAAGCCCTTTGGGGGCATTTGCCCAACATGCAAAAGGGGTATGTACAAACACCTCCAGGCACCAGTGGGATTGCAAAGAGATGCTGCATTGGAACATGAAATGCTTACAGAAGTGGTGTGGAAATCTGTGTAGCAGAAAGGTCAGCAAACCAAAAGATCAACTTCGGAAACAAGGCCGCCTGTTGACGAGCTCATGTAGTTTAGAGACAGAACGACAAGTATATTTGGAAAACGCCAACGCGTACTATTTGCCAATGAACGAAGCCTACCTTGACCATGGCTCACGTTGAGCCAGAAGCCAGCTATAGCAAGCAAGCTGCACCATCTACCATCCACTGACACATGTACGAGCTACATGCTGATCGTACAAACACATGCGTCCTTCCGAGGGGGCTCGTTTTAGGGACAAGTTGACCCTGGCCGGGACCGTGGCTGCTCAACCCGGAAGCGCGGTGAGTGAACGAAAATTGACACATTGTGAACAAGAGCAATCGAGAAGGCCCGATTGCATGAGCACCTTCAGCACTGATACATACAGTATGTATCAAAAGTTATGAACATGTATGCATATGCAAGGAGGTTCCGTGCATGGAGCGGGTTGGACTAACCCCGGAGCTTTTCGGCTTTTCGGCTGTTGCTGCCCCCCCTCACCCCTTTTCCCCAGACCCAACCGGCGAGAAAAAGGCCCCCGGACAGTGATCTTCTTGGCGTTCAGCTTGGGCATGGCCTGTTCGCCACCGGCGAAACGAAGACTCGCTCGGCCGCTGTCGGGCGCCCAATTGGAACATTAGACCAATTGGAACAAACCTTTGTCCTAGGTCCTACTTCTGGCTTCCCCTGCACTGGGCAAGTTTCAGTGCCCAATTGGGTCATCCAAATTGGAATTTGGATTTCCTCCTGGTTTCCCCTTGAAATAACAACTCCCAAATAATGGGAGCGGAGAAAAGAAAAACAAAACCAGGGACCTTCAAGGGAGATCCCACGCACTTCCCACTGCCCCAAAAATGTCCCCACCGAATACCCACACCTCACACCCAACCCCCCCCACACCCAACAGCCCGCGAAACCTCCCTCGCCTTGATGCGGTACTTGGCCGGGGTAAAGTCCTTGGGCGTCTCCGTGGACTTCTTCTCCTCCACCGCCTCCAAATTCCATAGGCGAACCCCTCGCTGGCTGAGTGGATGGCCCCAAAAAAGTCCAAACGCTATATTTACCACTCAAATGGTCTTCCCAAAAAGTTCAAAGTTCATACACACTCAATCCCAAAAAGCTTAAAGTTCATAAACTCAGGATTTGAGCCCCGCAAAAGCCCGAGCTGAAGCCCCAAGCGCGTGAGGCCTACGGAAGATGCCGAGCACAAGGGCAAGGCGGGGGTTCCGACTGTCAAGGCGTTTCTTTCCAGGTCTCAAACGTTGAAAATGGGGTGGGTCAGCTACCGCAATCCTGGGGAGAGTAGCAAAACGCATTGCTACATTCCATGATCAACCGGCCCCAAGAAGTGGAAACCACCTTTGTAGAAACTCTAAACCTTTCGACTCCTTCATCCTGGACTGATCAATCCAGCCGATGCAATCCATATCAGCAATCGAACCGTCCGAAGCAGCAACACAACGAAAATCCGGACCACTCAACGCGCAAAGCCGAAACTGGACAGCTGATCTTGGGCTTTCCAACGGCGCGATGCGTTCCAAAATATGCCGAGCCGACGCGAGTGAAGCGGGTGCCTTAGCCGCATCCATGACCTTCTGCAGCTGATTCACCTCGGCAAGAACAGCTGGCCGGCTGGCTGGGCCTGCAACTTGGCTTTTCGATACGTGTTTTGGACGTGCTGAATTGATGTGGGTGCGTGGGCGTGTTGCTGCGTGGCTGTGCAGCTGGATGGGGGGTAGGAGAGGTGGGCTGCGGCTTGAGCCAGAGCAAGGTTGGTCCCAAAAAGCACAAGGTCGCCCACGACGATAGCCACTCACAGCAAGTGAGCATTCCCCTGGTCCCTGCAAGGTGTCAAGTTTGTGGGGCACAATGCGTCCACAATCCCACATATCTGTTTCCTGTCACCCATGGCTTTTCTTCACCTAGCCACATCGCGACGCCCGGCCCCCTTTCTCACCGTCAAGCTTATGCATCAAAGTTTCCAATCTTGCTCTGAATGTCTGAATCATTCAAACCATTCCGCAGATCGTGTGCTCCAACTGAAATCCATTCAAGGCCCCTCTTCCATGGAGGATACCCAGAAAACACACAAAGGACGGTTCTAGATTGTGAAACAACCAGGCCAACCAGGAATCGCCCTTTATGTTTTACCAAAACAACACACAAAGGACGTCTATGGCTCAGGGCGCCTCACTTCGATGAGGCTAGGGCCATGTTTTCCAGAAATCGCTGGACGTTGCCCTCGTACTTCTTCTCCTTCGAAAGCGCGCCGCTGCTTTACCCGACGTCCCAAGATCTAACCCTTTGTCGAGGATTATACCCTTTGGGCTCGTGTTTTGAGGGAAGCCAACATGAAATCTCATGTTTTTTGCATGCGCCCATGTGGAGACTAGCATTTGCCAAGAGGACAACAGCGGCCGCAACCGCAACAGCAAGGACAATCCCAACAAAGGCGTGACAACAAGAACCACCAGGGCAACCACGTCACGTCAACAGCGCAAGCAGGCCGCTGTAGTCCATTGAGGTGACAAGCTCATTTTTCAATTAAACAGGGTGGTTTAAAGGGGAAACAGCCCCCAAGACTCAGGTCGAAAGCCCCTGAGTATGCGGAAAAAAAGAAGAAGCAAAAACAAAAAACTTTGAAAGGCCAGTGATCGCAGCCCAACCGTCTCCATGCGTTTCGTTCCTTGGCGTGGGCCAGGAGCTGGATCACCTGCTCGTTGGTCTTTGCCTGGCTCAACCGGACGCAAACCATTTTTCCAAGGCGGTGGGAAAACCCCAAAATGGGTGGGGGACCAAAACGGCAAATGGAAACATGGACTAAAACCTGCGGATCCGATTCCTGGCTTGACTTTGACCCACAGCCAAATCTTGCAGTCCAAGAAGCAGTCGTTGGGCGTTGGAAAGAGCCAACCGACTTGGAGGAGTGGTTCGTTGGGACAAGACTCCGGCCCAGCCAGATGCAATTGACCTATCTTGAAACCCCAAGAGAAACCAAGTTCTGTGGGAAGCTGAAGCGACAAGGCTTTCCGCGAAGCCATGAATAGTTCCAAAGGAAATCCGAAATCGAATTCCACGGACAGGGATTGGATCGGATGGACTTTGGCGCAGAACCATTTCGCTCCTTAGCAGCGTTGCAGTGCGCGGTGTAGAAGGGGAACCTATGGGGATCCTCGCCAGGAATGGTCGGTGGGGATATTAATATGATTTTCCGTTCTGCGAACAAGCAAAGGACATGTTCAGGTGAGTGAATCATGATTCCCCCTGATGGCCCAAGGAAAAACAAAACACACACACACACATGAATGCAGGCTCCCCCTCTTGTTCAGACCCTCTGCGTGAGTGCCTTGTCATCGGACTTCTCGATGGTAAGTGTGGCCGACAGCCTGGCGGGGCTTGGAAGCCCCGACGAAGGAGGAGACCAAAGAAGCCCCAAGCTGCGCAGGACAGTTTTCTAGGTCCAGTAGAGTTCGAAGGGACCCACTTTTTTTCGGTCGTCTATTTTAGTAGGGGCTTGCCCTCCCCCAACAAAGAAACGGCAAAAGGGCACTGGGGGACCTAGCCAAGCTACACTGGAAAGCTTTGGAAGAACCTTGGGGTCAGATCAAAGCTTTGGGGGGGGGGGGGGGGGCCTGGTGGGCCTGGTGCCTTTGAACAGGAAACTCAAGGGGACCGGTTCCAGAAAGAGATGTATGGCCATGGGTCCAAATCCAAATCGTACCCCCAGTGAACATGCCAGTCCCCACCAAAATAGACTAAAATGGGTGGTGCACCTACCCCAAAATGGTACCATTGGTTTTGGCCCACAGCCATATATACAGAGATAGAGAGTTAGGAAGACCAAGTGAACTGTCTTTCCTTGACTGCCAGGGCTCACACGCATCCACCAATAGCTCTACGTCTGCATGGGCATGGTGTCAATGCAGGGGCCCACTTTTGAAAATGAGCTCAGAAGGTTGCATGGTGTTGAACCATGAATCACCTCCCCCCCAGGAAACCTTCACCCCTGGTGCCACTTGGGTATGGGTCAAAATTAAACCACCAGGAATTGGACCGCAGGTTTGAGTCCTTTCCATTTGCCAAGCCATTTTTGGGTACAGCCACAGCTACATTTTTTAGAGTCCTTGTTTCCATTGTTGAGTCCTTGTTTCCATTTACCGAGCCATTTTGGGGGTTAGCCGATTTTTGACACCCACCGCCCCTTACTAACTCTTGCGCGAAGCCCCTTCGTGACGGCGGCCGCGCTTCAGGGTGGACTGGCCCAGGACGCAGGGCCTCGGCGCAAAGGCCAATCAGGTTAAGACTGGGTAAGTCAAGATGGGAAGGTGTTGAGTCAAATACTGGTCATCTCTCAAATGCAGCAAGAGCAAAAAGTCAAAACATTCATTGTGGCACTGTCCCCAAAAGGAGAGCAGCAAGCGGGCCTCAAAATAGTAATAGTACCTGAGGGTTCGTCACTCTAGCAGCACCTCCTGTCCCGGACTTTCATGCATTAAATCGTCACAGCACGTCCGCCAGCAAGATTGTGTCTGGTCAGGCTCCGTCGCTGCTTGTGTGCATCAACAACTGGGAGGGTTTGTGCACCTCTGTGTCTAAACCTGAATCAGGTCGTACATGTAGCAGACACGAATGCCGTGACGCGGATTCAACAAAGCTAGGTCAACTCTGCTTCGGCTGGTTCAACCCATGCTTTTGTTTTCCTGAAGAAGGATGACTGCTGAGCTTCAAAAGACCGGCTTAGGGACGTTCTCGAGATCAATCAAGCAGCTGCGCCATGCTGCTAAAGGGGACCCCCCCCCACTTTTGGGACGTCCAAAGAATTGAGGATTTTGGGGCCCAATTCTACTTTAGTATTGCAGCCGCTTCCTTTTTGCAATTCCCCTTTAGTATTGCAACCACTTCTTCCTGAGCATACGTTTTGGAATACTACTTTAGTATTGCAGTCACTTCCCTTTCAGTTCTTTCTGAGTGGGCCACCAATTGAAAGGGGAATGCTTTTAAGCAAGTGGGCCACCAATTGAATGGGGAATGATTGAGTAAAGCAACTGATAGTTTATTTTCTGGGAGGGGGGGCTGGGGGCTTGCAGACTAATGTGGTTTAAAATTGATTTTCGGATATGTTTTTGGATTTTTTCCCCCGGACAAAACAACGGTCTGTTATTCTGGTCCCCATCAACAATGGGGGCAAACCATAATAAGCAAAAAACGCTCAATTATTGACAGACCCATGATTAATCGGGTGTTAACATTAATTAGGTTGCCTCTTTTTGCGGGCATCTCTGCTTATTCTAGTTTGATCCTGTTTTTTTTTCTTGTGGGTTGCTGTTGTGCAACCATTAAATAGCATGCCCAGCAAGGACGTGAAGCGTGTGCGCGTGCAGCCGCGATTCCCAGACTCTGCTTCGCAAGATATTTTTGTCGACCTCAGTTGTTGGTTGTGCAGTAGTTGTTGAAACCGGAAGCAGTCCTTGTTGTAGGTATTACAAGAGCAAGCCTGGCAAACCATGCCTTGCCAGTTTGCCGCGCAAAGTCCGATGTATTGGTATAGTGATGGAGTGGAACGGGATCTACAGTTCAAATGGCACAAAGTTCAGGCGGCATGCAGCATGCCCTGATTACAACAGCATCACGACAAAGAAAAAGGACTCTTGTCACATGATCGCCCGCTTCATCGATAGATTGTCCAACAAGAAATTCAGCCATAGCAACTCATGTCATGCCGGCTTGCTTTATATCTGGACAATAGTACCCCCCCCCCTCCCCAGGGAATAATATGTATAATATGAACGGGCTTCTTCTTGAAAAGGTTCTTCATTATAAATGCCACAATGAAACTTAACTGCCGCAGACTTTGCAACTCTTTAATTTCCACGGTTTAGTTCTGGGCTCCACCTCCACGATTTTGCGATTTTTCCTCAAGTTTGGCTCCAGGAATAAATGCATTTTTGCAATTTTCGCAATTATTCCTCGAGTTTTGCAAAATCTGGGGGGTTTACCCTGGAGGCCGGGACTGGACCTGGGGAATTGCAAAATTGCCAAATCCGCAATACTATTTTTGCACTGTTTGCAATTATTCCTCGAGTCTTTGCAATTTTGGAGCCGAAAGTCGAATGACTCGAGGAATCAGTTAATAATCCTTGCGAAGCAATCAATACTCTTTGCCATGTTATCTATTTCTCTTCCTGGAAGTCTTGTTTGGGGACATCATATGTATGCTGTAGGTTTAGAAAGTGATACAAGATCTTATTTTATAGGAACTACAATCGAGAATCCTTTGTCTCATCTTCCGGGACAGCGCCTCAGGGTCTATGTCTTCGCGGCGGTTAAACCCTTGAAAGGTAAAGGATAGAAAATAAAAGAGAAAGATAATGAGAAAAGAAAAGGATAGGAAAGCTATTCCTGATCCAGTAGATGACAGGTAATTCCAGGAATGAAAAGAATCCCGAATGGATGGGCATAACATTCGCCCTAAGAAATGCATTGGGGAAAAAGGTTAGAAGAATAGCAATAAATATTAAATCACAATTATAAATCATAAAGAGAGAGAGAGAGAGATTGTACATGAAGATGAAAGTAATAAATTATTAGTACCAACAATATTTTCTCCATTAAAGATTATTCCAGAGAAGATAGCAAGTATAGCTCCTAAAAAAGGAACAACATGAAAACGTGCTACAACATTACATGTATCATGTAATCCTACATCCATTGCAGCATTTCCTAGAATTACTCCTCTTCACCCACCTATAGTAAACATAAACAAACAGAGAAGAAAGAAGAAGACAGAAGTAACTTTAAGGTGTAGTAAAGATGGATTGGAGAGATATGTAAAAAGCCAATTGAAGACTTTTGTACCAGTTGGCCCTTCCCATGGAACCTCCTCTATAACCTGGCTTATCTGCTCTCACGTGCCGGTCAATCTCTTTCTTATCTTTTTACTTTCTCTCCGTCCCTGCTGCATCTCTTATTTGAGACGGCTTTATCAATATCTTTGTCTTTCTTTCTCTTTTCCTTCCCCCACTGGCTTCTTTCGTCTATCCTTCATGCCGGTGGCCGTTCCTTCTTTCATCTCTTGTCTCTTTGTCGTCTGGCGTCCTAACCCAAGAGCTGACGGACGAACGAAGAGAGAGCCAGGAAGCGACCTACGGCCAAGGGAAGATATGGGAATGAAAGAATGCAATGAGAGAGCGAATCTTCTTACCCACAGACCCTTTCCTCTTCTCGCAACACTTCCTATCCCTTTCTGCGGGCATTATTCCTTGGCCCCGCGACCCAATTGTCCCTTCCTTTCGCCGTCATCTCCATCTCTCATGTCGCGGCAGTATGAAATCTTTTAAAAGCCGCGAGAAATGGAAAGAGATAGAGATGGACAAGAGATAGGGAAAGCGAGCTGGGAGAGCGCTTCCCTACCATCTCCCTCCATTCCTTTTCCCATCTTTTGCCGTGTCATCATATCTTCACTAATACACGGCAGGAGATAGGATGGTAAAGGAATGGATCTCTTCCAAATCCTTACCTTCATCCCACCCTTTTCGCGTCTTGACAGAGAGGAGGAAGGAAAGGGTAAGGGATGAGAACAGGGAGATGGTAGAGAGAGAGGACCAGAATGACCGAGAGTGAGTGAATGATGGCCTGTCCATCTCCCATCTCTTCCTTCTCTCTTCATCCTCTGTTCACTCCTCGCTCACGACGGAGGCAGTGAAGAAGCGAGGAAGAGATACAGAGATAGATAGGCGAGTGATGGATGAGGGAAGGTGGGTCACTTTCCTCCTTCCTCCGTCAGGTCGTTAGTTCCCCTTTCGTGTCTCTTTCTTTCCGCTGCCATCACAACATCCCAACTGCAGTGGTGAGACAGGAGGAAGAGAGAAGGAGGAAGGCGCACCAATCTCCTGCCTTCCCTCTCTTCCCTCTCTATCCATCTCTTTTCTCTCTCTATCCGTCCTGTGTCTCACCCCGTCTGGACCAGAGAGAGAGCGAGATGGGAGAGGGAGGAGGATAGACAGAGGTAAGGAAGATGAAAAAATAAATCACTTCTCCCTTTCATTTCCCCTGCATTTCTATTAACTCTTGATTCGGGGAAATGTTAGGAAGGAAGTGATTAAGAGATGAAGGGGAAGCTCCCGCCCTCGCTTCCAGGCTATTTACTTTCTATCTCCTGTCTGGTCCATGAGTGACTGATAAGAATAGGACAAGATGGGACAAGAGATAGAGCCATTCCTTTCACCATTTCACATCCCACCTTCTTTATCTTTCTGTTTTTATTGTTTGAATATTTCTGGAAATAATGGGACGTGAGTGAAAGGGTAGGAAGAAAGAAAAGATATGGGAAATGCCAGGTAGAGAATAGAGGCCTTTGCAGGAGTTAGAGAGGTGAGGATATGCCATCAGATAGAAAAGAGAGGCATATCCTATCACTCACCTCTCCATCATATCCCTTCATTTCTTATTCCTTTCTACGTCCTGTCCACTCACGAAAGGAAATTAAGATGATTCCCTTCCCTTCGCGCTCTGTGTGTATGTGTGCGTGTATGTGATTTGTACCCTTTGACAGCTGCTTCTATTCCCGTCAACTGAAGATTGTTTGAACATCCAATGCTGATTTATTTTTTTTAGTGTTGGAAAAGAGTGCGTTCACATTATATATACGTACTATTCCCTCGTACCCCCCCCCAACCCCCAACAGTCGGCGATCTGTCCCCTTGAAAAAGCAACCACAAAGGAGAAGCTGACAACAAACATGTCACAGCCAGGCCGGCCATGCTGAGCTGCTGAGCGCACGGCAGCAGGATCAGTATGCGCCACCTGGGTCAGAGGTCCATTCAGATATTGTGGGCTCAAAGGCTGCTCACTTGCCTAAGGAAACATTGGAGTTGGGAATCCTGGACATGGTTTCCTTTAGGTTTGAGCCTTTTCATTTTCATGTGACAAGTCTCAAACGACAGGTGCAAACCAAAAAGGTGCACAACATTGCCCTGGTCACGCGCATGTCAGGCGCTGCAAAGTTGCAGGATGAACTTCTCAGCAACTTAAAGTTAGGGCCTAGCCACCAAAAAGCCACTGTGCCGTTGCCTCCGTCATTGGCCTGAAACCCCGACTTTTCAGCCGCAAATGGCATTCAGGGGCGAGCATGGGCGACCCATGTTTGATGGCCTCACCAAGACGAAGCAATGAGACATGGCATGCAGTATCAAGGCAAGTTTGGAAACTCCAAGATCCGCGTTGTTGGCAATGGCTGCGATCGCTTGCTTCGGCCTCAAAGAAGAGTCAGACGCCAAAGTGGGCCGTTGGCGTGAACGACAAACAAAGTTTACGTTCACAAAAAAATAGGCACACAAAATCATAGGCACGCAAAATAGGCACACAATCAGAGGCACACAAAATTTCCCAAAGTCTAACAGCTTGAGATCTGCTGTCTGCCAAGGGGATGTTCAAGATTCAAGATGGGTCTTCCCCTCTTCCAGGACTTGTCCTAGCTGGCCCTCCATCACGATTTGTCTCTGAATGCAACACCCTTATGATCCTGCAAGAAACATCAGTGTCTCTATCTCACAGGAATCCTGGCGTTTGCCTATAAATAATCTGCTAGATTCCGGTCCATACTCTGTGAACCTTAAGCTAATTGCAGACATCCCGTCTCCCACTGTGTCCCCCACATCGCCAGCACCCGACAGCGCGAGGGCACTTCTTTGGCCCCACAAATTGCCACGCTGTCCGATTTCCGGAACTTTAGAGGTTCAAGGATGTTCAATAAAGGGTTGTCATCATATCTGAAGATAATGTAGATATTGGGTGAGGGTAGGGATCAAAGGGTTAAAACTTGCAAACACTTGACGCGCCTTGAAACGATTCGAGACTTTGCTCACGTCACCCGCTCCATTTGTATCTAGACCCATTGTGGAAGCGAAGCAGCCAGCACATCCGGTGGTAGAAAGAAACGGTGTCCTTGCTGCCAAAACGCAGAAAAGACATCCCTATTGATTCCATGCATTTCCTTCCGGTCTTTGATGCCTTTTTTGGCAGGCACAGAAGCATCCATAGATTCTAGAGCCAAAACGGCGCGCGCCGGCCAACCCTCACAGCGACAGTAGTGTAGTAGAAGGGATCTTTTCTGCCCACCCCCTTGAAAACAGATTTGGGGGGAATACTAGACGAATGGAATTGCCCGCTCCCCCTTAAGGTAGGCGGGCTCCCTTACCACACTGGGAGCATGCCAAAACCAAGAGAGCAACTTGCTTTCCCAGCTTGTGAAAGACATCAAAGAATGACAACATGCATTTGGAGGAGTTCCTATCTGTCTCATTCCCGCACGCACGGCATCAGAGTATGCCCAGCGTCGGGAACCTCCGGAATTGAGGGGGGGGGTAACCTGCCGGTGCCGCCCCAAATCCGATTGGCGGCCAAAAAACGCTGCCGCCGGGGAGGCAAAAAGTGGTCCGCAGGCGGAACCCTTGATTCCACCGGCCCAAGGGTCCTCAGTTTTGACACATGATCAAAGCTCTGAAGGTGAAGAAGTGATGCTTCCCCAGATCCTCGGGTGAGCCACTTGCTCAAACCCCGGGTAGATGAAGGTTAGTAAAGTTTAAAGGACAATCACCTTGCCATAGATCGCTGCGGAGATCCGCCTTCTTAATTCTTGAAGCATGGTTCTGGGATTACGACCATCTTAATACCGGGTGTTGATTATACAAGGATCCTTACATTCTACACCTGAACATTGCCTTGTAAATGGTCCCTTTATTTTGGTGCTGGCCGAGTGCCACCAAGCAAACACGGAACAGCACCTCTTCATCTGTGGGGTGATCAACCAAATTCCCTCAAACTGGAAGTGACTTACTACCAAACCTCAAGCCCCAGAAAGAGATTTGTTGGGCAAAAGAAGCTGGAATGCGCCATGCCCTCGCCAGTTAGACTTCTTGATCGGATATTCCCTGAGCTCGCATGTGCAGTGAAGTTCGTTGATCTTTGAGAGATCCATCCCTGACAGTCTTCATCCTTAACATCATTATCCTCACAATCATCATCATCTCTTATCATCATATCTTATGAGGCAGCATTGGTAATGCAGAGGATGCTACGATGATAGTTATCATGACAGTTCTCATCCCACTTGCGACCTTGAAACCACAAGGGTCATCACCTTTTGGGATGCATAGATCAAGAGTCGAAGTATATATATATATATATGCTAGGTCCTCCATTAGAGAGGTGAGAATAAGGGTACCCTTTTTCTATTTTAGTGGGGGAACCCTCCCCAAAGAAAGTTGGCAAAAGGGCACTACTGCGGGACGAGTATATATATATATATATATGTAAATAATCTGTGTGTGTGTGGGATCCCAAACGTTTGTGAGCGAATCCCTTGCATCGGCCATGAGCTGTGCCACTCGCCGGGACTCCTCTGGTTGTGTGGCCAACGGATGAACGACCCAGCCGTTGCTTCTTTTTTTTTTTCCCGGGCGCTGGGCCAAAGAAAGGAAACCCCAAAGCTGTCCTTAAGGCCTTCATCCCTCCCCCTCCGTCCCTCCCCTCCCTATCGCCTGGCGCTCCCCGAGCAGGGCCGGCGAAAGCGCCAGCGGCCTCGCACGCAACTCAGCTATCGATCCCAAGGAGCCGGACCCTTTGTGTTTGCTCCTGGCGGCCCTGAGATTTTGAAAAACGATTCAAAGCAGATTCCACTGAGTGCAGCCTTCAACCGCTCAGAACTGAATGCATCGGCAAAAGCGCGGGTCAGGTTCTCCCATTGAGTTCTAAATGGCGGTTCCTCCCAATGGCATGTGTATTCCGGCCACCCCCAAAACGGCAGGTTCTTGTGGGCTTCCCGTAAAGCCAAGGTGAAACAGGGCTCCCGACATTTCCCCGTAAAACATCACCCCCACCAAGGGACCCTCACCTTTCATGGGCCAAAAAGGTGATGTCTTTTTATCCAGCAAAAAGGGAAATATAGGGACCCCTGTGAAAAAAGAAGGACACCTTGGCAACCTCAGGGCCTCCACCCCAGACCGACTCAGAGGCTGCGCCGGTCCATGTCGCCGGGCCCCGGCCTCCAGGGGAGGAGCCGCCTTGAAGCGCCTGGCCGCCACAAACCACCAAGTTGCTTGCGCTTTTGGTCTGGTGGCTTCGTCTGGTGGCTTGGTCAAAATGAAGCACCAGGAATTGGACCGCAGGTTGAAGTCTCCAGCTTTCCATTTACCAGGGCAAGCCATTCGGGGTACCTATTTTTGACCCACAGCCGTCTGTTTCTGTGTTGGCTCTATTTGATTGCCTTCGCCCTCTGGCTGATTGAGTGTCTCACTGTCCGGTTGCAAGTCTGTCGGACTGGCTGATCGCTTGATTTATCTGACCGTGCGATGGTCTGAGTGTCTGCGTCGATCATCTTGAGTCTTGATAAGACTGTCAGTAGGTTGTCTGATTGGCTGCATGAATACTTGAAAACAGGGATTGAATGAGTGATTAAACGCATGAATGGAAGAAACGAACAAGCTGATGACTGAATGACTGAATGGCCGAATGACTCAATCAATATGAATGAATGAATGAATGAATGAATGAATGAATGAATGAATGAATGAATGAATGAATGAATGAATGAATGAATGAATGAATGAATGAATGAATGAATGAATGAATGAATGAATGAATGAATGAATGAATTTATGCATGAAATGAAATCAAACGAAATCAAATGAAATGAACAATGAAATCAAATGAAATGAAATTAAATGAAATGAAATGAAAATGATATGAACATGAAATGAAATCAAATGAAATGAAATGAGATGAGATGAAATGAGATGAAATGAATGAATGAACTGAACTGTGCTGGTTTGAGCTGAACTGAAATGAAATGAACATGAAATGAACATGACATTAAATAGAACGACATAATATTAGATGAAATGAAATGAAAATGATATTAAATGAATTGAAATGAATTTAAATGAAATGGTACTGGGAGAATATGAATTGAAATGAAATGAAATGATGACACAAAATGAAATGAAATGAAATGATGAAATGAATTGAAGTGAAATTTCTTTGAACTGGTATGACATGAAATGTTGTGAAATGAACTGACATGACTTGAACTGAAATGACATGAAATGAAATGAGACGAAACAAAATGCAATGAATGAAGGAATGAAGGCACTTCTTAGCTTCCCCGCATGAGATATAAACTATTGGCTCAGCAAATCCGCCATGAGAGCTTGTTGTTTGAGACCTTATGGAAACAGGTTCAGGGCCCCTGTCTTCATCCTCATGGACTACCATGAAACGTGTTCCATCCAACTGCAGCACGAAAATCACGGGCCTCGACGCAGGTGCCCCGACTCGTTCACTGGGCCTTGTGGTTTCTACCGTCATGGTAGGTCAACAAGAAACGTCCTGCGAAGCCTAGGGTACACATGAGTCACAATCAAAACCTGGTACAAAAATGGTGAACCCAGAACCATGCAAAGAATTAGAAAGGCGGCCGCAACTATATATGGCTGGGATTCTCCCTTACTAACCTTCATCTATCCGGGTTTTGAGCACGTGGCTCACATGGTCAGCTGTAGTCACTTTGGTTCACCTATCACTTTTTCCGCACTCCGGTTGAAACCCCGAGGCCACCTTGGCACCGGCCGGGGTTGGCCAAGCCTCGAAGCTCCGGCCAGCGAGCCCTGCCAAGGGGGCGGCGGCGACCTGAGGCCGGGAGCCCGGGAGGCCGGGAGGCCGGGAGGCCGGGAGGCGGGCGCTTGTGGCTGAGGGAGCAATAAAACATTGATTCGGGGTACAAGACAAATTAAACAGGTAGCAGTAGTAGCAGTAGCAGCAGCAGCGATGTTCCCAGAACAAAGGGTGGAGCTGTTTGACTGGAAGAAAAGACAATCCTCACACTGAAGGATGGCTCAGGATTCTGAGCAAGCAAGTAGAGATCCCACCCTGTGCAGAAGTGTGTGGGCGATCTATGTACAGCGGTACGGATGGCTGCATGAAATGCGCTCGCGCTTGCAGGTGATCCAGCCAGCGAGTTGACTTCGACAGAGCTGTTGGTGTCAGTCCTCTCCGGTGAAGCGCCTCTTCAACCCCATCGGGAATTACAGGTGCCCATGCCACATGTGGCGAACACAGACATCCCACAAGAACTCTCCCCCTCAACTTCCGACCGGACGCCACGTGGGGAATCAACCTGGCACGCTACGTGCAAGCATCGTGATGGATCCACACGCTTCAGTCAGCTGAGCATAGCTCATGAGAGTGACGGCCATGTCACATTCTCACCTCTCCCCTCTTAAAGCAAGTTTCGGCCAGGCCACAAACTTTGGCTGCGCTTGGGAGCACGGTAGGCCCACACCAATCCAGCAAAACCGTGGCCCAGACCTGTGGATTAAAGGCGAGAAGGGACAACCCCATCGGAGGTGTGGGGCGGTGAGCATGGATAACCAAGGGGAAACAACGACTCACGGAAACTCGTCGGCCTTACCCCAACCCCGTTCCAGAGATGACATTCCTTGTAGCCACGAGGAAATGGGGGGTCCTTTGTTGGGGTACGCCCTACATATGAGCTTTAAGGCCGAACACAAGCAAAGGCTTGTCCCTTTTCAGGGCTCCCCTTTTGGGGTTGCTTCGAAGCAACTCGTTGGGGGTTCAAAAAGATCCCATGCGGAGATTTTCGGGAGACGAAAGGCCCTGAGGCTTCCGCTCGGCGCCCCTGAGCCAGAGGTATCGCAGAAATCGCACCGCGTTGTCGTTCACCTCGGGAATTGTTCGTCCGCGGAAAAACTTGCACAGGGTGGCAGGGCATTGGCAGTTTTATGGCACGTGTTTGCGTTTGATATTTTCCAGCCGCAGCAGAACACCCACAAGTTACACCCCAAGAATTTCAGGGAAGTGGTCCACTGTCAGAAAAGCCGTGGCAATGAATGAGGACCTGTCTTCTGGACGAGTATCCGCGGATTTAAGACGTCGGTTTCTCAGTGGCAATCGAACAAACTTCGCGATCACAGCCGTGGCATTCTCTGGCATTGGGAGGTTTTACGGCACGTGTGTGAGTTTGATATGTTCCAGCCGCAGGAGAACTGGCAAGGGCATCAAATAATACTGTGGTTCGCTGCAGCGCATGCCAAAACTTCCGTATAAAAAACACCACGGTGGCTGGAGGCTTGTCTTGATAAGGGCAGAGTACTGCCATCCCTTCAAACGCGCATCACCTTCACTGCGATTCTGAATTCTTAACATATACTCTTGCCGGTGGACCGGGGGGGGGGGGGGCTCTTGAGCGCTGCGATGTTTAACATGTGCTCTTGCCGGTGGACCGGGGGGGGGGGGGGGCAAAAATAGCGCCACGACGGAGAAAGGCCGGCAATCTCTACTGCATGGATCACCGCTATGAGCAGAATTCATCTTCACGCTCAAGCTCGTAGCAAATGTGCCCCTCATGGCGGGCACCAGGACGGTGTGTCACAATTCTATATGCTCGGGTTCACTTTGATTGGCCATCGAAAAGTCCAGAGGGGCCATGCTGGAGCCTACGGGCGTTCAATGCTCAAATGGCACAAAACAGGTCTCCAATGAGCTTTACACAAAGGGAAGTCTATTGGGCAAATATTCTTGCTGGTGCTCAGCAGGGAATGAGGGAATAAACCCTAGAATATATATATATATAAGCCATCCCCTATGGCTTCCTTTAAGGGCAACCCTAGGTTCATTCCCAAAACCCGGACTCGGTCATTCCCTACCGAGCACCAGCCAGAAAGCTACTCTTCTCCGGGCTTGCCGGGCCTCCTCCACGGTCATTGGCCACATCGACTCCTGACCCGGGGCAGCGAACATGGACGGAGGTGCCTACGATATCCTTCAGGTCCCTGCATAGCAAATCACTGGGTCGGGGATTAGGAATTCCTGGGCAAAGTGCCTTCGCTTTCACAGGTGAGCGAGATCTTTTTTACTGAAAGGGATCCTGCTGTTTTCTGATTCTACTTGCTTGAATTTCGCGGCTGCTTTCTGAAAGTTGCTTCGCCCATGATGTAGAACCAGGGTGCGAAGGGCGCACACATCGTGTACAGAACATGTTGCAACTGCTAAAACAACATACTCCTAGGTCCTTGATAGACACCTGTTTTTCTTGTGGGAAACACGCGTTGTCTCGCCATGTGCTCCCCAAAGCAGCAGTACACTACGACTGATATTGTGAGCGGCTCACATTGTGGATCGATGACGTGCATGCCGCAGGCAAAACAAGGTGTTAATTTTTCCAGCAACGCAACTGCAAGCAAGCAGAGCGTGCCAATGCAGGCCGCCACTGTAGAAAGCTTTCCAGCCACACCTATCTCACGGGTGCCTAGCCAAGTTGACCGATAAATCTCACAAGCGATCTATTTTGATGCACTGACGCAAGCTGTTTGTCGGACAGGTTTCTGAAAAGCTGGACCAAGTAAAAGTAATTCCGCACCTGGCCACTCCCAACGGTTTCTTCGAGACTAAAGGTCAGCCACCTCCTCTGTGTGTGTGTGTGTCTTGCAATTTTCCTTCATGCGGTTCCGGTGTGGATGGCACACACAGCTTGAAAGCATGTGGAGCACGCCTTCGTGCGATGGCAGAGCATTTCCAACTGTCCAAGCTTCGGTGGCTAGGGATGTCTGCTCTATGGTCCGGCGCTGACCTACTGGGGCCTGGAATGTTCTCGAACTCATCATGTTTCGGTTCTTCTTGGGAACCAACTGCGCAAAACAACCATGGGTGGGTCTCAACATAGGGAACTCCCCCCCCCCCCGCCAAGAAAAAAATGAGGGAGGCGAACCACACCAAAAAAAACATCGCGCGGAAGAACCCTTCGAGAAAAAAGAACAAAGAAAATGAGTGACTTCGAGAAAAAGAAGAAAAACAAGAAGAAAAAAGGGGAAACAAAAGCAAGAAAATGAGTGACCTCCTCTTGGCTTGCCTTTAAACCACCCGCCTCCAAGCAGGGAGCACAGTGTCGCAAGGTGGCCAGGGCCAGAAGAGCCTGGCACGACTGCACGACATCCGCACCTGTGGTGTGCTCTGAGGCTCGTTCTACCCTTTTTGGGTTCTAAATGGTGGTGCTTTTTGGTGTGCTTTTTGGGATTTGTTTTGAGGCTCGATCTACCAAAACACCGTTTTGGGAGTCTCACCAAATTGCACACCATGGAGCTGTCCATTCTTTAGCCAAACTGATCTCCCTGGGTCTCCCTGGGGGTGCCCACCCATCGGCTGCCCAGCCCGCAGATGTCACCATCAATGCCCGTTCGCATGGCCCTCGCAGCTGAAGAATGCGGCCCTTGCGAGACCTTCCAACTTGGTCTGAAGCCACGTTCCATTCGTAGCAACTTCCGAGGGCTCCTGCTCTGCTCCGGCCCTCCACAAACTGAAGCGAGAAAAAGGAAACGGCCGGCGGAACATATGTCTCTGGCCTCCAGGTAGGCGAGGCACGTTAGGTGCTGCTCGCAATCCTCAGGAAGGAGACTTGGCCTCAGCGAAAGGTCCAGCCATGGAGATCTTGTGACTGCGTACATGTCGGATGACCTATGGGTCTCTGCTTGGTTTTTTTTCAGGGCACCCTTTTCAGTTTTTTCCTTTTTTTTATAGCAAGTCCAAAGGAGAGAGCCACCATGTTGGGGGGGTACCCCTCTATTTTGACACAGACCCATCGATTTTTACAAGTGAACACTTGAGGAGCTTCATCGCGGGCGGCAAGACCCATGGCATTTTGGATTGCAACAAGTGCCACCAGCACAAACAGGCGGCCTATAAGGTCGGTGTGATCAAGTGGGCCCTCGAAAACAAGCAGGGCAAGCCAGGCAATGGATAAGGGTTGTGGTATCCCAGCTGGTGTGTCCTTTTCTTTAAGGGTATACCTTGCTTTTTGTGGCTTTAAAGGGGAGCCAAAAGGAAAACCACCATTTTGGCGCGTCCCCTAAAAAGACACGCCCCGCAACTTCCACCATCCCTCACGCGAGCAAAGGCGGCAGCGCGGCTCAGGGCTCTTTCTTTCGCACTTTCGCGAAAGCACAAAGCAGAGCGTCCGGCGCCAGGCGCAGCCCGGTACCGGTCGACCTGTCGCTGCGAATGTCAGGTTGTGGGGGGTATCAGTTAATAAGTCGCCAACCCAGCAATCCGAAGTTCGGGCTGCTTAAGTGCCAAAGAAGATCCTGCATGGAGGGTTGTTCGATGATTTCTGAAAGATGTTGCGACGCAATGACATACTTGTTTGGCTGCCGAGTGATAACCCAAAGGAAACTCTCAAACGTTCAGAATACACCAAGCCCTGCCAAATTGTGGACAAGATCAGACCAGGAATGGCATGCTACTGGGCTCATCCAGGCTGAGCGCATGCCTTTCTCTTGGCGCGGATGTGCAGACCTGACAGCTCCAAGTATCTTCCTCCAATTTTACGGCGAGTGCCACTGGTGCCTTTCTCTACCCGAACAAAAAAAAAAAAAACGCACCCAAAGCTGCCAACCCGAACCTCCATCTGACTTACGACCAGGCCTTTGGGCTCGATGGTTTCCAGCCCCAAATCACTCGCCCAGGCACATGGGATATGCTGCCACCCAGCCACTTGTAGAAGGATAAGCCCCGCTTCCCCTGGGTCCCGGTGGTTAGCGGAAAACATCTTCTGTCACTGCATGTCCCCTTAGGTTGCCATTTTTTGTCTGGTGGGTTCAAATTTAAGCTGCCACTCGCAGTTCCGCACGGCAAAATGGAGGGCCCTGCTCCCATGTGGTTGAAGCAACAAATCATTTTTTAGGGGTTGCTCCAACCAACGGTCATCCCACAAGCACCTTTTCATCAACCCCCAAACACGAGGCCCCGAGCCTTGGGCCCTTCCCCGTGGCCAAGCGGCGACTCAGCCGCTCAGCCAGCCCTGCGTCCAGGCGGTCACAGCTGCCACGAGAGCCAGGGGCGCCAGGATCTGTGCCGCGCCCAGCAGGTCCTAGGGACGGCACGAAGTCGGTTCGCACCAGCCCAAGAAACCAGAAGGGAAACGCATCGTTTCTCGGTATTTGCAGGGTAATCAGGATGAAACCATGAAAAAAACACATGAAACACATGAAACCATGAAACCACCCAAGAAACCAGGTTGTGGCATGGGCTTGATCCAACCACTTCTGTGATACAAGGGAATCTCCCCCTTTGTATTCGGGGGAAGCCCTTTTTGTGGTATCACAGAAGTGGGCATTTCCCAGAGCCCTGATGGGTAACCATTGTTTCTTGGTATTTGCAGGGTAATCATCATTCCAGGGTTCCTTGGGTGAAGGATTTCGTCCACATTGTGGACCCAGGTGATGTTGATATCCAAAGCGGAAACGAACGAAGGAACTTTAATTCGGGACCGTGTAAACATTTAGGTGGGGATTTAACGACCAACCCGCCGTAGTCACAAGGCTACACAAATGTCCATGCCAAGCAGAGGAAAATTCGGGCTCGGCCCCTGGTGTATGTGTGAAATTTAGTGAGTCCCTCCAAATGGACCATAATAGACTACTTGCAATGTTGACCGTTGCTCAGTGATTTTGAGGCTCGGTAGCAGTTTCAGGTTGTGAAAGGAAACCAAAGGATAACCACAACCTTTCTTTGGTGGTGGGTTTTTTCCAGCATCAGCTATGGAGTCAGCCGGCCAGCCCTGGCCGCCTGGATATGTCCTGTGGATTTCCGCATGGGGTGATGCAAATACTAAAGAGCTCATTCTGACGAATTCCCCTCCTGCTGATTCTTCTGCCACCGCAAGATGTGACGATCCCCGAGCTGCAGAGCAGTGGAATCCTGGAATGTCCAGTCCTCGGCGTGTTGCTTCCTGCAAAAGGTTCCTGCCAAAATGAAGCCCCCAATTTGAACGTTCTCTTGATTCATCCGGCCAAGATGAGCTGCAGGTTCAGGGCAATGCACTTCTGGGGGTAGGTTGGGCTCCAACATTGACGGGTAGGCTCGCGACACCACAACTGCTTCGACCCTACGAAACAAACAGGCGATGTGCACATATCATTTCATGTATATACTGTAAGCTCCTTGTATATGTAATGGATGTGGCGTAAATTTTGCCAGGCAAACGTTTACAGTTTAAAACTGTGTAAGGCCAGGTTGCCGATCAGCAGCAACACTTCCTACCAACCCTCCCTCCTGCAAGTGAACCCACCCTCAAGTCAATGCGCGAGCGTTTCTGAGCCTGAACTTGCATGAGGTAGCCCTGCCCAAAGACCAACCGCTTCTGCCCGTGTTTCTTTCACACACGTAGCCAAACCGGGCACAAACCTTCCCCAAACCCACAGTCTGCTCTGAAACTTCTTGGAAGGTCCGATCAGATAGTATGTTTCTTGTTTTGAAAGAAAACCCATATGAATGGATGGACTCTCACTGTTTGCCATGAAACCTTCGCACCTATGACACCCGCAAATGGCCAGCTCACTTGGCCATCCCAAACACAAAGAAGCACAAACAAACCCCAGAAGAAGAAGATGAAAAAAAATGAAATCCGGAGAACGTCAGCATGAGCAGATTCTCATCTTGGCTCCGACTCAACACCGAACCAATACCATGTGAGGAGGTCGAGGCTCCATAGCCTCCAGTGACCGCTTCAGGCGCTTCGCGTCCACCTGCAGCTCCCGAAGGCTCGTCTCCAGCTCCTCCACCCTGGGAGTCGGAGGCAGGGAGGCAGGGAGGCAGTGAGGACGGACCAGGCCCCCGTTTTCGCGTTCTTTAAAGCCGAAAGAAAGCCATTAGAACGGGGGGGGGGAAGGAAGCGGGGAGAAAGGAGGGGGAGGAAGGGGAGGGGGGGGCAGGGCCAAAGGCAAGACACACTAAAGTTTCGGAAAAATAAATAGAAAGAAACAGGTGCATGCTGATCCGGAGGAGTCTGTGGCTTGAGAAGCGTGCTCATTTCGAACCTGCGGTTTGAAGAAATCCTGCGAGGATTCTGCGTCCGGGCTTCTGTGCGGGACTTGGCTTCGCAAAAAGAGTTGGCTGTTCCGCCGAAGAGTTGGCTTTGGCGAGGTTGGCAGGGCGGGTGGGGGTTGGAGGTACATGGGTCGCTCTACTTTTCCCAATTTAGGAGTTGGTATCCATTCTAACGTTCGCCACTTGAGCTTCCAAGGGGAACATGGCTCGGACGTGCCGGGGGTAGGGCTGGCAGGCGCTTGGCCTCTCCCCCCCCCCCCTCCCCCAGCATTGCCTGAAGGGCGCCGCATGCCCCGCCCCGGAGCCGCCGGAGAGGCGCAGCCACTCCCGGAACTGGGCGCAGCGGAGCCGCTGCAGCTCCTGCACCTCTCGGCTCAAAAATTCCTCCCGCGGTCAGTTCGACGCGAGGGCGGCCAAAATTCCGGGCGAGCCAAAATTCCGGGCGAGCCAAAGTTCCGGGCGAGCCAAAACTCCGGTTGTCCGACCGGCTACCGCCAAGAAACAAAATGAATTGGAAAGAAGCATCAAAATCAAAAGGAAACAAGCCATCGGTTTTCAACTCTGGCCAACATCAATGGAAACTGAATTCGGAGAAAAGCCATGGGGCATCGTGCTAACGCGGTTCGTGAGCTGGTTGCATGCAACGCCTTTGCTGAGATCGCTTCATACACATCTTGAGTCAAAAACCTGCGGGACAACCACAGGAGTGTCCCTTATTAGAGATATGTAGAGTAAGTGGTTTGTGGTCGCACCCGGGGGGATTAACCATGCTTCACCAAAGCCACGGACACTGGGAGGCGACTTGTGCACCAAACTCGAAAGAACATTATCTGTAAGATGGTTGCTATATAAATCCCAAGTGTCCATGCAACCTCGGTGACTAAGCTGAAGGAAATTCGGAACAAAATATCCCCACCATGTCAACCAGGTCAACATTGATCCTGCCAAGTTGGCAAACTACCATCACAACCACTTGAAACCCCGGTGAAACATGTTGCTTCCCTATACGCACCAAAGAAAGACAAAGCCAGCTTGGCCAAAACCTGAGCTAAAAGTCACCATAGTCACGAGCCAAAAGTGAGATGTAGAGACTCCGTCCAACGTCCTGAGTCCAAACCAATCTGTACAGTGCCTCGGGAGTTGTGTTAGAGGAATTGGCTGCGGTCAGGCCGCAGTTGACAAAAAATCCAGACCTCTCCCCTTCTCAAAGAGAGAGCTGCCAGGTTGGGCTCTGCCCCGTCGAGACGAAAACTCTTCGCTTGCCCAGCAGCTTTTGCGCTACGCAGGTGCTTGGAGTTGGACACCGACCGGACCTCCTGAAGAAGGCACACTGCAGGCAACTCGGGGGGAAGTCCGGGCAAAATGTTCCGGTATTGACATGTCTCCAAGAACCCGTTAAATGGATGCTTTCCCTTTGAATCAAATGTCAAACCATCCACGAACGCCACCCTCAAAAAGGACACTCTTCTGTCTGTGGTGCCTTTCGAAAGCAGCTTAGAACAGAGAGGTGTCTCTCTTCAATCTGCATAAACAGGTGGGGCCCAACCATACTAACCTTTCTGCCATACTGCTAGACTCTCAATCCAAAGCCTCTGTCCTGGCAAATGCCACTCTCAAGTTGCAGCACTCCTGTAGTAGCAAGTCATGGAAGATTCCCGGCAAGATCCTGCAAAAAACAACCTTGGTTGGTTCCACATCTTGCTCGCTTTGTTTGCTTCTCCATACCATCAGAAAGGCCCTTGGCTCCACCAGCACCTCCTTGGCTCCACTCGGAGCGCTCCTGCAGCGATTTCTCCAAGACCTCGACCTCCGCGGCATTTGTCAGCAGCAGCCGCAGCGCGTCCTCCAAGATCCGCGCCGGAAGCTGCGCCTCCAGCCCTCGAGTCGCGAGGAAAAACGGGGCTCTGAGCTTGAGACCGGGCCGGGGTGCGACTCTTTTCGGGCAATCCGAAGTTTGGGGTTTTGGAGCCCTGAAACTTTTCAGGTTCCGCTTTTCAGGTAACGAGTGGTTGGGGTTGAAAAGAAAATCCTTAGTCAGAGAATCCCTCTTTTCAGCTAATCCTTAATCCGGGGTTCGGGTAATCTTTCGTTGGGTTCAGGTAATCCATAGTTGAGTCACAATCAAAACCTGGTAGTAGAATGGTCCACCCACAACCATGCTTCAAGAATGAAGAAAGCCGCCGCAACTACTTCTGGTTGGGACTGTCCCTTACTAACTTTCACTTACCCGGGTTTTGATTTTGACTCAGTTGATGGTTTGGATTTTTTGGGTTTGAACCCCTGGCTTTTGTAGGGGGTGCATGGGAAACCCCTCCTTGACCACCAAACCCATTAGGGAAGCTGATCTTTTGGCTCTGGAGTGGTGTTGCGACAACGGGAAAGGGTGTTTGCTACACTGTGACCCGCGAGTGACCCGAATTGGTGGCTGAAGGGCTCATCCGCTCCGTTTGTTTCTCAATGGAATTGCGGGGGGTCTTTCTTGTCTCGTCTTTCTCAAGCTTGGACACGCCTTAAATTGGCTTCGTTGGGATTTCCCTCTGGATTTCCTTTGAAATCACCAAAAAGGGGTACCAACCCCAAAAAGGCAACACCCGGAAGTAAGGAAGGCATCAAGAAGTCGAGTTTAAGAAAAGGCTTCTGCAGCGTGAAGCAGATAGCGGTTTGCTCGCAAGCATTCGTATGGAGCAACCTTAACCTTATATTGAAAGAATAAATAATAATAGGAGAAAAAGAAAAAAAACGAATTGGTTTGGACACAGGTCATGCCATGGAACTCCAAAGAAGCTGCAAAAGAGAGCTTGGGAAGGCTCAAAAACAGCGCAGCCAAGCTGCTTTGGCAGTCCTCTCTGCTCAATGGTCTCTGCACCCTCAGAGAAACTGACAGCAATCTGCTGTGGCTCAAAATTCATAGCCCGAAGTTTGAAGGGACCTGATGTCAACTGTCATCCGCAGAACAACTCCCCTGGAAAAAGAAGCGACGTCCAAATCTGTGCAGCAGCAAGCAGAAAAAAGAAGACAAGAAGAAAGCGGCGTGGCAACATGGCCATGGGTCAAACCAAAAAAAACAACTGGCAAATGGATCTCACCACCTAAAACTTGCCCAATTCCTAGTGGCGACGATTTTTGATCGTGAAGCCTGAAAAAACCAGTGCAACATGTAGCACCATCCCGCGACCGCCGAGCCGCAAGCCATCGAAGTAGGCCTCGTAGCGGCTCAGGAAGCACCTGGCAGTGATCTCTTGCCACATGGAAAAGCCTCAAAGGGGGGGGGAGGAAATGGAGATCTCTCCAAACGGATGGTCTCCCTTAAACCAAAGGTGGTCGCCTACACATCAGAATCGCAGATCTGGCTCTAGTAGGAAAGTGGACGACCAAAATCAGGGCACTATTGATGGCGATCGTTTCCCAAAGCCGAAACGGCATGTTGGCCTGACTCTGAAACAGGGACACTCAGATCTCAGAAGTTTGAATCGTGCCAAGAAAACCAACCCCATCTCTGGGTCCCTCAGTGAATCAGTGGGATCTGCAAAAGGATCACGTCAAGAGCCATCACCATGCCCCAGGAAAGGCGACGGCCATTTTTTTGTAGCAACTGGATGTGAATCAACTCAAGTCTGCCTAGGCTCCCGCGGTTGAAGCACCATCCCTATTGCAACTGGAAAACGAGGACACACGCGCTTCCTTGAGACAAAATCCAACGTTCAATGTTAACGATCAGCTCAGGGCTCACTGTCCTGGGCTTGCTTCAAAGGAAAACCGTCCTGGGAGAATTGGTGGCTTCCATATCCTATTCGGAGACAACCCCCATTCCCCAAGCTCCAAAAAGTCCGCTCAGCACATTAGAAAGCCCTGAAAGCCAAAAGAGAAGACGCCTCAGCATCTTGCCCCTTCAAAAACCCTCCGTTTCAAACAAAAACATATCCTCCCAACAGGAAACCACCAAAAAAAACTCGGCCACCCTTCCAAACCAAAAAAATGCCCAACAGGAAAAACGAGCCACAAAAAATCGCGTCCCCCAAACCGCCGAGCAAAAAGACGCCCGGGGGACGTCGCGATGCGGCGCCTGGCCGTGGGGAGCTTGGCGCGGTCCAGCAGCTCCAGGGACCGCAGCACCTTCTCCAGGCCTGGCGTCGGGCGTCGGGCGTCGGGCGGGGGGGGAGTCGGGGAGTCGGGTGCTGGGGTGCTGATTGCACTCGCGTCATTGGTGATGATCCTTAGGTGCAATGAAAATGATTCGAATGATTGCTCCTATGGATATAATACCTTGATTTACCATCGCATCATTTGTTATTATCGCATCATCAGTATCCCAATGGCAAGGTGTTGGTTACCCAGAGGTTTCGCACAAGGGGGGACTTTGGGCAAGCTTGTGAGTCCTACTCGGCCTTCTAGAAAAGCACAGGATGATCTTCCCAAATATCCAATCACATCATCAGCTAGTGTCACATCATTATACTGCGATTGCGTGATTTTTATGATTGTTCTTCTGGATATAGTTGATTTACTATCGTTATTCTTGCAATCACACGGCTAAGTGTTATGGTTATGGTTCTTGTTGCTATCGTTGTTCCTTCCTGTTGGTATCATGATTGGTGTCTTCTGATGACTAAATCGAGTTGACCATCCTTTACTGCGGTTTAGGCCCTGATACCAAAAGCCTCCGGATGTCGAGGTCCATGGCTCGTTGCTCTAAAGGAGTTTAAAGAATCGGAAAGGAACCAGATCGAGCGGTCCAACTCGGCCCAAACCTCAAGCCCCAAGCCCTCAACAAGTCCCCCCACCCAACCCCAACCCCGCACCTCCCCCTCATTTTCTGAACCCCGGCCTTCACTGAGCTCCCCCTCCTCAAAGCTAAGCTCCGGGTCTCGTAGGTCGCCTCAGAAGCCGACTTGGACAAATAATTTAATGAGATGTGTTTTGTTTTAAGATAAATAAAAAGAAAGGTAAATGAGCGATAAAGAGATCCCTGACCGAATCTTGGTTCTGTAATCAAGACTTATATAATGGGAAAGCAAAGACAAACAACAAATTCCAAATATGAAGAAGACATATACAAAGAGCTTAGAACAAATAGCAACAAAAACAAATATGATGATAATTAAGAGATGTAGCAATAAACGAAGAATACTTGGATTAATATGAAAGAAGAAGATTGTTATCTTCCTTCATCCCTTTCAGCAATCTAGTTAACCTAAAGAATCAAATGGATGCAGACAGAACCAAGCCCCGCTTTTAGAGGAATCTCCTTGGAGACCTTCGGTTGCGGCGAAGGCGTTACAAGTCATTCCGCGGTCAGGCTTTGTGTGAAAGCTATTGAGATTGCGCGCGCAGGTCCGCCGGAACTTGCAAGGCAAGGCGTGTTTCCAGTGGTACTTTGGATGAGTCTGAGGGAGGACTGTGACATTGTTGCAACAAAGCTTCATCTACCCACGTCTAAGTGTAGCCAATAAAGCTTTACCCTTGACTTTCTGGCGACTTCTGGCCTTGCTCCGCAAATGAATGGAAGGAACCCAAAACAGGGCAGACTCCTCGTTTAAATGATGGTTTGTGTTGGTTCAGTGCGGGTTTGTCTCTTTTTAGGTACCCCCAAAGTGGGTGGCTTGCTATGGTGTCCCTTTCAAAAGCAAACCAAAAAGGGGTATCAACTCCAAAAGAAAGGCTGACCCATGTTCATCTGGACAGTAAACTCTGACCTTGGGTTGCAGGCACGGCGCCAGCTGCCCGCATCTGGGCACTGCAAAGCTTTCCGTCTCTGTCCAGCCGTGGCGCCTCGGTAGGAAGGATCCGAAGCGTCGAATCCGAGCGCAGGCTGGGAGTCTTTGGTGGGGTGTGGGGTGGGGTGGAGGCTGGGTGGGGTGGGTTGGGGGGGGGATGGTGCGTGCGGTGTGGGGTTTCGGGTGTGGGGTGTGGGGTGTGGGGTGTGGTTGGGGGTTGGGGGTTGGGGGTTGGGGGTTGGGGGTTGGGGGTTGGGGGTTGGGGGTTGGGGGTTGGGTGGATGGGGGTTGGGTGGATGGGGCGAAGCGCCATGTTGGCAAAAGGGCATCTGGCATCCTGGCTGAGCAAAAACTCAACCTCAAACAGGAAACGAGACCCCAGAAACGAACCTTTGGTGGAAATGGGTGGCAAAACAGAGCAGTTGGATCCGTCGCTCCTCTGCGCTTGGTCACATGAGTTTGAGGCAAATCTGCGCCGCTTCGGGGAATTTCAGGACTCACGGTGGTGCAATTCGGGCATGTTGCAGACTTTGTGCATGTCTTACATCAGACAATCCTTATGCTCAAAGAGGGTGGTGAAGCATGAACAGGTTTGACAAGCACGTACGTGCAACACGTAGGATTCAGATTGCTGCCATTTGCAGGAAGGTATCTAACCAAGTCAGCAACGCGACATGCTTTCTGCCCCTAGAAACAAACCCCTTGAAGGTCCGAACGCTTTCCTCTTTTTAGGGGGACACCCCAAGAGGGGTGTTTTCCTTTTGGCTAGGTCCTCCAGTTTTGGAGGTTAGGACAAGGCTACCCTTCTTCTGTGCTCTATTTTAGTAGGGGAACCCTTCCCCCGAAAAAAAGTTGGTGAGAAAGGGCACCAATTGCTGGGGGACCTGGTTGGTGTCCCTTTCAAACCGACCCAAAAGGGGTTCCGAGCCCACAGAAAGGCTTCGCGCAAGGCGCCCAGCACAGCTCCTGCTCACTGACCAAGCAGTTCACCGTGCCGGCCTCGGCCAAGGTCGGGTCGGGCGGTTGGAACGAGTTCGGTTGGAAGACATGGCACCGGCAAATGATGAGAAATACACTGGGACCCGTACCACCAATGTTCAACCGAACTGAACTGAGCCAATGTTCGCGGCAGCTATGCTTGAAAATGGTGTGGCTCAAAATGGCAGCAACTCCGAAAGTCAACGGTGTCCCGTCTTTCAAACGTCCCGCAAGGTCACACCCTCAATAAAGACACTGCGTGGGGGTTCGCCGAAATTGGACATCGGGACCTCTTTGGATGTTTGAAGGGGAACGCGAGGGATATCCACTAATATTTGAAAGATCCAAGTAACAAGCACCCAGTGGCCCCGATGAGCACTCCGACAAACGAATAGTTAAATCAAGATGGTGTGTGTGTGTGTGTCTGTTCTTTAAAGATGGACACATGCATCTTTGGAACGAGTGTTTGAACATAAGCTTGTGAATGACAAGATACAAATGGTGTTTACCTTCGACAACTTCCTGAACATAGCCTACAAAACCTGCAAACCCTTCAAGGACGCCCTTGACCAACCACGCCCGGAAAGGCTTGGGGTCAGCGACTGGCCAACTTGTGGTCCGCGATTTGGGAAAGACCTGAAAGCATCCCTTTGGGAGAGCGTCTCATTTTCAACCCCAGAGGAATCCCTTCCCAAGTCGCGAATATCCCCCCAAGCGAAGGCAACATGCACCCATCCATCCGTTTGCTCTGTCAAGGGCAGACGGGGCCACGAAAATTTGTTTCTCTAGACATGGACACGCTTAAAAACCCGGGCACCCCGAGGAACGGACTGGCCTACAAGAATAGCTGCTTTGTTGCCTAACAACGGTATGCAAATCTGATGATGGATGCTGCCTATCCTCAGAACACAACCGGGCTAGAAAAAAACTCTCTGGAACGTACTTGATCCTCCAAGCCTTGATTGGCTTGGAGTGCTGGCTTTCTTTCAAGGAACGTTGCAAGGCAGAATGCTAATGACCACAAACTCCACTATAGCAACTTCGTAAAATCAAACTCCACCTTCTGACCTTCTGGGTCCTGGGTTCGTCTCTCCGGAATTGGCGAGTTCTTCTTGGCTTCCCACGACCCTTTAAACACGTGGTTTCTTTGCACCCGCAGAAACCTGACTACGCAACGACCATCGGCTCAAAATTAGGGGATCCAAATGGTTGCTTTCATATCTGGGCTGCCCGTTTTCTGATCTCCCGCTAAAAGTTTAACTTTTAGCGGGTTAAATGGAAACTACCACTAAAAACTAAAAAGCTAAGAAGATGGCTGGGAGCCACCAAGCTATGCCCTCGGCACTGTTGCCGCTTCCCCGGCTCCAGTTCTGATTCTCAATGACCGTTGGGTTCGCTCTCTCGGGAGCATGGGGTTTCTTTGCACCCGGTGCATCCAGTTTCTGGGCGCTGACATCGGATGCAGATCTTCCGCAAGCACCATGTCACGTCAGCGGAAGTTGTGGACTGCCTCCGACTGGTTAGTTGGGGGGAAGGGGAGGCAACTCCCGCAAAGTTATACGGATCTGAAACGGGATGGCCCCGCAATATTAATTTCCATCCGGTGCATTGATCCCGGGTTCTCCCTTTTAAACAGGCGCGAGATTCAATCAACACCAGCAGACGCAGGCAAGTTGTACACGTGAATTCAGGCATCCCATGCGCGGTGGTCAACCGTTATGGATGAGGCCAACTCAAAAAAAAAAATATGAATCCTGATTTTCAGCAGTGTCCGGTGCATTGATCCCGGGTTCCCTATTGAACCAGGCCCGAGATTCCAACCAGACCCGGAGCCGAGAGGCCCAGAAGTAGCCCTGGAGCTTTGGATCGTCCAGGTCTGCGTCCCTCAGATGCGGCACGGTGGTCCGCAGCGAGGCGGAATACCTTGAGCCGCGAGGGAAAAAGGCGAGGGCACCGTGTTGGCTGGAGATATAGACTGGGGGATTGCGGAGAGCAAGTTTTGGGGAGAAGCGTAGCTAACAAATGCAAAACATATGTATATATATATATATATGTATATATATATATATATATGTATGTATATATATGTATATATATATATATGTGTATATATATGTATATATATATATTATTTGTCATATCTGTTGTAAGCATGTGGCCATTCCTCCTCGCTTCTCATTTAAGAAGCTGCTCAATCCGCACGCATTTCTTGGCGGAATTGGCGCAAAAAAAAGCCCTTCGCAGCACGTGAAAGGTCGTTGGTCTTCCAAGTCAAGTCAAGGGAAACCATCTCTTTTCCTGGCTGGCTCCAAAGGCTGACGCCCAGCGCGTCCATCCTTTTATGAAACCAGGCACCCCGAACCCCCCACCTCCACCTCACCTCACCTCATCTCGGAAAAATCTGATTCCAGGAGTCACACCCTCCCCCAACCTCGCCTACAATTTATAACTCCCACCGCAAAAACACGCTGACTCTCAACATTGAGTGATCCTCAAAATGTAGAATGATTTCGATTTTGAGATCCCTGCCGAGCAACTGGCGGGTGTCCCTTTTACCATCGCCCCGCGAAAAGGCTTTCAACATCGCCACGCTAAAAGGAGCCTCACCGGAGAATGGCAACCAACAGGTCATGTTTGTACCACCTCAAACTAAGGGCACCTCAGCATTCCTCGTTTGAGGGGCAACCATATGTCTGCAAAGCATGGCAACAACGGAAAGCGACTGCCTTGACCTGTGGCAGCATGCATGTTGTATGCCTTTTGCATGCAGCTAGTACGCAGTCTGTATGCGTTTGGAAGCTATATAGGCCAAACCCAAAAGCACCATGCATGATATGCACCTGCCTCGCGAAGCGCATTAAAAAATAAAATAAAAATGCATACACAATGCAGAGCACACAAAAATGCATGTTCCTTTTGTATGCACTTTGTACGCATGTTGTATGCATTTGCATCCAGCATACAAAATGCATACACAAGCACCTTGCATGAAATGCACCTGTCTCGCCTAGCGTATACAGATGCATAAAAAGTGCACACAAAAATGCATGCACCTGTCTCGCGTAATGCACACAAAATGCATACAACATGCAGTCAGAAGAAGGTGGCCATGCCAGAGCCAACACGCATACAAAGTGCACACAAAACTTTGCATGCCTTTTGGATGCATTATGCATTCAGTCGGACGGTATGCAGGCAAAATGCCGGAATGCATAGAATATGCATACACAATGCACCCTCCAGCAGAATGCAAATGACCAAAGGCATACACATGTGCAGAAATGCATCAATGCAAGAGAAACGGGTCAAGAAGAGAAGCAATGCCGAACAAGCACGCCGGCATCAGCAGCTGGCATCACCAGCCCGCGCCCCCAGCATTACCAGCATCATCTGCAACAGGTGCTTGGAAACTTCTAGAATCAAAAATGAGCATAAACATCAAAAACTCACAAGGGTTGCAGTCTGGCGTTGTTTTCGCCTTTCACATTCTGACGCATGCCTCTATGCATGTCCTGTTACTTTCCCTGCGCAGGCCTCTATGCGTACTGTCTACTTCTCTGCGCGCGCATCTACGTTTTCCACTCAACTCCCCGCCCCCCAGACTTTCCCACCCTCGGCGTGGGAGACCGATTCGCATTGTCACCTCCCGGGCCAAAACGAGCTGAGTCAATCTTTGTAAGGATATGTCACGATGGATTCCTCTTGGCTCATCCTATAAGTGGGTAAACCAAACAAAGAAAAAAGAGAACACCCAACCTGGCCAACCTGAGCGCCCCCATTCCATAGGTGGGTAAACCAAACAAAGGAAAAAGCAAACACCCAACCTGGCCAACCTGAGCGCCCCCATTCCATAGGTGGGTAAACCAAACAAAGGAAAAGCGAAAATGAGCGACCTGAGCGCCCCCATCCCATAAGTGGGTAAACCACGCAAAGAAAAAAGAGAACACCCAAGCTGAGCGACCTGAGCGCCCCCCTCCCATAAGTGGGTAAACCACACAAAGAAAAAAGAGAACACCCAAGCTGAGCGACCTGAGCGCCCCCATCCCATCAGTGGGTAAACCAAACAAAGAAAAAAGAGAACACCCAACCTGGCCCACCTGAGCGCCCCCATCCCACAAGTGGGTAAACCAAACAAAGAAAAAGAAAACACCCAACCTGGCCCACCTGAGCACCCCCATGCCATAAGTGGGTAAACCACACAAAGAAAAAAGAGAACCTGAGCGCCCCCATCCCATAAGTGGGGTCACCACACAAAGAAAAAAGAGAACCTGAGCGCCCCCATCCCATAAGTGGGGTCACCACACAAAGAAAAAAGAGAACACCCAAGCTGAGCGACCTGAGCGCCCCCATTGCGTAGGTGGGTAAACCAAACAAAGAAAAAAGAAAACACCCAACCTGGCCCACCTGAGCGCCCCCATCCCATAAGTGGGTAAACCACACAAAGAAATAAGAGAACACCCAACCTGAGCCACCTGAGCGCGCGCCGGCCAAAAGCTGAACCCTTCCGCATCTCGGCCCCGGTGCAGCGCCACCAGGCCGAACAGGCTGGCGGCCAGCACGGCGCCCGCCAGACGCGGCCAGGGCCAGCCCTCCACGCCCAGGATCCTCGGAGTTCACCCGCCACGACGATTGGCCGTGTGGGCCAATCGTGAAAAAGTCTCCTACGAGCCAATGCAGCCATTGGGTTTTGGGATGTTTTGGGGTGAGGTACCAGAGTTGGCGTTTTTTTCTTGATTTGGGTGTTTGTTTGCTGGTTTTTCGGGAAATCAGAGGGAAACTGCGTCCCATGGGTGCAAGCCAATCGGGTGTGCTCTTCATTGGGGTTTACTCGGCTGCCAACTGTGTGAGGGAACCTCTGGCCTTTTTCAACAGACTTCCGGTCTGTTTCGGCTACTTACAAGGCACGCTGTTGTTTTGCAACAGGATGCTCCATTCTGCCGTTCTGCACTGTTCATCTACCCCTTTCCGCGACAGCCTTCCCGCGCCACCTAGATCCACCTCCCTCAGCAGTACTTGGGTGAACGGAGCAGTAAAATGGTGCCAGGGAGTGGGTAAGTCACCAAGCGTCAGTGAGCGTAGCCGCTTGTGTGTGCCAAAGTCTCAAAGCATGAGGTAAAACCGCTTCGAACATTTCAAACATGCCTGGCACAATCCCAGAAACGTGTCTAGGGCATGGTGTCAAACGCTCGTCTGAGAAAACGTGTGGACGTGTTGTAGCGTTTGGAACGTTTCGAATGCCTTCCAGCCCTAACGACTCAAAACGCGTCCAACAGCTTTCACATTTCAACGTTTCAAACAATTCAAATGTTGTGGAATGCGTTGGACATTTCGAACGCTTGAAACGGTTCGAACGGTTGGATGGTTCGGAACAGCTTTGAAGGCAAGCAAAAACATCTGCTTGGTTTTGTTGGTCTTGGCTTCCCGTCAAGCGTTGGAAGAGATGCTTGGGGGAGGGATCCGGGGAAACCTTTTTGCGACTTCCGGACTTCCGCAGCATGCGGGTCGCGCCTTGAGACCGGCGGATCTTTCTTCAGAATCAAACCACCAGCAAACATTTTATAGAAAGCCACAAAATCATATAGATTCGTATACTCCTTTCAACCAACTATTGATTTTTGTCAGGATCAAGCCAAGTCGCAGTGGCTGCAGCACCATCTGGATCACGAGCCCCGAGGCCAGCCCTGCGCGCAGTCTGCAGTCAGAAACGGTTTGGTCAGTGGAGTGAATTTTGGCTCTACACACCAAAACTCGGCTTGAGGCAAAATGGGTTTGGTCAGTGGAGCGTTTTTTTTTTTTCTACACAAAACTCGGTTTGAGTTGCAACACAAATGCATCAAACTTGCAAAACAAGAGTTGGGTCAAGGGTGTTTTGGTCTTTGGGATTGGCAGGCGAAGCCTTTGGTTTTCCTGCGTGGCAAGTTCGAAAGACCAGACAAGCTGCATGATACATAACATGCGACAAAAAGCGGAAGCTGAGCTGATCGGCCAATTGCCTTGTACATACAAAACCACAAGCAAATGCGCAGCACACCATTGGCCAGTTTTTGGAGAAGTCTTAGTGGCCTTCGATCCTTCCTGGTTTCCAATGCGCTTCAAGGGCTCTTGTAACAAGACTCAGCGGGTTCCTGACGTAAGGCTAGCTTCAACATGTACTACTTCGGATCGCCGAAAGTCTGGGCGCCTGTGACAGCCAGGCAGGGGCCCATGTAGGCGTTGAAGCAGGCCTTAGACGCTCTCGCCACCATCTGCTTCCCCACTGATCAGCCGAACGGCTGACAATCTCGAGGCCAAACATTTACAGAGCTTCCCAGGTGAGCCGAGCAGCGTGGTAGATGAGGTTCGCCGTGATGTCGGGATCTGGGTAACAGCCATAGACCGCCTGCCAGCCTGAGAGGCTGGCAAGATTGGAAAGAGAGAGATTGGAAAGAGCCAGAGCATCCATCTCCAGCTACTTTTCACAAGGTTCAATGCGGTCGGTGCAGCCCGTTGGGACTTGCTTAGAACCCACAGAATCCCACAACGCACAAAACAGTCCTCAATCCCTTTGAAGGAGAGCCAGAGTGATCGAAGAAGAACTTCCTGCCCCATATTCGCAGCGCTACGATATGGCCATGGGTTGCATAACCTATGGCGATCCCATTTTGGGGTGGATGAACATCCATTTGCCACCTATTTTGATGTTCACCAGGGGTACAGGGCTTTGACCCACAGCCATATGTGGCCAACTTGCAAGTCCTTCATTCTTGCTTCCCCAATCAACGCACCTGATTCCCAACCCAAAGACCCATGTAACTGCCATGGGCGAGCAGTCACCCCTGGAGAGGATGCTTACCTGCCGGATGCAATACAACATAGAATTCCAAGTCCAGTCATTCCGTCATGGAGCTTGAGCCTATCATGAATAGGGCTACAACTGCCTATGGGCTCAACAAAACACTCGTCTCCATTCGGCCGTGGGCAAAACTACTCCAATCCACAAATCTCAAATAGGCACTGCACCTCCCATCATCATGGATGAAATCGGTCTCAAAGTACCCGGAAGGGTGAGGTCGATCACATTCATGCGCCCACCTTTGAGACAGAATCATTTCGCCAGACTCAGAAGATTTACAACCATAGCTCTCGCGGGTTGTAGCCGCCACATGGTATGTGTCAAAGTGAAACCACCAGGGGACCACAGGTTGTAGTCCCTGTTTCCATTTACTAAGGTTCCATGTTGTGTGCCTGTTTTTGACCCACAGCCACATGACGTTCCGTTGCCGCAACGCCCACAGGACGCCGGAACCCTGACGCAACACGAAAACTCACCGCGTCCGACTCGTCCGACCCCAGCTGACCGTCTGACCGTCTGACCGTCTGACCGTCTGACCGTCTGACCGAGGCGCTGTAGGGGTACGAGAAGGGCACCAAAAAGGCGCTGCTCGCGCCCAGTAATGGCCCGAAGAGCGGCAAGATGCCCAGGCGCCGGGAGGCCAAGGCCTGATGAGTCACGGGGCCTCCATGGGCGGGGGGGATTTTTTTTTTTGGGGGGGGGGATTTTTTGGGGGTGTGAATGAGGAGTGTAGTGAAACATCTGCAGCTAGACGTACAAACGGATGGAAAAATGGTGCGACTGATAGCCCTGGTCAATTGGAAGGTATTTTGAGGGGTGTCCGAAATGCAGCCCGACGTGAGAAAGAAATCTCTCACCCTGGAATTAGGTCTCCAGAGTTTCCTTTGCCCATTTGGAGCCGGTTGAATTGAGTGGATGGGTGGTTCAGGGCGTGCCTTCCCAGTTGGCTTTGAGAGGAACTGGCACGTCACCAATCCAAACCATTAATTAAGGGTTACACCTCTAAAAACGACCGCACCACGTGGCGGCAATTTCCAAATAGGAGCCAGCCCATACTTCCTACACAAACGTTGCGTGTGATCAGCCAAAATGGGCAGCTTCTCTTTCGCACCAGCAAAGGACACAAACAATTCAATGTGACCTTTCCAACAGGTGTTTAAGATCGCTTCAAGGAAAAGCATCGAGTTGGACCAGCGTAGGCGGCCTTCACCTGGACAAATAGTTGGCACTGCTAAATACTTGGAACCAACCTTGCACCGGCGCCACCCAGTTTCAAGCAAACTCACCTAAAAACGACACCTGGGTTCCAAAGTGACATCCCAAAATGACCCCCGCATCCAAAGCGACATCCAAAAGTGACATCTAAATAAGGGAGACCAAAAAGCAACCCCAAAGCAACCCCACATCTTCGCTTGAACCCAGCCCTCCCAGAGACCCAGAGACCCAGAGATGCGGCCAAGCCGCCTGCGGGCCGCCGGCCGCCAGGTCTGCTACGAGGTACATGGAGCCTACCGCGAGGCCAAGCAAGGAACCGCAAGGAACCGCCAGGAAAACCGCAGATTCAGGGAAGCCCCCGAATGGGCGAGTTTCCCTGGTCTCCCGCAGAACAGAAAGAAAATGAGCGCCCTGCCTTAGCAACTCGAAACAGAGTTCCCTTAGGAGACGCTTCGACGGAGAGTGCTGCCAGGCAAAGGCTCAAGTCATCGATCCCCAGCTGACCTTTGCCCACCTCTTGCATAGGCCACCAAGGGTTCAAGAGTCCTCCAATGAGTAGCTCGGAGGCAGGACAGCAACCGGAGCCCTGCGCATGGATTCGAGAGTTTTGGCTCAGGGTGGTCACTCTGCCCTTACTAGACCCTCCGTAATTTTAGCCCCGTGCGGCACTCGAAACCTCTCTGCACCTTAGGAACTTCTGTGCCGGGGCCCGGCCTACCACCAAGCCATTGCCCAGGGCAAAGGGCAGAAGGATGGGCGCATAGTAGAAAGCGTTGGGCACCAACGTCATGGCGGAGAAGTAGACCATCGAAGTCCCACCATGCCTAGAGCCAACACATTGAAACTTCTTGGTTTTTTTGTTGTTCTAAACCACTTGCGAAGGCTTGAAGATCAATTCTGCGTGAAGATTGTATGCGTGCAAAGTAGCATGAGGGGCTTACAGGAAGGCGGATGGTGGTTTTACTTTCCTTCGAAGGATGGTTCCTTTTCCTAGGCTTGGCAGGCTCTAAAATGACATATGTTCCAGCATCGTCAACATCCCCAGCATCATATTCAACATCCCCGGCATCACCAGAAGCTTAGGGTGGGTTCAAGGATTGTTTAGCATGGGTCTGGGCGGCTTGGGTTTGGGCTGGGCTTGGTTGGTTTAGGTGGGTTTTAATAGGGAAGCTTTTGGGTTGAGTTAGTGCTGGTTTAGGGTAAGGCTCGGGTTTAGGTGGGGTGTATGGTTGATTTAGGGGGGTTGAGTGTTAGGGTGAGGCTCGGGTTTGGGGTGTATGGTTGATTTAGGGGGGTTCAGTGCCAGTTCGGGTGGGTTTAGAGTGGATTTAAGCTGGGTAGGGTTTCTTTCGGGTGGGTTTAGGGTTGGTATAGTCTTTGCTCAGGCTTTGTTGCGATAAATTTAAGGTGGCTTAGGGATTGTTTAGTGCCAGTTAACGGTGGATTTAGGGTTGGTGTCGGGTGCTGGGTTAGGGTTTGTTCACGTCTGCTTTAGGGTGGGTTTAGGGTGGGTTTAGGGTGGGTTCAGGGTTGGTTTATAGTTGGTTTAGTGGTGGCTTCGGGTGTTTTTAGGGTTGGGTATAGACTTTTGCTCATGGTTTGTTTAGGGTTGATTTTTGGTGGTTTAGCGGTTGTCTAGTGCTGGTTTGCGGTGGGCGTAGGGTTAGCTAGGATGGGTTTAGGGTTGGTGTAGGGCTGGTTTAGGTTCGGTTGGTTGGTAGTTTAGGGTAGGTTTGGGTTTGGTTCAGGGTTTGTTTAGGATTGATTTCGGTTGGTTTAGGCCTGGTTTTGGGTGGGGTTAAGGTTTCTGTTGGGGTTCCTTAGTTTGAGTTTGGGGTCTGTTAAATTACCGAACCGCCAAAAGCCAAAACAACACTCAAAAAGCCGCGAAAGCCAAAAAAAGCACCGACCAAACCGACCCAGCCCGCCATACCTAGGAAATAAAAGAACACTTGGGTCCCCAGGATGGGATGATGGGATGCTCCCTCATAAAATGCAGAACGCGGCTGGCCGCAAATACGACTTGGCCAAACCATGTCACAAAAACCAGAATGCCGCAAATGTGTCGCACAAACAGTCACAGAATGGCTGCCAAACAAAGCTCTGCCGGGGCGCAGCGCGAGCTTCATCTCTGGAGTCGCATAGCCTCACCAACCAAATGTCCAACACATACAGCATTCGAGCAGCCAAACAAATACCTTCACTGACCAGTGGGCGGAGGAGGGGAAGAGAAGGGTCAAATCCCGGAGAGGGCTTCCATGCAGCCCACGCCACATGGGAGCGTGGCAAATCTCGAAGGCCTACACACCTGTGATGATGGAAGGGTGTCCATGAAAAGGGAGGAAAAGAAGGAACCAGCAACCCACTCTTCTTACTTTCGGCTCACGCAGGCCCGAACACTGACCCTTTAAGGATCCCCAAAGCGACGACGAACTCCGCATGGGCGCCAGCCGAACATGTCCATTGGTCATCCCTTTAAGGGCCATCCGTTTCCGCAAATCAAGCAGAGTGACACGCGCAAGAGGGGGTTGTGGGGCTCCTGTACCAGGTTCCGCTTTCCGGCTTATGTGCAAAATCCTTCTGACAACCAGTTAAAAGCATATGGGGGTTGATCAAAAGGTCCTTTACATGGGATGACCATTGGATGGAAAACCACACAAAAGAAAAACATACCTTTTCCACAAGGCAAAAGTTCGTCCCCCATAGTCATTTCGGGGCCAGGCCATGAACTCGCCCCAGCCCCCGGAGGCACGAGGTTTTTTCTGAGGCGCGGAAGACCAACTGGTTGAAGCCGATCACCGGGAAGAGCGGCGTCATCAGCGCCGTGCTGGCCGCCACCAGGGAGGACCGCACCAGCAGCGGGGGCTCCTCCGCTCGCTCGGTGCTCGCGGGCGGTGCTCGCGCGATGGGTGGGGGGAAGGACTGCCGGGTGTTGGCGGAAGGAACCGGTTTTGGTTCGATTCCCGAAAAAAAGGAAGCCATAATATGGAGTAGTGTTTGGGAATGGAAATCTAGAACCCCGAGCAAGGGACCTTCGTAACCTCGTGGTGCCCCCCGAATCGGTGAACCCAGACTTCACCGGTTCAACATAATGAAATTCACAACGAGTCCGGGTTTTGAGAATGAACCGGAAGGGGATTCTTTTCAAGCAACCCATAGAGATCGTTTATAGGCGTCATTCCCTCATTCCTTGCTGAAAACCAGCAAGTCTCGAAATGGAAATCTAGAACCTTCAAGGGACATTACCTCGTGGTACCCCCAAATCGGCGAAACCCTTCTGTACGGGTTAATTGACTTAGTACTGGCTTACGGCACGGTACATAATACGTTGGTCCGTACAGTCAGCCTGTGATCTTAAAGATGCCACCATTTCAACTCAAGCCTCTCCTCCTATTCAAGGCCATTCTGAGCTTTCAACTCTCTTCCTTTAACCATGCCACACGGCTGGGCCCACCAGAAACATGACCCGAAATCCAGGAGTCGAAGCCTCGCTCGCTCGACTCCTGCGGGTCAGCCAGAACCCCTCGCCGAGGTTCCCCAGGTGGGGCATTGGCCTGGCAGGGCAGGATGAATCCATTGTTTTTTGCGCGAGTTCGCCTGGTTTCTGTGGCAGAGCGGACCGTACAGTCCTAGAGTTCGCCAAATTTGTGTGGCATAGAGAGACAGCGAGGGGGAGAAAGGGAGAGAGAAGCCTCGGCGACTTCAAACCTCCAGCATCTCTTCATGAAGCGGGCGGGCTTGGGGGACCAATCAACCATCCCGGATCTGTCCAAAGAGACAAGGGGTGTCTTTTTCTGAGGGTACTTTTTTATGGAAACCAAGAGGAAGACCACCACTTTGGGGGATCCAACCTTAAAAGCACGACCTACCCAAATGAGAAAATCCAGGTGAAACCCAATCCGCGGCCTCGCTCGTGGTGAAACGAAGCGGCGCCCATCTGGGCGAAGGAACCGGCCGGGAAAACGCCCCTGGCCGCGTTGGCCGGGTGGGTTTGATGGGTTTGAGCTTTGGGCAGAGCGTTCGCTGGGATCTCCATGACTCTTGGCAGGTCGTTCCCCCCATGCATACATTGCATTGGTGTTGGTCCCCGGAGACCCCTACAGTCAATCTTGACCCGGCAAAAACAGAAATGTGCGCCATGGGAGGTTGTGTTTTCTACAGTAGGATTTTGATGGGTTTAGGGTCAGCCAGTGTTTTTGTATGAGTTTGATGTTTTTAGGGTTTAATTGGCTGACATTTAAAACCTGTGAGTATCTTGGATTGATGTTCTGTTTTGGACAGTCTCGAGGATTTGAGGGGCGACCTCCCAAATGTGCGGCACTGTCCCAAAAAAAACAATGCGGGTCAGCTCAGACCCCAACAAAAGTGCTGCACTGTCCCAAACAAAACAAAAACAAAAACAAAATCCTGAGAGGTCACGCGGCAGATGAGCCAGGATTGGTTTTTTTTGACGACCTCCCAAAAGAGGTTGGGGCAGATGAGGGCTGGAGAGTCCCCAGATGGGTTTTTTTGGGACAGTCTCGAGGGTTTGAGGGGTGACCATGGAGTGAAGCTACGCAGTAGCCAGATGGACTGAGAGATCACTTGCTGGTCTTGCCGGAGGGCTGCTTGAAGACCTTGCGCACATACTTCATGGGACAGCTGTAGGGCTTCGACTTCTTGCACCTTGAAGTTGTGAAGATTGGAGAAGTACATCACCTCGAACACGTGGCGCAGCGGTGAGCACGAGTTCAAAGTCCGCGCATAGTTCCTGAGCCGCGACCAAGTCTGCTCACAAATGGAGGCGTTGACATGCTTGAGACGGAGCTTCAGACGGCGCACATGATGCGGGTTGTGCTTGCAGGTGCTCTTGTGGCCAAGGCCATGAAACCTGAGAGCAAGGAAGCATATACTGACAGTATGATTGCAGTGTCGCGATACCAACATTATATGTTATTGTTGAAACAAGCCGCTTGTCCACTGACCAGTAACTCTTCGAGGTACTGCTTGGAGGGAGCGAAGCTGCACTGGCGATCGAAGACGAAAGTGTCGACGGCCTTGTGCTGCGGAAGGGCCTTCGTGCGCGATGTCGTTGTTCTCCGCCTTTTGCATGCACAACACCCCCACAATGCGTCCGTCCCGAGGAGCGACCACCATGAACCATCCGTGACCAAGTGTCTTACCAGCTGCCTTCTTCTTGGAGATGCCCTTGGAAGTGGCCTTTCGAGGACGGCCATCTCGATTGCCCTGTCGACCCTGCGCACACTTCACCGCCACCTTCTCGTGCCCGTCGCCGGCCAATTCCTTGATCAGAGACTTCTTTGACGGAGGGAAGACTTTCTCATGCAGGTGCTTGTCGTAGGCGTTGAGCAGTGCTGGCGTCATCTCTGCGCCAACGACAATCTTGAGATGGAGGTCGAGCGGCTGAAGCTCACACATGGCCTGGTAGTAGGCGAGGACATCGTTGTGCAACATGTAAAACCTATAAAGGTCGAAATCCTGTGGCGCTTCTGATATGAAAGTGCTCGCATATGCGTCCGCCACTGCTCGCGCGGAGAGTGGCTTCTCGACGAAAAAGATGTTCATGCCTTCTGTTGTCGATATGGCTTCATCCCATGTCACAGCACCATCCAGATTGCACTCGTCGATGGATTGGGCGAGTGATATGGGCCGTTGAGGTGGCTGACTGGCCATGTTGAATTGGATCTATTGTAAGCAGAAACACAGGTCTGAATGGAGAAACAACACAGCATAACACATATTGCTTACTAAAAATGACTGAAAATGGCCGTGTTCAAAAACACAACCTCCCATGGCGCACCACTCTCACAAAAAAAATGCAGGGACTGAGAGCGAAGGATGCCTTTTGAAGTGGTTTTTCCTATGAATCAACCACGCTTATTCATCCTGGGTCCGAACTATTCACCAAGCCTTGACAATATCTACCTGGAGTCTCCGGGATAGAACATGGTTTTGCCCCGGTCGGTTGGTTGCCCTCTACCCTTTAAGCCTTAGCTGCCATGTTCCCCAATTTACATACCAGAGGGCTAGAAAAAGACCCACCGTTTCCACTCCTTCCAGCCAGAAAGGCTTTTTGGAGCAAAGCCACTGGTTTGTTTTGCATCACTGGCTCCACTCGGGCGCTTCACCTTTCGCCTTGGTGCACAAGACTCCCAAAAGCGCATCCATCTGGGAGTGACAAATATGTGTCCTGATAGATTGGCAAGCCCCACGAACTTTCTCCAGGGCGGCCGAAAAGACCGAACCGAAGCCGATCGCCGATCGCTTTCAGCTGACGAATCCAAAGCCGAACCGTGGCCAAGGTCACGGCTGGGACCAGTTTGGCATGGAGGAATCCGGTGGCTTGTTGGGCACCCGGGGCATTTTTTACAGTGATGTAGGCCTACGTACGTCAGTAGCGTACTCTTACGCATGTCATTTTTGCAGTAGCCTACGTCAGTAGCGTAAAACGCATATCATTTGTTGCAGTGAGGTATAAGAGGATACTTCAACTTTGTCACGACTACAGAAAAAAACTGGGGGGACTTAGCCATTTCCATGTCGGCAGTTGTAGACCGGCGGGGCGGAAACAGGCCCTTTGCTGCTTAAACAAAAGAACAGGCACAAGAGCGGGGGCTATCCCTTTTTCTTGCTCTGTGCCCAATCTGTTGCATACCAGCACTCGGTTGCTTTCTGCTCCCCTGCTAAGAGCTTAACTTTTAGTGGTTTAGTGGAAAACCCATTAGTTGGCAACAAGTTAAAGTCCTAACAGCCAAGCAAAATGCACCAACGAGCATGTCACCGCCTCTGGGCTTCGGGCTTTTTGGCGCAGAAGGGTCCGCTTTCCGCCCGACCGACGCACAAAACTCGCGCGTTTCGGCCTGAAACTCGGAGGGCACGGCGAAGCATGGCAAGGGGTCCGAATGTGCGTCCAGAGCGGCAAACCGAGCTTTTCATGTGCCTGAGCAGGGATCCTTACATTATACACCTGAACATTGCCTTGCAAATGGAGGTGTCCCTTTATTTTGGTACGGAAAACGCAACATGATTGAAATGGTTGCAAAATGGAGAATGCTTGAGCGAATCGAGGTGTGTGAGGTGGGGACCCCATGCAATGATTCTATTGGCGGTCGCGATGTCTTACCTACCTCACCTTTTGCTCTCAAAACAACAAAAAAAAAAGGAAACGGTTGGGCCCTATCCTAATTATTCTTTTCTCTCTTGCATCCGCATGGTTCGGATTGGAAGGTACTCTAACTTCTGAACTACCCAACTTCAAAGACAAGTGCGGCATGAATCAGACAGGGCTCTTTTTGCGCCTCTCGGTCTGTGGCTCAAGAATGGTCCCTTTTCCAAGCTAAAACCCACATTCCTCTCCACAAAGATCTGATGCTTCACGCTCTTCGGGTGACCAACTTACCCGGTTTGGAGCGCCGGTTTTTGTTGCCTCTTGAGCTGCAAAAAGTCGCAGGGGCGCGAGCAGATGGCCCGAAACCGATGGCGTTTTGTTTATGTCTTGCTTTCTGTCAATTTATTGACTTGTTCATTCTGTTATGTCTGTCTTTCTTTTATGGTTTGTCCTTCCTTATTTCCTTTTTTCAATATTCCTTTCCTTTCCTTTCCTTTCAGTTCCTTTTATTTCTTTCTGTGTTCATTTCTGTCACTTGTTACTTCCTTCTGTCGTGTCTTTCTGTTCGTTCATTGTTTATGTTATGTGTTCTTTATTTCCTTATGTTCATTTCGTTTATGTAGTTCCATGTCATGTCATGTCATGTCATGTCATGTCATGTCATGTCATGTCATGTCATGTCATGTTTTGTCATTCATTTCATATCATTTCATTTCATTTCATTCCACTCCATTCCAGTCCATTCCATTTATTCAGTTCAGTCGCTCAGTGATCCATTCGTCCCTGGATTGGGGGGCTGTGGCTCGTTAACAAGCTTGCTTGCTTTTCTTGATGTTCACACAACGCTGGTACCAGTAGGGGAATCAGGGAAGCTCCGTGGTTTTCAGACTGTTGCAGTTGGATGTGGTTGGCCCACTCCACTTGTAATATCTCAGGTGCCCTTAAATGTTATCTGTTCTTGGCCGTTCTTATTTTTGTCCCTTTTCAGCACCAACAGGAAGCTCATCTCAAAATGGCCCGAAAGGGATGACCGCCCAAGCGGAGGCCCACGTCTCCTTTGCAACCCGCTTCCTCGCGGTTCCCACAGCGAGAAACTCCGAGTCAGGCCGGGCTCCGAAACAGCATCTTGACATAGGTGTCCTTTTTGGGAAAATAGGCGAGTCGGTGGATGATTGAACCACCGGGAAAACCAGGGTCCTCTATTTTCTTAACCAAACCATCCCCTATGGATCTTGACAGAATCCGGTTGTGTGGATTTGGCGGTGCTCCCCGATAAGGCGCTTCTTTCCCCTCTCAAGTGAGACACCCCAAAGGGGCGATGAATCCCGGGTTGTCATACCTCCAAGAAGAATCCTGGGCTGGGGACCATATGTTTCTCCAATCAGTCTTAGCGGAACAACCAGAAGAGCAAGTGGCCACGACTCACTAGGTGAAACAAGCGTGCAGCAACTTCTGACAAACCGAGACCGCGCATACTGAAAGACAAGTGAGGTACCTTGATAGTCACAAAACAATATCATGCAGCATGAGTTCATTGGACCGCGAGTCTCAATCGTCGTCGGGTCATGCAAAGCCGTTTTTGGCGGCTGTCGCTGAAGGTCGTCCCCTGGGCTTCTGCACGCCATGATATTCCATGGCTTTGCCAAAAAGCCCGGCCTTCCTTCGCTGTCCTGTGGCCATTTGTGCCATCCGCCATGGACAAATTGCCCAAGCGAGGGGCTGATGGACTCACTGATCAGCCGCCGCCCTCAACTCTTGCCACCTGCGGAGGTAACAACGTTTGGCGAAGCTCCGGCGCTAGATGTGTCATCGCAATAACAAGCGGATGGCCTTTGACAGGACAAGAACATTGTCTTAGATGCCCAGTGGCCGTGGGAAAAAGGGCATCTTGTGTTGGTTGGTTGAGTTTGAAAAGGGGAACCCTTCCCAAAAAAAAAGAAGTGCGCCACTGGGTTATATAGCAAGTGTGGGAGCAGTCACGTCACCTGTCAGGCTGCAGCCTCTCAAGTTATGCGACTTTTGAGTTAAGTTTCACCGGGTGCTGCTGGCCACGGAGCGTTTCCACCTCGGGGGCCAACTTTCGGAGACTCCGTGGCCACGTGATCATCCATCAAAAGTTGGGTTAGGGAGGGGAATTCGCTCCCAGTGTCCACTTGTCCTCCAACATCCACCTCAAACACTCCAGCTATGTGCCTGTTTACCATGCAAGCAGCCCCCAAACATGGCAAATACCTGGAGTGTCTGAGTCATAAAACCGCATTGCCTCCCCCTTCCCGGTCAGTTCCACTCTGTGCCCTTTGAGACTCTCTTGAAGTTCGGTTGCCCGAACTCTCGCTTTTCTCGTGCCGCACCCTTCCTCGAAGTCTGAAATAGATGTGGGTTGGAGGAGTACATAATGGCACAATCCATTTCCCAGTTCACATCGTCCATGTCCTTGCAACGAGGGCTGCTCTGCCAACTTCACGCCAGAGGTCACCTGGCTTTCTTCCTTCAGACTGCCAGGTCATGTTCCCCTAAAACAAACCCACCAAATGGTTTCTGGGCGGCATTCCAATTCCCAATCCCTGCGTTCAATACAAACCGCCCCCAACGAAACCGACACCTCCGCCCCAACAAAACGCGCGACGAAGACCTGGGCCCTCCGGCGGGCCGCGCTGCAGGGAGGCGGCGGTGGAGTGGCAGCGCACGGGGCCCAGGTGCACCAGCCACGCCGCCTCCGAGTCGTTCGAGGCGTTTGGTTTGGGCGGAAAAATCGAGGTGGTGGTAATTGGCTTTTGGGGGGTCGAGTGTGTTTTGGGTGAACTTGCGGGGAAGGCGTGTTCTTTCTTTCTTTCTTTCTTTCTTTCTTTCTTTCTTTCTTTCTTTCTTTCTTTCTTTCTTTCTTTCTTTCTTTCTTTCTTTCTTTCTTTCCTTTTTCTTGGGGGGGAAGGTCGATTTTTGGGGTTGCTCCTCAAATCGATCAGGCAGCACCTCCGCTGCCTCCGTGCTTTCAGTTCCCACCGGGGGTGGGTGTGTCTTGCTTGAATGTACCCATGTGTGGTCATTCTAGAGACAAAGGGAGTCACTCAAAAAAGGCAAACCCATAGCCTTTCAACATCACCTTCGTTCAAGCGCCGCAACTTCGCGGGTTTGCCATAGGGGGGTCTACCGGGTCAGACAACTTTGCATGTCCAGTTTCAGGGCGCTCTTTTTTGGTCCGGGCTGGTTGATGGGCTAAGCTTGGTGCACTCAAAGAAACATGTGTTGCAGATGGTCTCCTCATGTGCGTGGCTATTCGTGAACTGAAAGAGGTCCGGGGAGATGATTTTGACAGGTCGTTCAATGCGGCAAGGAAGAAGCAAGTTGGGATTCAATTCGACAAAGTGTTTGTTCATAAGCTTGTCTGCTGAGGGCCCTTTTCCGAATGTTCCCCGCCCGCAGAGAACCACGAGATCTCTTGCCAAGAAGGCCGGGCAACTGGACAGGCCAACATAACTGCCGTCTGGCCACCTTCCAGTTGGATGATGGACCTTCAGAGAACACCTGTTTCTCGGGCGATCGGAAACAAAACTAAGCGGCCCACTGGCTTTTCTGTGGGGGAATCCCATCACAAAGGGCTTGCCCCCTCTCGATTTCCTTTTTGATCTCCAAAAGTTTTTCAATCAAGCCACCCACCGTGCGGCGATCTTGAATTACCACGTGAGACCAAATCCACCACCCCCACCCCCGCCACAGCGATCTAGAATTACCACTTCTCTTAATCTCATGTTGCGGCTGTTTTTATTATTATTTGGGTATGGGTCAAGATACAACCACCAGGAGATCGCAGGTTTTTGTCTTTGGTTCCGTTTACCAGGCTTCCAGTCTGGGTACGCATTTTGGACCCACAGCTATTTGAAGTCTGGGAGGGCCTACGGCCGGCTCTGGCCTTCTGCTGGCTCTGCACATCCCTGGCGCGTGCGCAAGTCCAAACTGCGATTCCGCCAATTCTGACAGATCCTGGTCGTGTCTCAAAATAGGACTAGGTGGTTTTACGTGACGAGTGTGACTGGCGATTCTGGGTAATTTGGACGGTACAGTGTCTTGGATTTCTTCCCTCATTTTATGACAAACCCAGAAAATGGGCTCTGAAGGAAAGGCGGGCGCTCCTTACCCTTGTGCGATCAACTTGTCACGAATTGACACACCTGAGATCAGGAGATCCTGAAGGGATTCACAACATTCGAGGCCTTGGCCAAACAGTCGAGGCAAGCCCAACTGTCGAACACTATTAATCACCAGGCAGAAATCTTTCCCCATTCCGACAGATATGCAAAGTCTCTTGGCAGTCTTGGCCAGATCGAAAATCCCCGAAAATCTCAAGGTGTCCGCCGTTTCCAGACGGCGATGTCCAAACCGAGATGACTTTCGGCACGTAAAGGTGCCCAGCGAACTAACGTCGACCGCCTGGACGGTGTTGTGAAGGCAAAGCAGGAGTTGGTTGCTATGGTTCCAAGGGGTGCACTTCCAAGGTTCTAAGCAGACTCCACCCGAACTTCGCGGGGTTACAAAAGCCTTCAGGCTGTACGGTGGTTCTATACCTCCGCATGCCCTTGAGGGCCAGTTCACCTAGTACAGCCACTGGAATACACCCAAACGGCTGACCTGGAAACCATGGTGGAAAGCTCAAGCTCGTCCCTCGGTTCCTCGGTTGCTTTCTGCTCCCCTGCTAACAGTGACTAACTTCTCGTGGTTTAATTCGGGAAAACCCAATAGTTGGATCAAAAAGTTAAAGTCCTAACATCCCTTGGCAAAACGCACCAAAGGTCCTTTGGCCTATCCGGTCAGATCCCTGCTCCCCCGGCCGTCGCCTGCGCTCCTCCGCCCTGACCGTGCAAGAAGGAATAAAACAACGAAGCGTCCACATCCATTCCGGCTGTGCAACCATTGAACTTCTTAAACCCTTCAACAAGGGCTTGTTAGGGGCTTGTTGATTGGCTAATTTTTGCCTCATCTCCAGCCATACCCACCCCCCACCTCCCACCGGTGCACAAGGAAAACACTTGCCTCGAAGTGCTTTCACATTATTATTCCTATGTCACCTGCGCTGGTCATCACTGGAATGATGCGGGTCCTCGGTTTCAAGCCCCAGATCCAGCCCAAGCCAGGCTTACCGATTCTGGTGGGCCATCAAAAGAGAGCGGTTGCTAGTCGGATCGGTGTTACCCCCTCGAACCTGAAAGCTCGAGCCCAGCAAATCAAGCAGCCAGCCGAGAAGCCAAGGACCTAAAGTAAAAATATGCCAAGCAGAAACCCCACCGCTCCATGCCCCCTTTTTGTGCCGGGCTCGCATGTTGCGGGAGGTGAGACATGAACTCCGGGAACCCATTTCCAGATTCTCAGCGTCGGTCAGGATGCTCACTCAAGGCCCAGCGCCTGGCTTATGTGCGCAGCTTGGGTGGTCCAAGGGCCCAAACGGGCACAAACTGAGCAGACCGGGAGAAGCGCCCCTTCAATTTCTTGGCACAGGGAATGATATCAAACACGGAACATCCTGCTTCTTTTGTGTGTGTGTGTGTGCGCACAAAAGCTGCAGCCAGTGCAAAGAACGACATAGGCGACCTTTTCCAGACCCTTTACTCAGATCTGGTGTGAGGGGTTTCACCCCAAAGGCCGATGGGTCCCGTTGGCTCCAAAGTTCCACTGGACCAAATCGGCAGCGAATGGCATGCTCAACAATGGCACCGTCAGCCCGATTGTTTTGTTCACCATGGCACATGACCAAAGTACAAATGACCGCCATGACTGAAAAGAGCTGCAAAATCATGTCCGTCGCACACCTGGTTTTTGCAGTTCTCTCCCCCGGCACAAGTCGCAAGAACCGTGCCAAAGGACTGGTCGTGCAGCTCACCCACAAGCAACAATGCAGCGGCTTGCCATTCGCTTCCAAAAGGACGTAGACCATGCTTAATCAGCAGATTGTCAAAGCGTTTGCCATAGCCAAACGTCCTGAGAGGGGACTGAAACTCACCCCGAGTTTCCAGGCGCGCGCCCACGCTTTCCCTCCCCCCTCGAGCGAGGAGCCTCTCTGGCGCGTGTCATCTCGTCCTCCCCCTGCAACGGCAAAGCCGAGGGAACGTGGTCCCCTATGTCCCCGAAAACATCGCGCCAAAAGGGAAACTGAGCTTAAAATGAACCTCGCAATGTCTTTGCCTCAGTCCTGCTTGATTCGATTCGGATAGGGAACACGTTGATTTGGTTGTGACATACGGCTCAACTTAAAACGAAAACCAAGGAAATGAGGCTTTGACAGTGGCCGGGGCCGAGCCTCGCAGTTCCCCGGGCGCCCCTTTTCCACCAAGCCCATGAAGCACCGATGTACCAACGAAAGGGGGGGGCTAAAGAAATCTCTTGTTGCTCGCACCCCGCAGCCCTCGTGGAACCCTGGTGGAACCTACCCTCGTGGAAGCTTCCCCGGACCACCCCGGAGCCTATCTGACCCCAAAGCTTTCAGCTGTTGGCGAAAAACATTCAACTTCATTTCGCTCAACCAAATCAAATCAAACTTTGCTTGGGGAGGAGGTCTCGTTTCTTCTCATCCCAAACCGTTTGTTTTTTTCCTCGCGACCTCCTCCGAAGCTTGCCGCGCCTCCGGCGCCTCCGGCGCCTCGGACTGCTCCAAGCTTTCCAGGGCGCGCCGCAGCGCGGAGGCCTCCGAGTCCGAGTCTTTCGTTTCGGGGGGGGGGGTGCCCGATTTTGCCTGCTTTTAAAGAGAAACCAAAAGGAAACCGTAACCAGATCTTCCTTTCATTCTGAGGTTGGAAGTTTTGAAAGCAAATGCGAAGCCTTGGGAGTTTGAATGCGAGAGGAATCCTACACCTTGGGGTTCGCAAACATGTTTCCAAAGCCTTAGAAACTGAAGAGGCCCTTGGAACTTGGAAGGTGATCCAGATTCCAACGCCCTGGACACATCCGAGCCATTTCTCAATGCGGCTCCCATTCCCAAGCAGAGTGTCCCAGTGGCCACGTCTCATCCCATCACGGCTATCGATGAGATCACCCTGGAGAAAGCTTGATCAAAATTTGGCCAAGACGAAGCAAGAGCATCCCGTCCACAACCTCCCCCCCTCCCGCGCCTCGTTGCGCGAGGCCTCCAAGAAAGCCGCAAGCTCCGCCTCCTTCTCGGCAAGGCCTCACCCCCCCTCGGCCCACAGGAAGTCGCCCAAACCACCAGACCACCAGCCCAACAGCTTCCGACGACTTGCCCAAGGGTAGAAAGTCGCCGCCCAACTTGAGAACTTTGGAGGCCTCAAGGCAGTCCATTGATCCTCCGCTGACGCGGACCTTTTTTTTGGATGGCTCCTTGCAGATCTTCGGGTCAATGGATAGCTTGGTCTCAAAATATGAAAACCCTCACAATAAGTGGTTTCCCTTTGGAATTCCTTTGAATCCCAAACGGCATACCGTCAAAAACGAAAAGATCTACTCCTTACCCCAGGCTGTTCAGAGAGGCTTCGCCAATGCTCAGCCACGAAGTGGACCCAAATTCTTCGCCCGAGGCAAGAACGGACTAGAACATGTGTGTGTGTGTTTTTCCCAGAGAGCTTTTGGTAAGACATCACCAGGGTTCTGTCCACCAAGCATTTGGAGGCTGCCGTATATACCCTTACAGCTTCAAGCCATTAAGAAACCATGCCGTTTGGAGGCTATTGTCGTAGTATATACCCCAGCTTCAAAGCCACTACTTAAAAGAAAGCCACGCGCCGGTTTCCGACGGATCCGCGTTTTCGGACTCGAGGCCTGAGACCACAGAGCTCTGGTCCTGCAGCGTGGCCCCGAAGGCCTCCAGGTCGTGCAGCACCTCCGCGGCCTCCGATTTCTCGGCGCGCGCCGGGCGCGGAAAATTTGGCTGTGGTGGTCAAAACCCAAAAACTGGTGAACCCCTGATTAACCCAGGAAATTTCAGGAAACCCCAGGAAAACCCCCCAGAACATCAAAATAGGTGGCAAATGGATGTTCATCCAACCCAAAATGAAATCGGATCGCCATAGGTTATGCAACCCATGGCCATTTGTGCGCACTGCAAACATCTGAGGTCCGCAGGTGAGGCTAATGGTACTAATGACCATTGGCCCATAGATTTGAGCCGAAGCTTTGCTGAGGTCTACCCCAAACGCGAATTTGAAGTTCTCAAGGGAAGCTTTGGAGGACGGCGTGCAGTTGGGAGTCATGTCCACTTCTGAGGTGGCGCCCTCAGATGTGTAATTAGCCATGTAGATGGTAAAAAATAGAGGCCTTTCTACAGTCCTTGTCAAAACGGGTAGAACCACCCACTGCTCGCGTAGTGGGAAATGGACAAACCATCTGCATGAGGACGCCCGCATTGATTCCCGTCCCCATAACTCAGTCTCCTTTGGTGTTATCCCCTTTTCCCCCAGAAACAAAAATCGACGGTCCATTTCGATTTCTTTCCATTTCGGCCACCGGAAAAAAACCCGCGAAAAATTGTGAAAGTTGCACCTGCCGGTGCCTCGAAGGCAGTCCGCACAGGCAATCGCCAGAAAACGGACAAGCGGCTCCGTGGTGGCTCCCAGAAGGGAACCACGGGTACACTTGGGTCAAAATCCCAAAGGAACCATAGGTACACGTGGGTCAACATGAAAAACCATAGCAACTAGATCTCTTTTCCTGGACTGTGTAGCAACTGCGGTGTCCAACAAATGACTCACCATAGCAAACACCAAGCTACCTGGGCTGTCCACTTCTTCAAGCCATCGCTTCCAGGGCTCTCGCCTCGTCCACAGCACATTTGCAGAGCTCTCGCGCTGGAGGGGCGGACTTGGGGCTCCTCGAGTCGAACTTCCGCGCGGGGTGGGCGCGGCAAAACGCGGAGAAAACGCCTGGTGCTTGTGGAAGAATGGATGAGATCCATTCCAAACGCCCCATAAAAACACGCAAGCCTGGAGTTGGGACCATTCCCGAATGAAGCCTTGGGAGGGTTGATGGACCTCAGATGGCACTATGAAATACTTACCAAGCTGAAACAGGTGAGCTTCAACCTAAACAAGATGGCTCCTGCCACCCGTCCCCAAACAAGCCGCCAAAATGACCAAGCAAACGACCGAACAAGCAATCCATGGACCAGCCAAGCAGTAAACACATCTGGCTTGATTTCTGTATTTGCTTTTCGCTGGGAAAAACCGGCAGCAGGGAAACAAAAAACACAACTGCCGTCCCTGCACACAAGCCAAGCGAGGCAAGGCTTTAGCCAGGCGGAAGGCATTTCCGGCTGCTCCCTTGCTCCTTTGCATTGCTTCTACCCTTCCGCAAGCCAGACACGCGGCCTAAACAGCAATGCGAAGTTAGACTCGTGCTCAACTGGCTCCTGGGCCTCATCTGGGCTCGCGGCACCTTGGGGCGCCCGCCTTGCACCAGAGGTTTGGAGGACTTCCATGTTTGCTGGAAAGCGGACACGTCCCGTTTTGCGCTGATGGCCCAGCGACGTAACTTCCCAACCACCACACAGATGTGTCGTCAAAACGAACCATGCCGTGGACATGGTGCCATCGATAGCAATACTCAAGATGATTGCCTACATCCTTGTTGACGAAGCAGAGCTAACTACCGACTGTTGCTAAGAGGATCAAGTGGGCTAGGCTTGCCAGCAAGCTTGGCACAAGGTGACACAAGGTGAGGAAACTCATGAGAGAGAGAGAGAGAGGGAGAGAGACAGAGAGAGAGAGAGAGAGACAGAGAGAGAGAGAGAGAGAGAGAGAGACAGAGAGAGAGAGAGAGCAAGAGAGACAAAAACAACCACAACAAAGAAGAATCAGCAACATGTCAGTCTGTCCATCACCAACCTGCAGGAGCCATCCTCTTTTGCCCCAACCCCTCATTTTGTTTTCAATGAGGGTAGAGGGTGTTGCCGAGTGCGGACGGGCGCCAGGCTGGAGATGGACTGAAGCCAGATATGGTTCACACTTCTGCTTGTCTTGAGTTGCTTGGTGATTGAGGGTGGCCATTGAGGTGGTCCCGCATCCACGCATCGCATGCGCGCCTCGCCGGGGCGACACGCTGGGTTCCGGCTCCGCCAATGGCGCCAGCGGCGCCAGCTGCCGCGGCGGATGGGACCCGCTGCGGAACCTGCGGACCAGCAGCGGGTCGTCCGCCGTCTGCCGGGCCTCAAAGTGGCTCGGGCCCTCAAATCGTTTTGAGGCTCCCCTCCTCTTTGGTGAAACCGAGAGAAACACCGAACTCCCAAACAAAGGACACGCCCTGGTGGTTTCCTCCTGGTGTCTTTCAGCTTAAGTGAAGAATACTCAGGAACCAGATCCTTACATGAGAACTGCAGCGCTCGTGACTGATTTGGCAGCTCTCGGAACGCCACTGAACATTGTAGCAACAAGCATCCATCAACCAGAAGCCTTTGCCCGGAACATGCGTCAAAGCAGACAGCCATGGAAAAGCCGCCTTTGCCTTCTAGCCCGTGGCAACTTGGGAGCTTCAAAGGTTTCATGTCAACGCATCCAGTCTGACTCTGCAAGCGTGAGCCCATTGCGGCAAACGCGCTACCGAAAAGAAAGGCCCGAGGAGCCTCCAATGTTCCTGCCTGGTCCGAACCGCCCAACCCCAAATCTGTCCCCGGGAATCTGTGAGGTTTTCAAACGGGAATGGCGAATCAGGCCAAGCCAAGGACCCGCATCCGTCCGCAGAGAAAGCAAAGCAGCTGGATAGATCGAAGGCTGAAATGCTGAAATTTCACTGGGGATGAACTGCTGTGTGTGACACGAGCGTCTGCCTCCAAGCCCTACAATAAGTGAAGATGAGGCAAACAAAATCTAACAAGCGAGCAGCAACAAAAAGGGAAAGACGGCTATAGCGACAAACGTGCACACGTGTCAAGTTGTCAAACATGGCAAGACTTCGTCCCCTGGTGGCACTAGATGTGATGCTGTAGGTGACCTGACACCTATGGAACCTGCGTAGCTCCTTTTTGGTCGACATGTTTCCCGCCTCACGCACCACGGCAGCCATTGCTCACGGAACACGGCCATGGGCCTTTCGCGCGTCGCTTGGGCTGTATTTCTGGCTATCTGAGACTTGCAGACTTTGAACCTCAGGCGGGCCCCAAGCTCACGCCACTCGATGGGTTTATGGTGGTCTGACGGGGACTGGGGCGGTCTGCTTTGCCGATCTAACGAGAAAAGCCTCTCGGGAGGCAGTGCCAATTTTAAGCAAGCGACAGCCCCTTAGACAAGTAGCAATCAATGCAATCCCCGAGTTGGCAGGGCTGAATTCAGGGAGACTGCGGACTTCCTCCCTTGAGCCAAGCGGCTGTGCGCACCGAGCACATCCCTCCCAGAACTTGGCCAGACTTTGACCTAAACAAGTTGACTTTGTAGTAAAGAAAGTAAATTGAAGGACCCCAGGTAAGACAGCCATCCGAGAAGGTCAGTTCAGCCTTGCAATATGAATGGTCAGCTTTCAACAGCGAGACATGGGGAATGCTGCGACCCGAAAACTTGTTTGGAACCTGAGAAGGGCCTTCGGACTGCAAGCATATCGACACTTCGAGCTGCTTCCCAGATTGGAACATGTGAGTAGTTGTTTTTCGTCAGTGGGTACCCTTTTTGGGATTGCTACAAGGGACCCATTGGAGGCAAACCTAACGTCTGTAAGCACCAAGCATAGGCAAATGTCTGTGGGATTCGCTCGCATCTTTGTTTTCCTTCCGTTTCTCACCCTAAGGTTGGGTCTTCGAATCCTGTCTAGATATGCTTCACGGGTTCTACTAAAGCAAAGCTAAAAGGACAGCACCCCCCACTGACAGGGGTTCCGTCGCCCGGATGCACTTCCCAGCCTCTCGATCGCAATCCTCGGCTGCACGGCTTGCAGCGAGCATAGGCTTTGCTTTGCCGCGGCACTTCCCCCAAGCCACTACCGGGAAAAAATGACGAAAGCTCTTTGCCGCCTCTCATGTGCTATGACCGTTAACAAGGCAACGACCTTTTCCTCCTCCTTGCCAAGCCATCTTGAGAGCCACCTTGCATGTTGATGCTTGGCCTTTCGCTAGCAAATGGCTTGCCTGGAGCGAAAGACTTGCTGTGGTTGTGCTTCAATTTCTGATCTCCTTCACATTACACGCAACGCATATGCAGCGCAAACTCAAAGGTATCCACATCAAGATAGGGAGACTTCCGGGGCTCCGCGAAAAAGAAGAAAACAAAAGCTTCCTCAAACCATAGTGGTCGTCTGAGTTCGGCGCAAAAACGAGAAACAAAAACGTGCCGGAAAAAAACTCCGAGCCCGCGGCGGCTGATCCTCCAAATCCTCGGCCGCATCTTCCGCCTCGGCCTGGGCGTCTCACCAAGGACGGTAGACTGAAACCCGGGGGCCGAAGAGTTGGCCTTTGTCAGGGAACCTCGAGGTTCAAGTCGACGGGAAGCCCATACCCCGGAACCCCTTTCCAACCCACGAACTAACCCACGAACCTTTCGGACCCACCCACCCCCCTGCCTCGCCCGCCGGAGACTCCGCCGGCGAATGCTCGACTGGCGCACGGAACGAACAGCCCGAACCTTGAAACCATTTAACCTGCCACTTGCCTTGGCCCTGTCTTGGAGAGCGACACTTTCGACATTAGCCCATTGAGTGGTGGTGAAAGTGAAGCCATCACCACCAACACAAGGAGAACCTCCGAAATATTCACTTTCCTGAGCTCAATCTGTCAGGAATGCCAAAGCCCGAATTCATGCCACGTGCCGAAATAGCTCAAACAAATCTCGTTCTGCCTTCCAAAAAGCACAGGTGGTATCCCCAGCAACCCCAAAGCTGCCGGCCCCTCCGGACCCCTCCCTGAAAGCTGCCCCAAACCGCCCCAAAACCTATCTGGGCCGTAGCTTTCCCGCTTTCAGCCGGAAACAACTGCCTCAACTGAGCCCTGAAAAGCTGAAGCGCGCCAGCTGCCTTGGCTCCGGAGCAGCTCCAGGTCGTCCGGCAGATCCGCCAGGAAGCCTGCACCTGCCATCTTTTCGGCCCCTTTCCTTCGTCCCTTTTGTTGCGCCTTTGGGCCACCAAAACGGCGAAAAAAGATGCCGTGATACTCAAGTGGGCTGCCCGTTTTCTGATGCCCCACTAAAAGTGACTAACTTTTAGTTGGTTAAATGGAAACTACCACTCAACACTAGGCTAAAAGTCTAAGGAACCGGATGGCTGAGAGCCACCAAGTCAAGGGATTGGTCGGTGAAAGAAGTGGCCATGGCTCCACGAGAAGTTTCCAAAAGGGAGATTTATCCAGAAGCGTGAACACAATTCTGTTGCTCCCGGGAACAGGAAATGGGGGGCAGCTGCCCGGGTTCTTTGGCAGAGATCTCAAGCTTGAGTGAGCGGGTTCGTCCCAACTGTGTCTCATTGTGCAAATGGCGGCGGCGGCATTCCCATACAAAGCTTTGACGTGGGGGTGTGGGTGTTCGTATAATTCGGGGGCCCCTTTTTTGGGTGGTTTCCAAAAGGATGTCACCCATTTGTAGGGATCCCCAGTTTGGCAACACCCGTCTGAAGGCGTTCAGGATAAGAGTTCAGCCTGTGTCACCTTCAGCCATCCCGCTGGGTTTTGGACCCAGGGAACTCCCTGCAAAAACATGGCCACACCTAGGGCTGGCAAATGTCCAGGAGTGACCCCTCTAAAAATCCCGCCCAGGCATTGCGGATTCAAGCTCAAAAATCCTAATGGCAACTTGACCCACTGCAATGCTTGATCTGTCAATGGAAAAATCTAGGACCCCGGTCCAGCCCCTGAGATTGACGATTTCCATTGTTTGCTTGCAGCAAAGAAAACTCCAGCCCGGAAGGGTCACCCCTTGGGAAATCAACCCTCCACTTGAATTCTACCTCAGGCTTCCTCAAGAAACGAACCCCTCGCCCGAGGAGAAAAAATGCAAAACGACAATAACTGCAAAACGAGAAAAATGCAGAACAGGGATGGTAGAATTAGCTGCTTCCCCGTAAGGTTTGATTACACCTCATAAATCCAATGTCGAGCACTTTGAATTCCAGAAACTTCACTCACAAACAACAAATATTAGGTTTTAACCACTTTCAAAGTTAATCTAACCACATATCAAACCAGATTTGTGCGGGCCTCACAAACAAGAAACCAACAACGACGGAGACCGCCTGCATCCCCTTCGCGGCTTCGGCCGCGTGGGCGATCGGCCGTGAGGCCCGCGGCGCTGTCGAACCTTGGGCGGCTTGAGGGCGAAACCAAAGCCGCGGACAGGGGGGTTCGCCTCCCAGACATCGCCTCGTTGCTGTGGACCCCCCTGCAACAAGTTTAACTTTCTGGGGTTCAGTGGTAAACCTCTTGATTTCCCCAACAGTTAAAGTCTAGAGATCCAACCCAATAGCAGTCAAGTCATGAATCCCTTTCGTCTCCCAGACATCGGTCAAATTGATTTATGAACCTGTCTCCCCTTAGTTTCCCTCCCCCATGGGCCAACAGTGCTTTTCTTGCCGAAGATGTTTTCAAGACGATTGGGCCCAGAACAAGCCTCCCTCCCTGGCCAGGGTTCTGCCAAGCCCCTTGTTCAAGCAGGTTACACATTGTTTAAACAACCTCCTTGTGGTTTTATGTTGAAGAGAACCAGGTCTAGTTGTTGAAACCAAGCTTGCCCAAGCCTGATACAAAGGGAAACCAAGGGGGAACCTATCAAATAGATCCGAAGCTTTCAAAGACACATTCGACCCTTCAAAGAAGCCTGAGTTGATGCTGTAGAGATAGCCCCTCATGCTTTCGGCAAACGTGCTCTCTCAGAGAGGTTCTGGCAAAAGCAAGTGCGTAAGCCGCCAGAAATTATAAGGTGCGACCTTGGAGACATCGCCACCCTTCATTTGACCACCGAAAAAAGGTATCATCATGAACGGGTACGTTCATCCCTTCCCATTCCATGTATGAAAGGCTCGGGAACTGCGGGGTCCCCTTGGCAGTTTGTTCGGTTCAATACCAAGTAGAAAGCCATTCATCGGAATGCTTCGGGTGCATGAAATGGAGGCAACCGAAACTCCCAAGGCCGAAGCATTTTGGTTGCTTGCCTCTTGGTGCTTCCCTTTACAGGTTGCGAGGTGGTCCCAGAGATTCGTAGGACTCCTGCCTTGGCACATTACCCAGCATGACACACGTGCCTAAGACTTTTTGGAAAGCTAAACATGTCCTTCTCAGAATTGCGTCCCAAAAGGGCAACCCGGCCCATGTGCCACGAACTGCATGGAGAATTGACACAAGTCGGGCTCCGATGTGGGACCTCAATTTTTCTCTGCCGCCATGATCGGGGGCCATTTGGTCGACCCAAAGTGGGTGGAGCTCATTTGGTCGACAAGAATAGACCAGCAAACACTTCTGACGTCTTGGTCCACTCATCGGCTGGAGGGCCAAAGGGCGATTTCTGGTTCCACGTTCACTCCTTCGGATCAAGGGCTTGACACACTTGCCGGCATTGAGTTTACAATCTTGGCAGGGAAGGTGTCAAAGGCAGGAAGCTCTTTCGGATTGGAGAAATCAGAAGAATATCGAAAGAAAAGCAGAAGGAAACCAGATGGAAACCAGATGGCAACCGAAGGGAAACCAAAAGAAAGCCCATCCACGTGGACAGGCGTCCATTTTTCCCATCGGTTTTCTGGCTCTCTTCAACCTCCGGCAGCCCGTGAGCACCCACCAACTGGGGAGCCCACTCGGCAAAGATGTCCTTCAGCATGGCCTGCAAGCGGTGCAAGTGCAGATACTGACGAATGGACTTGATACCGAAGCAGCGCCCTTGCAGAAAGACTCAGAAGATACCCGCGGTGGCCTTCTGGTTTCCCTTTGAGACAGTCGGCGTCAAAGACCTGGTGTCACTCGGCGCCTTTCAAGCAGAGGACCCAAAGGGGGGTTCTTGTTTCTGCTTGCCAACACACTAAACAGGTGGTTTGATCATGGCACAGACCTGATCATGATTGGTTGAGAGTTCGCGTCAACCTTGTCAACCTATCATTGCGCAGGGTTACACACAGTGCGCGTTCCCCGAAACGTTTTGATACGCGCCACCATGAGCT